ATGTATAAAATATTTGAATGTAAAAAAAGCCAAAAGGTTTACAGTATTAAATACTTTAATTATTGTTTTATTAATTTGTCGAAATGAGTGTAAATACCCCTCCTACGGAGCAGTCGGATAAAAAAGAAAAATAAAGAGATTGTTTGTTACGAGTTATTGCAAAAGTTTGAATAGATCTAGGCTTTATGGCTTTATTGTCCACATTTCGCTTGATCCAGTTAAAATCTTCTACCTCCTTTATTTCGTCTTTAGTAAGTATACCACAACAAATGACTGTTTACTATGAACGTTTCCCATAAACCTATCAAACCGTCGGCGCGCTCAAAGCCGTTTGTAATGACGTCGTCTGCATAGACTCTGCTTGCATAGACAGGGTTGTCTACCTTTGTCAACATTTGATGAGAAAGGTACCTACATTAATGCCTGGCTATAAACAAGAGAGCCAATTTGGGTTGACCGTTTATACTGATTGATACACAACGACGTTATGACCTCAATCAGAGCGTTGCTTCAAAAATCTCACTTTTGCAAAAAGAGCAGAGTCTAGAGTACTGCTCTAATATTAGAATACCTATATTTTTAAACAAAATCTACACAGACGTCATACTTACCCCAAGTACTTACTAATTTCAGTTTCAGTCATTTAAAGAATCTTCAGTGATTTAGGTATAAAGATTTGGAGTCTGTACGATTATCAAAATGGAAAACTTTAAAGAAACTGTGACTCTAGCTAGTGAATACTTATAGCATTAATTATATCTTTATTTAGATTCGATAAAAAGCGTTTACACAATGTAGGTAAGTAGGTACGTAACTAAGACGTAGCGAAGCGACTACGATCTCGAAGCTACATTGACAGGCACTGGTAGCCCTGGTGCCCTGGAGGTCTCCATAATTCATGAGTATACTGTGTAGTATGACGCATTGCGCATTTACATACATTTCCACACTTGCCCCGTCTCATCGGACGCATCTGTGCCACTAATACATTTTTTATTATTTCTTCGTGAACTGAAAATAGATTTTTTTCTCTCCTCTATCGGCGAAAACGCTGAAGGAACGGCGAAATACATTATGTGTAATGTCTGTAGGAAATAGGGCATCTGACAATAAATTTTCTGTTAGCAATGACTATCCTACCTACCTAATACGTACTTTGTATACGTCTAGAATAATATTGAGTAGGTAGGTACTGTAAGGACGGGACGAGGCTAATTAAAGATGTTACTCGTATTGAATATGATTTATTACTGATCTCTCAAATATTAGATACATTGCTTTATATATTGTCTTACTACTACGTCACATGCCCTTCCAAAAGGAAAAAAAAAATGTTGAGTTATAGACACATTTTTTTTTTTATATATAATACGTCATATAAAATTCATTAAAATAAAATTGAATACACATTTTACTTTAAAATAACAATAGACAGCTGCGCAGCCTTGAAGAGTAATCTAGTATTAGACAGTCAATAGTAATTATCTACCATTACATAGTCATACTGTATAAAGTCGTGTTCTATTCTTATGTATAATTTTCTCTTTACCATTAACTAAAATAATTACATTAGGCGATACATCCTTTACTACAGTAAATGGACCTAAATACAATGGGTCTAGTTTATTACAATTTTCATTTTTTACTAATAGTAGATCGCCACTTTTGTAAACAATAGGATTAATATAATTATCATATTTATTTTTTCTTAATATTTTACTAGTACATAGATTATTTTTAGCTTCCAGCTGCGACCTTTGAATTCGGTACTTAAGTTCTATTGGATAACTATTGAAATTGTAAATAGGATCTAAAGTATTCGTTAGGTTTGTAGGTATGTTACATAATTTGCCAAATACCAATTCGTAAGGTGTAAATTTTGTTTNTAATTTTTAAATGTAATTATAATGTAATAATTTAAATGTCATTTTTGCACTTAATCACGCGCGTACTAAAAAGTCCGAACCCGACACCGAACCTTAAAATGGCAGGGTCGCCATGTAAGGACGGGACGAGGCTAATTAAAGATGTTACTCGTATTGAATATGATTTATTACTGAACTCTCAAATATTAGATACATTGCTTTATATATTGTCTTACTACTACGTCACACAAGCCATGCTACGCCGCCACTGGATTGTATACCCATGTCACGGTAATACTATCTATACAGTATTCCAACTCGGCCATATTTTTGAAATAAATGTCAACAGCCCCGCGGTACGTCACGGTATGACAACATGCGATAGGGCTGCTCACCTACAGTACCCATTCTAATTACATCTGTCTACTTAGAATTTCTATCTAGTATTGTGATTGTAATTTTTTTTTATTTATAGACAAACAAAATACTTTTTGAATGGAATAGGATAAAAATGCGTGTTGTTTTGTGGTTAGTNTTTTGTTTCGGAATGAACAGTAGTATTATATGAAAAACACCAAAATGGTAACCATGAGCTCCACTCCTGATTTATAGTGTTATTTATTTGCATTCTTAAGTAAAAAGTTAAATGTTTATGACTGTTTTCTAATGAACCTAAAGTTTGGTGATGAAAAGCGGTAGATTGTAAGTGATTAATATTTAAGATTTTACAAACCTGTTCTAATGTTGCATTAACAAATTCGGTGCCCCTGTCTGTAATGATTTCACGTGGAATTCCATACCTGAGTATAAAGTTGTTGACTAACGCCGTTGCTACGCTGAGCGCCTCCTTGTTCGCTATCGGATACGCCTCGACGTATTTGGTCAAGTCGCACTGGAGCGTTAAAATGTAGCTATAATTATTATCTCTAATTAACGGGCCTACTAAATCTAAATAAACACGATCAAACGCCGATGAACCACAGTTAGTGATTACCATAGGTTCTTTAATTGTTTTTAAATACTTATGTCGTTGACACTGGTCGCATTTTTTCACAAAATTAGTTATGTCCTTTTCTAATCCTGTCCAAAAATATTTCTTACGAATATTATTAGACATTCGTCTTATCCCAGCATGTCCGCTTGTGGGAAGAATATGATAGTCATTTAAAATTACTTTTTTAGTATCATTGTCAGTTATTCTTTTGACACCTTTTATTACGCATAAGCGGGGTCCGGACCACTTAGGCAATTCATTTATTAACTTTGCTAGCTCTTTTATTATTAGACAATTTCTGTCGTTAATTATTACATGTAAGGTGTCAATATTCAGAGACGTACAAAATGATTCCATTTCCCTCACAGAGACAGCTCGTGTACGCTGCGATTGGGTAAACAGTTTCACATATAATATACGCTCATACGATGAATAAGCAAAATCTCCACTCTGGTGTGTCACATTTTTACTAATATTTTTCCATTCTTCTTCATTCGCAAAAATTAACTCTGTGTATTCCTTCGGTAACTTAAGCATTTCCACGACTCTTGGGTGATCAGGCCAAGTGTCTTGTGTAATGTTAGGTACCGGAGTATTACTCAAAGTTGTTGTACTATCAAGTTTTTGTCTTTGCGCCCTTGTCAGTACTGATATAATGTGTTCGTTCATAGCCTTTAATTCGTCACTTTTCAATTCTATACGTGACAATGCATCTGCAGCTACATTGTCGCGTCCTTTTACATATATCACTGTAAAATCATACTCGTCTAATAATAAGCGAAATTTTAACAATCTACTGGAAGGGTCTGTCAAATTGTATAAATAAACTAAAGGTCGATGATCTGTCTCTATTATGAATTTCCTTCCGTAAAGATATGGCCTAAAATATTTTACGGACCACACAATGGCCAATAATTCTTTTTCGATAGTGGGGTATCTACGCTCTGCCTTATTTAGACTGCGGCTTGCGTAGGCAACTGGTCTCCGGTCGCTGTTACATAACACCGATCCTATCGCGTACCCTGATGCGTCCGTTTGCAAAATAAATGTGTTTTCTTTATCGAAATTAGGATACTGTAAAACTGGTGGGTTTGTAAGTGCATTTTTCAGAATTAAAAAAGATTGTTGACATTCATCGCTCCACTCAAAATTAACATTTTTTCGGCATAAACTATTTAATGGAATACAAATTTTAGCGAAATTTGGAATAAATTTTCGGTAATAATTGGAAAACGCTACAAAACGTTTAACTTCGTCTGAATTACTTGGCGTAGGGTATTCTTGTAAAGTTTTTATTTTTTCTGGATCAGGTTGAATGCCATTAGCCGATACGACGTGTCCTAAATACAGAATTTCTTTTCTAAGGAAGTCACATTTATCTGGATTTAATTTTAGATTTACGTTCCGCAATCTTTCTAAAATAGATATTAAGTTTTTGTTGTGAATTTGTAAACTTCTACCAAAACATATCAAATTATCTAAATAAACAAAACATTTTTCATAATTTAATCCTGACATCGCTACAGTCATCATTCTAGAGAAAGAACTTGGACTCGTTTTCAAACCCATGGGCATACGTGTCATCTGATATTGACCCGATGGTGTAGTGAATGCTGTATACNACGTCTTTAAGAATTGCATATTTTTAATAGCATTTATCTATCTGTAGATTGTTTATGATGAATCAACCATTCTTCTGCATGTTAGTCTATTGAATAAAATATTTACTTACTGCTACTGAATAACTATTTTTAAGTATTTTTTTATAATTTATTTTTTTGATAATTTACATTGTAAAAAAATCTTTAAAATTAAGAAGAAAAGTTAGTAAAGAGAATGTTAATATTAACAATAATATTTACTTAATAATATTTATAATGTGTTACGTAGAAATCTATTTAAAATACATTATCTAGTCAAAATAATGCCAGCGATTAAGTTTCGATAAATATCGACATCGCAACAACACTAAAGGTGAATTAACTTGAATGAATCACCAACCCACATATTCCCGCAATGGTGATATAATGCAGCTGTGACCTTATTGGTGGATCCACCCATGCGGCAGTCGAATCGACCAATCAGAAAGCGCCATCCGCGGCGTCGCTCCCCCGTGATGCCGGCCCTATAAAAGCGATTTTAACGGAAATTTTCTTGTTACTCCACGTTCGGCAAGCCTCTTAACCGGTCGCGCTGAACGACTAACTGACATTATTTAAGTAATTTATTTTGTACGTTAAGTCTACAAAACTCTATTCAACATGGTAAGTGTTTTAATATTTCTTTTAGTATTTATCAGTGCTTTTCTAGAAGTTATTTTCATGTAAAAACGCCGGGTGGTCACGCCACCATTTTGTCGGCTTACAACCCGACCGCGGTGAAATGTCTGCATTTGACTACTTTATCCATTTGTTCAGCGGCATTTTTCTTTTGGCCGGGTTATCATTTCACGATTCGATTTTCAATTTTTCAATAACTTTCGTATTGTCTTCATAGAAGAAACAAATGCTACAGCGTTGTTTTCAGTTAGTTCGCGATAACGGTAGTTATTAAGCTGATAACAGTACCCCAGTACCGAACAAATTGACCGTTAGCCGATCGAGACTGCCATGCCGGGTGCCACGCCTAACTTCAATAGATTTTCCCAACAATTCCTTATACTTTTCACCATTTTTCACTGAATAACTTCACAATTTAGCTCTAAAATGGGCGTATGACTTCACCGATCTTGTTTTCGTATTGATTTATCAAGTGACGTGTCCGCTGACCTCATTCAAGGTTGCGCACTTTTGTGAGTATCCTCTGTCGCTTAGCGACGTTTCGAATTCAATGAAAGTTTTTTCTTTACGGTTCTACAATGAACATTGATTGACGGCGCCCCAGTTCTCACTGTAGGTACGAGCAATGTACCTACCTGGGTACCTACTTTCACCTTTCTCCATAGAAAAAGTGGCCTGTCATGCCATGAAAGTCTCAATGTAGGTACATTGGCTGTGTACTACTTACCTATCCCTGACATTCTACTTAACGCCTGACTTGAATCAAATTCATTTAGGTACTTAGCATTTAAAGCTAGAATTAACAATACGGACGATCGAGCATAAAATACCATGATCATATCTTCGAAGAAAAAACAGATTTTTTCAATTCATTTTTCTTTCAACAGCGTGAGTGCATCTCAGTACACGTTGGCCAAGCCGGAGTCCAGATCGGAAATGCCTGCTGGGAGCTCTACTGCCTTGAGCACGGCATCCAGCCCGATGGCCAGATGCCCACTGACAAGACCATCGGAGGCGGAGACGATTCATTCAACACCTTCTTCAGCGAGACCGGGGCGGGCAAACATGTGCCCAGAGCAGTGTTTGTGGACTTGGAACCTACAGTAGTAGGTTAGTATCTTTCAAAATTTACAGATTCTACTTGCATACAATTGAACGGGACCAGAGCAAGAAGTCCTAATTTGAAATTGAAGTTCACCTAACTTTTACTTAAATAACTAAAGGATTAGCTTCAAAATACTGAACATTGTTTCTTTTGCCTGCAGATGAGGTCCGCACCGGCACATACAGACAGTTGTTTCATCCAGAACAACTTATCACTGGTAAGGAGGACGCGGCCAACAACTATGCGCGAGGCCACTACACCATCGGCAAGGAGATCGTAGACCTGGTGCTGGACCGCATCCGCAAGCTGGCCGACCAGTGCACGGGACTCCAGGGCTTCCTCATCTTCCACTCGTTCGGAGGCGGCACCGGCTCCGGTTTCACCTCTCTGCTCATGGAGCGCCTCTCCGTGGACTACGGCAAGAAGTCCAAGCTGGAGTTCGCCATCTACCCCGCGCCGCAGGTGTCCACCGCCGTCGTGGAGCCCTACAACTCCATCCTGACCACGCACACGACTCTCGAGCACTCCGACTGCGCCTTCATGGTCGACAACGAGGCCATCTACGACATCTGCCGCCGCAACCTCGACATCGAGCGCCCGACCTACACCAACCTCAATCGCCTGATCGGCCAGATCGTATCCTCCATCACGGCCTCGCTGCGTTTCGACGGCGCCCTCAACGTCGACTTGACCGAGTTCCAGACCAACTTGGTGCCCTACCCGCGCATCCACTTCCCGCTCGTGACCTACGCGCCTGTCATTTCCGCCGAGAAGGCCTACCACGAGCAGCTGTCCGTGGCGGAGATCACCAACGCGTGCTTCGAGCCCGCCAACCAGATGGTGAAGTGCGACCCGCGCCACGGCAAGTACATGGCGTGCTGCATGCTGTACCGGGGTGACGTGGTGCCGAAGGACGTGAACGCGGCCATTGCCACCATCAAGACCAAGCGCACCATCCAGTTCGTGGACTGGTGCCCCACCGGTTTCAAGGTCGGCATCAACTACCAGCCCCCGACCGTCGTGCCGGGAGGCGACTTGGCCAAGGTGCAGCGTGCCGTGTGCATGTTGTCCAACACCACCGCCATCGCCGAGGCGTGGGCGCGTCTGGACCACAAGTTCGACCTGATGTACGCCAAGCGCGCCTTCGTCCACTGGTACGTGGGTGAGGGTATGGAGGAGGGCGAGTTCTCCGAGGCCCGCGAGGACCTGGCGGCTCTCGAGAAGGACTATGAAGAGGTCGGCATGGACTCCGCCGAGGGAGAGGGCGAAGGCGCCGAAGAGTACTAAGCCGATGATTATTTATTTTCCTTCCGGCTCGCTCACACCGATACATTCCGGTGAAATGAAATAAAAAGAAAATTATGTTGACTTCTTTCGTTTGATTTTTCTCTATGAATACCTACATTACATACCCAATTTTAAAACAGAAAAGGCTAGCTAGATAACAACACACAACACCTCTAAATTCATACACACCTTTGAATAGACAGTTTATATTCTGAAAAGAATTTTATTAGTTTTTTTTTTACCTAATTAGTATAAAATTAATTAGGCAATGCAACGAAAATCTGAAAATATGCTTGGGTCAAATCTAATTGAGTAAAATACATAGAGCCAGAAAGAGAGTCTAGTATGTCTGTTATATTTGGAAGAGGGAACTTATCGTCCATGATACGATCATTTAATTTTCTAAAATCAATTACTAACCGCCATTTTTTGATATTATTTTCCGATTTCTTTGGAACCAATAACACTGGACTAGACCACTCACTTTTTGCTGGTTCAATTATATCGTTAGATAGCATATTTTTAACTTGTGTTTCCATCTCGTCTCGTTGTGAAAAAGGTAATCTGTATTGTTTAATATAAACTGGTTCTGAATTTGGTTTTAACTGAATATTTTGTTCATAAAGGTTACATGTGCCCAATCTGTCTCCTGGTACAAAGAATACGTCTGCATATTTTGCACAGATATTTTGAATAGAAATGTGTTCCTCTTCATTTAAATGATTTAGTTTTAAAAGTGGTAATAATTTACGTACTCTTTCGCCATCGCATTCTTGTTTATCAAAACTACAAATTTGATACTCTGATAATTTTTCGAAATCGGGTTTAAAATAACTGAGTCCAACTTCTGTATCGCGTGTATTTAAAAGTTGAATTAAAACTTTACCATTTTTGGGTTGACAGACACTTCCAGCTATAAATACTCCCTCGCATAGTTCTTTCGGTAAAATCACGCAATCCTCATTCATACCAAAATTAATTTCAAATATCTTTTCACATCTCGGAGGTATTTTAACATAATTATTGAATCCAAATTTTCCCATGTTTAAGGATAGGTTAAATTGAAGTCCTAAATGGTTTATAGTTAATTGATTAGATTCATAATTTATGACGCAATTATATTTGACTAAAAAATCCTGACCTAATATTCCGTCTTGTTTGCATGGAAGATTCCTAAGTACATAAAACTTANAAACCACCAAGAACCATAAGAACCCATTTTAAAGTTTTAAAAAGTTTTTATGATGCAACTTGTAGTTACCACTATCGGCGATAAAATGTTCGTCCGTCATATTTGCACTTAATCACGCGCGTACTAAAAAGTCCGAACCCGACACCGAACCTTAAAATGGCTGGGTCGCCATGTAAGGACGGGACGAGGCTAATTAAAGATGTTACTCGTATTGAATATGATTTATTACTGATCTCTCAAATATTAGATACATTGCTTTATATATTGTCTTACTACTACGTCACAGTACCTACATGATAACATTAAATAACTATGTCACATTATTACCAACAAATACCATACACAGAAAGATCATGCAGAACAATTTGAAAGAAAGAAAGAAAATATTTTATTTGGCCCAACATATTAAATTATTACAGTAAACAGTTTACAGTACTTGCACATTTGTGGACCAAAATGGCATCCGCTCAGCATTGTGTCCTGCTCTGAGGTAGACCCAGAACAGGACGCTGTTATTCTGCGGAGGCCACTTTTTTAAAAGAGCGTCACATTGGACGCCATAAACATTGGCATTTTTATTTTAAAATTATATAAACTTATACAAAGCTTCAACGATTACATAAATTTGTAGGTGTGTGTGCTANACATAAAACTTATGATTTATTTCTTTGCCACAAATAGTAAATGGAATGTAAACATAGCCTTCTGTGTATAATGCGCCGCCAATACCTTTTATGTTTATGCGCTCATTATGTATCGGAATATTAAGTTGATGCACCGTTTCATATTTCACAGCCGACAGAGTGGCGCCGGTATCCACCAACCATCTATATTTGGAGCTGTTTATCGAAAGTTCTACCGAATTGTTATAATCACAAGCAAATATATAATTAGACTCGAAAAAAATTCAAGCTATGTGTGGAATTCTCGACATTTTCGGTTCTAACTTCCTGTCTCTCCTGCTGGTCCTGTTCCTGGTTCATAATATGTATATTATTTTTATACCTGTTATTGTAATATCCTCGATTTGTATGTCCAAAACTCCGTCCACGTCCTCGTCCTTGTGAATTCCATACGCGGCCGCGCGATTCTCCACGAGAAAAACCGCGAGAAAAACCACGCGAAAAACCGCGAGATTGTTGGTTATTTCTGAAATTTCGTCCTTGACCTCTGTAATACTGACCTCTATTGTTTCCCCGCTGTTTATGCTGGCTTGAAAATATTTCACCTGAATTGAAATTATTTTCACCTTGCATAGATGACTCGTCCTTTGCCGCTCTTATTACGTCTTTCAATTCGCTATAATTCCGGGCCGCTAAAATGGTGCTCAATCGACTATTTCTCAAACCTTCAGTGAAACGTTGTATAGCAAGTTTTTCATTTAAAGGTTTAAGCACGGAATACGCTCTATCGTTACCGTCTGCTTGAGAAATCGTCAATTTAACAAATAAATCTTCAATTTTCTTACCAAATTTATCGATGTTTTGTGACCCTTGTTTCGCCTTCATCAACTCTAATTGTAAAGCCGTCGCAGATTGTTTAGTAAGAAGATGAATTCTCATATCCGTAATTAATGCCTTAATAGACTCATATTTATTTTTTAAACGCAATTTTGCGCTCTCTGTTAAACGTGTTTTCAAAACAAAATTAATAAAAAATTGTTCGTGTTCTGTACTTAAAGTTTGACCATAAAAATCGATTGTGTCTATCAAATTTTTAGTTACCTCCTCCTCTCCTGTCATTACAGGGATGAGAGAAGTTGCAGTTTTCACATCAAATGAAGCCATGGTTACTGGTGATAAGTCCGGATGAGCCTCGAAACAAAATTTCAATATGTAATTATAGTAGGTTTCTATCTCCTCACAAAGATCCAAAATTAATTTAGCTTCTTCTATATTTATATTTCCTTCTTTAATACTAGAATCCAACTTTTCACGACTTAGTACATATTGAGAATACAAGTCAAGTGTGTCTAAATATTTTTGTTTTAACAATTCTTTCGTTCTTCTAGCTATACTCAACTTGGATAAATTTGTCTTTATACTCTTAATTTCTTTATGTATCCCTAAGATATCTAATGACATAATATTAATTAGTTTACGTATTAATTAAACCTGTCTGTCCATATTTTAATATTCACGAAGTTGGCACTTATTATTTCACTTTAATTTCACTTGAACTCATTCACTATTCACGAAATAAGTTCCGGTTACGGGCCACTCCTAGGTCTCCTCTGCTTGGCTGCACTGCTGTTGCTTCTACACGTCGACGATGTCCTTAGGAGCGCGTGCTTCGCGCCTGTTGTTAGACCGCCTGAAGGCACTTCTTGCTATCTCTTGTTGAATCCACCCTCGGTGGCACTTTTTGTATAATTTGTATAGACCGCCGATAGCCCCGATGATCAGCATAACCAATATGGTGCCCAATATGATGTTTGTCAACGAAACATTTTGGTGTAGCTGTTGGATGTCGGCGCTATTACTGCCGCCTGCCGCGTTTTGCGCGATAACCACCTCTTCTTTTGACGACGAAGAACCCATTTTAAAGTTTTAAAAAGTTTTTATGATGCAACTTGTAGTTACCACTATCGGCGATAAAATGTTCGTCTGTCATTTTTGCACTTAATCACGCGCGTACTAAAAAGTCCGAACCCGACACCGAACCTTAAAATGGCTGGGTCGCCATGTAAGGACGGGACGAGGCTAATTAAAGATGTTACTCGTATTGAATATGATTTATTACTGATCTCTCAAATATTAGATACATTGCTTTATATATTGTCTTACTACTACGTCACATGCCCTTCCAAAAGGAAAAAAAAAAAAAATTTTTTTCGAGTCTAATTATATATTTGCTTGTGATTATAACATGTAAGGACGGGACGAGGCTAATTAAAGATGTTACTCGTATTGAATATGATTTATTACTGATCTCTCAAATATTAGATACATTGCTTTATATATTGTCTTACTACTACGTCACATAGGACTCTAGAATTGGAAAATCTGAAAACAAGTGTACAACCGTATTATCAAGTTAAAATGCCAAGTTTTGACATACCTAGCGCGCGCCAGCCTCACGGCAGCCATGTGGCACTCGACGTGCACGATGTTGTAGTGCGACACGGTGGTGTAGCCGAGCGTCTTGCGTGCGCGCACCTCGTATTCTTCCACGGGGCAGCGCTTGGTGAACGTGTAGATGCCTAGCACCTGTGTAAAGAAAACACTTTGTTATAATATTAATAGTGGGGGTAATAGAATAGGACTAGCTCCATTCTTCAAGTGGATGTCGTAAGGGAGAAATTATACAAACATCAGGCCTCCCAAATCCATCTGGTTAGTGTAGGGAGTGTACGCCAAATCCATCGTTTGCCTCTGGTAAATTAGAGAGGATTTTCGTAATTGGTCCAAAATAAAAGGATATCCAAAATTAAAAAAAATAAGGAGGTTAATCAACTTTTACTACTATATGCAGAAAAAAGCGAATTGGACAAATTGCGAATGTGACTAATCGCGAATTTGTAAATTTTTCACGATTGGACCAATTGCGAATTGGACCAATCGCGCCTAAACGGTTGTGGAAACCATGAGGGAGGTGTTTTTCCATCAGTGGACGGCACTAGGCTGAAAAGAATGAAATGCCGTTAGCCCCTGAATTGGTCGGCTGGTACTTGTAGCCCTCGCGGCAGATGCAGCACACGGCGCCCGCCTCTTCGGCCAGGTGTCTCTCGCACCGCCATGGCGACACGCTTCTTAAGACTAATAGCCCCGCTAGCCCTGACATTGGTCGGCTGGTACTTGTAGCCCTCGCGGCAGATGCAGCACACGGCGCCCGCCTCTTCGGCCAGGTGTCTCTCGCACCGCCATGGCGACACGCTTCTTAAGACTAATAGCCCCGCTAGCCCTGACATTGGTCGGCTGGTACTTGTAGCCCTCGCGGCAGATGCAGCACACGGCGCCCGCCTCCTCGGCCAGGTCTCTCGCACCGCCATGGCGAGACGCTTCTCTTAGAGCTCTTACACACGAGCAGCACATTGACGACAGCAAAAGCGACCGCAGTCGCTGTCACTTGTCGGCAGCTAGCCGTCGACGTGCCCGCAGCAAGCTGTCGACACGTCGACGTCTGCCGTTGACGTGTCGACAGCTTGCTGCGACGACCGTGTCGGCGTACGTCTTTGTACAGGAGCCAGTTGAAAATGGATTTCATTTCATTGAAGAAACACTGTTGTTGCTTTTACTCCGTCGTCGTCGACGACATTAAGGTATGTTTGCTCCTGGACTACTGACAGTTGACCTTCAAAATGGCGGAGGCGGTTAGCTGTCGCCACCTGCCGGTGGCAGCCGCGAACGCGTCGACAGCACGGCGGCGGCATGTCGACAGCTAGCCGTCGCCTTCTGACGTCAACTGCAGTTACATGCGTCGACAGCAAATTGCTGTTTATGTGTAAGAACACTTAACTAATAGCCCCGCTAGCCCTGACCTTGGTCGGCTGGTACTTGTAGCCCTCGCGGCAGATGCAGCACACGGCGCCCGCCTCCTCGGCCAGGTCGGCCACCTGCTGCGTGAGCGAGCACTGCGCCGTCACTTGTCCGCGCTCGTTGCTGCGCATCCCTAGCGCGCCCAGCTGTCTCTCTCGCACGGCCATGGCGAGACGCTTTTTTTCCTGTTCAATGGGACAAAATTTACCAGTTTAATAAAACATAAGAAAGTATTCCTATAGTAGTATAAAATCCTGCAAAACAGCTTAGCCTAATCAACCCGATCACACGCGATCAGCCGGCGTGCAGCGATGGCGATCAATGCATTTAAGTTTGATCGCCATCGCTGTACGCCGGCCGATCGCGTGTGATTGCGTTGGTTTGACCGAACCTTAAAGCGCCTCCACAATAACGCGGTGTCTCGTGTCCTATGTCAACGAAGAGCGGCATGACAATCGCGATCAAACCAATGATATTTCTTGCTTGCGATCTACAGGCCAATATACGGCGCAACTTAACAATGTACCTAAGTCAGCGACGAGCGTTTTGCGTGATTTAGTACACCGCGTAAAAATTAACAAAAATCATATAAAAAATTCAAAAGTTCACCTGTCTAGTGAAGTCTCGGACTTCTTGCACCTTCGCAGCACACTGTGGTTGAGATCGCAGCGCTTCCAGGAGGTTCTCGGCCAGTGACCCCACGTGTTCTCCTGATGAGACTTGCTCCAAACGGTGGACTATTGGGATCACTTTCTCGCATACCAACATCTGTCATAATAGAATAAAACATAACAATATTAGCTTGAGGAGTACTCAAATGTATGTAGGAATTGAAATGCGGTAGTATTTATCCAGCTTTATTTGTAATTTTCCGGGATAAACCACAAGAAAAGTCCTCTATTTTTGTCTTCTCCAAAATCACCTTTCTTACTCACTCACTCAATCATTCCCTTTCACTCGTTCTTTTGCGTTCCGTTTCACGCACCCACATGTATGTATGGGTTCTGATATCAAATGACTATACGGGACTATTCCCAAATTCAATCAAAATTCAAATGACTATGCTACCTAATCTTAGAATCTGGGGGCACGGCAGTGCCCCCGCCAAGTCGAGCGCGAAGCAAACACTGCCGTACCATCCTTTACTGGAACCATTTCGCCGCATTTTCAGACCCCTATTTGAGACCCTCTGGATAAGACCAGAACGCAGAAATTTTCGTCATCTAGTAAGCTATAATCACATACTTAAAATCCAAAATTTCAAGTCTGTAGGTCATTTAGTTCCGAAGTTATGCGAAAGCAAAGTTTCGCATTTACGACACTCACTCACTGATGATCATCAAAATAGAACTAGTACTTCCCATAAACTCAGAGAGCTGAAATTTGGTACATACAGAGTTAGGGTTTAATGGCCACATAAAGGGAAAACTATAAAAACTAGGAAAATCGAAGATCTGGAGTAACATCACATTCATAATCAACAATTACTACTCCGGCACCGTGGTGTTCGCCTGTATCGCTCACCGCTAGATGGCGCTAGCACTAGCAATCGGTGTCCAGATTTTTTTCCTTTCTAGAGAAAGTCGTCGATTAAGTTGAATGTTGTGTAATTTGCATTTCGTTGATTTCGTTTATTATATTGTAAGGTTCGCTAAGGTTATGTTATTAAAACAATTCTGATTCGTTGTCCATTTTAAAGGTCATAGTCATAGTCATAGTCATATATGTTTATTGCATCATGTTGGTACATTTGGTCGTTGAGTTTATTTGCGTTTAATATCGTAAAAAAATGTCGCCACTTTCTACAAAAAGAAGTGAAATCCCACCAAAAACATTCTGTAAAAACTAGCCAAGTCTCGATGGTGCTGCTTGTTTATCTCTAAAAAGTAATGAAATCTAGACAAAGTCGTGCCAAGTCTATAATGGTTCCTTACTGCGATTTCTTTATTATTATAGTTAATGTTGTGTGACTTGGCCGTTGAACAATCTTTATTAAGATAATCATACATAAGTATTATTGAAATACGCAGCTTTATTAAACCTACAATTGACTGGTTATAGTTGAATCAACGTTTTCCAAGTGGCAATTTTCCATTGTCAATGGGTAGCGGTTCTGGCGACAGATTGGTGCAACGATATCATGGAGCACCTGGTTTTGTCACCCTTCAACGGCCAAGTCACACAACATTAACTATAATAATAAAGAAATCGCAGTAAGGAACCATTATAGACTTGGCACGACTTTGTCTAGATTTCATTACTTTTTAGAGATAAACAAGCAGCACCATCGAGACTTGGCTAGTTTTTACAGAATGTTTTTGGTGGGATGAATCTTACCTGAGTAGGCTCATGGTCGGCAGCGAGTCCAGTGAGGAACCGGAGGATGTATTTAAGGGCCGGCCGGCTGATGAACTCCTTTAGCTCGTCTGAGTCCGTGCACACCAAAGTAGGCTTGACACACGGGGCATGTTTCTGCATAAGAAAAGATTTCAAGTCTTGAAAAGATAACATTCACATTGCTAGGAATATACGAAGCTGAATGATTCCAGAAATTGTTGAAAAAGTATTGAACTTTGACAAAATATTAGGGCCCCCGCAAAAACTCACGCGGGCGCCCCCATATGCGGTTGTGTATTGAACTGTATTTAACAAATATCCTTAAACTGGAAGACTTTGTTGTTTACTTAACCATAGGTAGACAATATTTACAGATTGACCGCCAATTAAACTAGTGGAGGTTTACCTAATGAGGGTTTTCGCGTATGAAAAATCCGCCAGATGGCAATACGTAGACGCGAGGTCCAAATGCTGCATGATTGGTTATTTTTGACATGACATTAACAGATAATGTCAAAATCCACCAATCACGCAGCAGTCAGACCCCACATCCACGTCCTGCCATCTAGCGGATCTTTCATACGCGAAAACCGTCATTGGACCAGCGCTTAATTCAATCAGCTCTACATAAACCAGTCCACTCACCACAATATACTCCAGCGCATCGCGGACCACGCCCAGCGATATCAGGTAATCCTTGAGGGTACCGCCAATGGAGTTCCTCTCGATGTTAGCGCACAGTACACAGAACAGTTCCATTCGGAACTCCTCTTCGGTCCATTGTTCCGAGTCCAGCCGGTCGAAGTCCAGTACCGGCTTGAAGTGATCGACTAGCATCGCCATCTTGAGATCGTTGCCGTATACCAGCGCAGCGAGAACGCGCGTCAGGTGACCGAGCGCGACTGAGTTGCTTCGAATACCTATATTTAAAATAATGTTTTCATGAAAATCCTTTACAGTAGTTAATAAAGAACTAAAGTATCATGTAAATAAAGTATATCGATCATAATTATTTTCACTCACGAATAATAGAAAGTTAGTATTTTGATAATGATATTTTATTCTCGAATATAACATTTCTTTTTAATTACCTGGACACTCAGTGCAGTTGAGGAGAGCTTGGACGTATTCTGGACCTCCGAAAGTCAGGGAGAACTGCAGGAATGACTCCAAGCTTTCGCTGGCTGCTACAGATAGAATGCGCTCCATAATCTGTAACAAACATGTTAATTTACGATCGCGAAAACTTCTTTTATCATGAACCTACATTTATAGTTTGTGAACTTTGTTACTGCACTATGTGCATATTATGACGCAAGTATTTATATCATCCAGAATAGAATAGAAGCAGTGTTCAAGCGAACCCCCAACATCTTCGCTTAGTTAACATTATCACGTAGGTGGAAAATGAAATCTAACCAATGAAGCTATCGGCTAATTATTGCCAGGGGGACGCCACCGTCAATACAGATTTTTGCCACGTTGGAAACTATACAGTTGAACGATGGTGGCACCCTCCTGTCAATGAGGGCTATCGTTTTAGCGCTCACCAGTTAGCGCCACTGTAGAGTAAGGTCCTGTCACTTGCTAGTAGCGAAGACAGTGGCACCAACTGGTGAGCGCTAAAGTGGTAGGAAGACTATCGCATTTGCACTCATCAAGATGGCGCCACTGTAGAGTTAGGTCCTGTCAATCGCCAGGGGTGCCAACTGTTAAGTATAAAAACGATAGCCCTCATTAGTTTGGTGGGACAGTTCAGTGAACTTCAGTGTAGTGGGTCTATAATAAGCTGACTATCAACGTACCTCCAGCAACTGGTAGACTAGATGTGCCCTCGGCATGTCCTTCTCCTCGTCAGCGGCCAGATGCAGCGCGTGCAATAACACTGGCAGCGCGCGCGTCTCGGCACGCGTTAGCACGCGCACGCAGCGGCGCACGCGCGCGCAGAGAGACAGTAGGCGGAGTAATGTGGAGCATAGTGAGCGGGCCGCGCCTACGCGTTGGATGGCGGCTAGGCGCTGCAGCATTACTTCTAGACCGCCTGTTTGAAATATACAATCAGTTTTGTTGAGGAAGAGTGTTAATAATAATTGTTGGGCACCACACGGCTCATTGGAGAACCTTCTAGCTTTACCAACTACTCGTTGAGGTACTCTTTGCCTTATAAGTATAAAGGTTTATTGAGCGGCCGCTCTTGAGAAAACTAGAATTTGACTCTCAAATCTATTCTTGATTGATGATTTGCGAAAGTCGCTGACAGAATTAGATGCGAGTGATGGGACAAGCTAATAACAGGGCAACAATAAAATAGCTCGTATTCAGGGGAGGCGTAAGTCCAGTAGTGTATTGCTGATAGGCTGATAATGCTGGAATTCATTGTATTATAAATTGCTATTCTATTCGCTATCACTTACCGCAGTCAGCCAGCACATTCGCCATGCGGTACACTTGTTCATCGTCCACAGCCTCTGCATTAGTCTGGCTGAGCGTCTCCACAAACTCTTCTGTCGCGTCGCCCAAGAGCCCTCGCATTCGGTACACTACCCGCATTGCGTCGACACCTTCTCCGGAAGTACACCACACCTAAAAAATGAGACGGTTAATAAGTATCTTCAACAATTAAATCCCTAAAGAAATAATTTAAACCAAGATTTTAAATAGCAACAACGAACTAATTTGAATCTTCTCAACTCTAAATCTTTCCACTTGTTCAATTTTATGCAGAAAGAAGTCTCTCTCTAGATCAAATTTGATATTAACATAATTCCAAGACAGCAAGCAAGGGAAAGAGAGGTGACATTAGTCCTGATTTTTCTTACCTTCTTGTACACCTCCTTGACGGGCAGATCTAACGACATGATCTTGTTGCAGACGAGTAGCTCCATTCCGTTGTCATCCTCCAGCAAAGCCACGAGCTCGCAGTCAGTACAGATTTTGTTCTTCACGTCACGCATAAGCGGGCCCATTCCCGGCTCGAGGGACGAGTACGGGTTGCCTAACATGCGACCCTGGTGAATAAACAAAAGTTATTTAGTTTAACATTGAGTATCTTGGGTAGTCCAAAGGTTCAGTAGTATGAACCTTTTTGGTAGGAATTTATCCAGCGACTCTACCAGCATACTAGTTTAGGTGGTTATTGCCCGTTTTCACAATCAATCCCTAATTTTTAAGGGACCTCTATGAAAACAAAATTCCTGTTATGTGTTACCATAGGGGTCACTTAAAAATTAGGGATTGATGGTGAAAACGGGCATAGGAGTCTTAGAGTGGGTTGATGACTTGTGAAAGGTCGCCAATAGAAGTTAAGATGTGTCAAGACTGGATAAAATGGCGCATGTTGTGGGCTTCAACGCTTGCCACGTCTCGATGCATACCATCTCTGCTTCTAGATTGGAAATAAACTGTCTTCTCGTCACAGACTCCTACCGGCAAGATTCAGGACTGCTGCTGATCTTTCTCCATCTCCATTGTATTCAGCTGTTTCTGTTTCTGTGCCAGGATTGGAAGTAAATCTTCTTCTTGTAAGTCTCTTACCTGCAAGAAGTCCTCCTGTTGCGGATCTTTTTCTAGCGTTAGGAAGAATTCTCCGACGTCATTCTCCTCGGGGTAGATGATGGAGCACAGCCGCTCGAAGATGAACACCGGCGTGCGGTAGTCGTGCAGCGGGTACTTCTGAACGGTTTCAATGCAGACCGACATAAATTCCGCTGTTTCTGCCTCTGTACCTGTGGATGGAAATAAAACGTGAGCATTGTCATATTATTCAAAGTTTAACAGTCATGTAGTTACATATAGTTATTGTCCTATTATTTTAGTATTTTATCTTGTCTGTAGATAGCAAATAGGTTCGTTCGTCTTAGCCAAATGACGTCCACTGCTGGACAAAGGCCTCTCCCAAGGTTTTCCACAATGAACGGTCCTGCGCTGCCCGCATCCAGGCTCTTCCCGCGACCTTTACCAGATCGTCGGTCCACCTAGTAGGAGGCCTGCTTATGTTGTCTTCCAGCCCGTGGTCGCCACTCGAGAACTTTCCTGCCCCAACGGCCATCGTCTCTACGAGCTATGTGCCCCGCTATGAGTAATCCCATTCTTTTCTGGGCTAGTTGGTCACTGTGATGTCCACTGCTGGAGTAAGGCTGTAAAATGTTTCCCGCACAGAACGTCGGTCCACATAGTGGGAGGTCTGCCCACACTAAATCTTCATTCCAGGAAAATGCATGCAAGATAAAAATGGGGTAGGTATAGCATCAGTACCTGTGGTCATCTCCTCCAGCAACTCAAGCAGTTTCTCCTGTGTATCATCAGTGAGGCGAGTTCGTTGCACCACCAGCCTACGTAGAGACAGGTAGCCGCCCAACACGGCACCCACTAGGCGGCCTTTGTATGTGCGGCGCGCCCCGCTTTGTTCCAAGAACATGGCTAGCAGTTCTGTCAGACGCTTTAGGGCGTAACCTGTGGAGAAAATATACAGATCCAATCTAACTGTAGACTAAGTAAAGCTCTAATGAGTCTTTTGTAGACTGACCACAGCTTTGTGCGGTCAGATATCATGGAGTCTTCATCTTATCAAAAATCATCAGAATTTTACAAAATCTCTTACTATGTTAACGAAAACAGACATTTTGGCTTCAAAGTTAAAGTATACCTAACTTATTTATCGTAAAAATTGTTCTAAAATAAACGGTTCTTACCTTGCGCCAAGTCAGAGGTGAGAGTAGTCTCTTCAAGGCGATGCAGTTGTTCGATCTCCTTGGTCATTAAGTCTGCAATCTGCTGCAATACTCCGCGTAGAGCCAGGAACTGTTTCCATGGCGCCTCAGAAGCCAGACCTGATACCACAACAAATATTTTCAAATTAGTCTCAATTTCAAAGCTGAATAAAATCTAATAAAATAATGTGATGCACTCACTTTGGTAAAGTTGTAAGAATTGTTCGCTAGCTTCTCCAGCGCTTCCAACTTCAGGCAAGAAGCTTGTCAGTAAGATGAGAACCTGTGGAAAAATAGCCAATGAACACATCTGCGACAAGAAACTTTAAAAGCTAAAGGCGCTACTTGAAAAGCTATAGTAACTATCTACACTGGTCATCACAAAAATCGACCCTTCCGCGACAAGCACTTTCAAACGTATGCATCCCCACTTCCCACTAATATTGGCACCATTTAAAATCCTAGTTCTAAACTTCATTTCATTAAAGGAAAGGTTTTTACCCCAAAAATGTGTCTGTAGAAGAATCCAGAGTCACTTCTTCAAAAAATAGGTAGTTACGCTTGAGCCAACTTTTATGGCTATAAAACTGTTAAGTTGGGATTAATCGCTATCCATCTGTTAAGGAGGACACGTGAGATTATTATTTGGTTTTATAACCATAAAAATTGGTCTAATTTATCCCAGAGGTGAGCCCAAAGTGAGGTCTTTTTTCAAGTCACATTTATTGTATATGTTAATCGTTTAAATCGTTTATTAAGAAATTAAAAGTAGAAACGAGTTTTCCTGTAAAACGTAGGTGGGCCGATTTTTGTGGTGACCAGTATATTTCATTGGCATGTAGATACGTCTTATTTATTAATTTGTTCGGGTTCTTTTAGCCGAGATAAGACTAGCACTTACAGCTTTAGTCCTCTCGTAGGTGTCGCAAAGCGAGCGCACCATCTGGCAGGCGGTGTCGCGCGCGATGCGGGAGCTTGGGTCGAACATCACGGGCCGCAGCCAGCCGCCGTCTTCCAGCGCTAGTGGCCGCATACCGTGCGATAGCAGTGTCTGTAAGATATTAAATAAATAAATATTCGTAAACATATATAAACTGTAGTCCCAAACTAAAACATTTGTATAGCTTGGTCAGCGGCAGAGTTATGTCTAGCAGTGATTCCAGTAGAATAAAATAGGATCACCCCCACTTTTCCCGTGAATGGCGCGGCGATAGCGCGGCCCAGACGGCGCCAGTCTAACACAACGTTGCCGGCAGCGCGTGGTATCTTAATCTACTGTGACGTCAATACAAGCACTCGAGTCCAGATTTCTTAGCCACTATTGCGAACGGAGAGCTGTAATTTGAAGATCTATTACGTCGTACATACCCTCTCACGCCAGCGAAGCAGGTATTTCCTTGCTAGATGCGCGTCCCGCGGCGGCAACTCGGTGTCAGAGGGCGCGGCGGTAGCGCAACCCAGTCGGCGCCAATTTACCACCACGTTTCAGCGCGGGGTATCTTAATCTACTGTGACGTCAATACAAGCACTCGTGTCCAGATGTCTTAGCCACTACTGCGAACGGAGAGCTGTAATTTGAAGATCTATCATGTCGTACATACCCTCTCACGCCAGCGAAGCAGGTATTTCCTTGCTAGATGCGCGTCACGCGGCGGCAACTCAGTGTCAGGTGGCGCGGCGATAGCGCGGCCCAGACGGCGCCAGTCTAACACAACGGTGCCGGCAGCGCGTGGTATCTTAATCTACTGTGACGTCAATACAAGCACTCGTGTCCAGATGTCTTAGCCACTACTGCGAACGGAGAGCTGTAATTTGAAGATCTATTATGTCGTACATACCCTCTCACGCCAGCGAAGCAGGTATTTCCTTGCTAGATGCGCGTCCCGTGGCGGCAACTCAGTATCAGGCGGCGCGGTGGCAGCCCGGCCTAGGCGCCGCCAGTAGCGGTGCGGCACGCGGCCTGCCAACCACGCTGCTAAGTCCACAACGACGTTCCCAGCGGGTAACATGCCAGTCGGCGCCGGCGGTGGTGGCGACTTCTTGCTGAGCTTCATGTTGCGCGCCAGCTCTAGGAGGTTGAAGCCCTGGAATAAATGTACCAATGTAATCACAACATTTAAAATTCAGAAAGAGCGCGGCGAACGATTTAAGCGATGCTCTCTTGTTTTTGTTAATAAACTGTATGTTTATGCAGTTATTGTTGAAAATAAATGAGTCGAAATTAATTACTTAAGGGCAGATTTTTCAATCATCGAATGACTTTTAACTAAGGAATAAAATTGGCCTATTGATAGTTTCTGTATGGGAAATATGTCAAAATGAAAATTTTGTTCTTCAGACAAAAGATATCCAACGGTTGACCAATCAGCCTGAAGTGATATGCATGCATTATTACTAGGTATACCTTTACCACGTCAGGTTGTTCCTCCTTCGGAGGTTCGGCGGCGTCGGCGGCGGCAGCGGCGGCGGCGGGCGGTGGTGCCATCAGTTGGTGCATATACCGCATGCAGGGCAGGCCCACTTGTTGTAGCGCGAACTGGTGGGCTGTACCGAGATAAGTACTACTTAGCAATAGTTGACACGGAAAACCACTCAGTTACTATACGAATAAAGCTAGTTTTAGAGTCACGCTGACGCACGCTGACCGTCAGCGCTGACAGCCGTAATGTATGAAGCGTCGGCGCCGAGCGATCAGCGTCACTCAGGAACGTTCCCTTCAATTACATACATATTGATTCTAAAACCCGCCTAAAATTAAATTTTCAGAATTTTGCAAATTGAATTTTCAGAATTTTGTAAATTGAATTTTCAGAATTTTGCAATGTGGATAGGAGGACTTACAGTTCGGTGAAGATGTGTTGATGCCAGGCAATCCGGCCAGAACATCGGACTTCAGGATTGCATTTGCCGCAGGAGCGATGCCAGCCACTTCAGTCAGATGAGGGCAACACCTATAACATTGAATAAAGAATTAGTTTCAAAGACTCTGGTTTTATTGACTTATCTACCCTGGAAAGATGTTTTACTCACCAAACCCAGAGCTTGACGATACAGCGTAGTCTCGCCTCCCAACACTCAACGGAATCTTGAACTTTTACGAGTGACCCCAGTAAAAGAACCAATGGGCGCACCTATAAAAAGTACAAACTGTTAGCCACTGAATAATTTTTCTTTAAATTTTGCCAAATATGATACGACTGTCATTTCATACTAGTAATAACTACAGTTATTTTGCTACGATCTTACTGCTTTGCCAATAAGGTAAACTTACCGAGTTGTTATGATCTTGCGATGCAGCGTGGCCCATTAGCGATAGCGTGATTCGCTGAGTCAGCAAGTTGCAAAGTTGTTCTGTCGCCGGCAAATTGTCTCGGGTCACCAGACAGATCAGTGCACGGACCTCTTCCTGACACTATAAAAAAAATCAACTCAGTAAAAAAAGTTTTTAAAAAGAAGTCTGACAACTTAAAATACTTTTTTATTTTATTTAATACCTGGGGAGTTCCACGATGCAAGTTATGCTGGACCAGTTCTTGCACTAGGCCAAAGCGGCAAAGGCGAGTGCGGTGTTCCGCTTGAGAAGCTAGCGCTCGCAACAACGTCAGACATTGTTCGGCACATGCCAGCGAACATCCGTAGCAACCTCCGCCGGATTCTGTAAAGATAAAGAAAAGAAATGAATAACGAATAAAAAGATGATAAAAAAAAATAAGAATACAATGACTCAAAAACAAATTAATATCGAATAAAAAAGAAAAACATAGAATTATTATTTTCTGTAACCTTTTAGCTTTCATAGGAATGACACAACCAGTATATCGATTGAGTGGTAGAAAATGTCGGAAAGGTAAATCTTACCTTTGGCAAGGTCCCCGTCGTAGTTCTGCACTAAGCCAGCATAGACTGGCAAAGTATCGCCTTTGAGTTGCTCGCTTTGGGACCGGTCAAACGAGACTAGTTCTTTCCTAAAACAAAATATAATATCGTTACATTTTTAAGGATTGATTGAACATCATTTTGATTGCATGTACTTTTCCTATACTGAGAAAAGTCGAACATGGGGAGAAATAGAAGATTGTGAAACACGGTTTTCAATAATGAAGAATTATACGACTACGAATTTTCCGATTCTCACCTGCAAGCCAGCACTTTCTGTATGATCTTGGAGAGGTCCTCGAAGTGTCCTTTGCTATCGACACAGTACTTGTGCGCAAGAGTCTGTATGACGCGGTTGATCTGCGCTCCGCTGAACGACGTGTTGCTTGCGTTGCTATTCTCATCACCGGAGCGGCCTTCTAGACGGTGTTCGCTGATCTTGTGGAGTAAGGACTGTGGAAGAAAGTAAAATAAATAATGTGTTATAATAAGCTTGGGAAACTTTGGATGTTATTTCAGATCCAAAAAGTTGCTGCCAACTTTTAAGCTGCAACTAGAAAAAAGAGCCTCCTTTGACTTGCCAGTTAGATTATTCTCTCATACCAGAACACTGACTGACTTAATTTTAAATGGTCCTACTTTTGGATAACATGTCTTTACAAAGAACTCAGAAGTTCCTATTATCTATCTATCCAAAAGATTTTCAGCTATGTTGAGTGGCGTATGCGTGCTAGACATCTGACATTTGTATGACACGGCGGAAAGGTCTGGGTAAGCCCAGTATGCCCAACCCACGCTCACAAAGTATAATCTTCGCCAAGTTATTTAAAACTACAGTTTAACTGCTTACCTCCAGCACGGGCTTGTTGGCCGTAAGCTGCCTGTACACGCGATCTGCTTTATCCAGCAGAGCGCCAATGGTCTGCACCATCTTCTTGCGTTCTTCATCATTCTCGATGGTGTCCACAGCGCAGCACGGCCGCGCCGTCAGCGTATAGTCAAACTTGGCGTATTTGCAGAAGCCACAAGCATGGCAGAGGAACGGATCCTTTTCGTCGTAGTTTATGGCCCTGGAAATTAGTAACAGCTTTTTATTTACCTTGTAATTGAGGCAGAAAGGCTACTCTCCAAAACATAAAGCGAGAAAGTGACAGCAAAAGATATGTAGATTCAAAATTTCAAAAATAAACTGGCCGCGCATGGCGGTGATATTTTAGTGAAGGTTTAAGACCAGGCAAAATAAGTGTGAAATAAATCTAAAAACTTTGGACTAACAAGACAAAATTATACATTTTATATTTGTGTAAGTGGTCTGTACCTTATTATATTGCAAAGAGAAACGGTTTATTTCAAGCCAGAAGAGAGAGAGACTTACCTGCACTTGTGGCATTGGAAGACGTTCTCGCCACAGTTGGCGCACACGCCGGGATTGGCTGGCACGGATTGCGAGCATCGTGGGCATTGCAGCGATTCACCTAAGAGAAAAGAAATTATTTTTGTAGGCTACTTACTATGATTCGTGAAATTACACATCAATATAAGTTATAATGTACGTTCGACTTCAAAATTATACGATCGTATTAGGAGTGATTTCAGTAATAGTATTTTTAAACTGTTGTGTTCTGTGGTTGTGCCTATAAATAAATAAAAAAATAACTTAAACCTTTAGTTCTATTGTTGCCTCAAAGCATCGAATAAGTACGAATTTTTCATTTTACCACTGTTACTTACCTGTGGCCTGCTGGTTTTCGTAGAACTCGGCGTACTCCATCATGAGGTTGCAGGCCACAATAGGAAGCGGGAAGTCAACGCGCACCTCTGATTGGCCAGACTGGAGTTGCACGCGCTTTGCTTTGTGCCACATGCCTGTAAAAGGTCTTGTGTTAGTTATTTGAAAGATTTAATCATAAAAAATATCAAATTATCGTTAGCTCATAAATGAGATACATCACGAGTAACAATTTCGCAACGTCTTTGACATTTTGGTTTTGAGTCATTGCTTATACTGGCACGTAAAAAGATTCTGCATTTTGGTTTTAGACGGTTAACTTACATTAAAAGTTAACTTGGATAAGATACAATATGCAGTGCTGCAATGACTTCAAAGCACGATGCATCTTCTGGGCAAGCCCGTTTAGTTTTAAATCGCATCTACCGACCCTCTTTTGAGATAAAAACATGATATTTTATGTCACGTATTGAATAAATAAATAAATCTCACACTCACCCGGTTTATTCTTGAGTTCCTGCACAGCCTGCACTGTCCGGTTGTTGTAATAGAAGTTGATCGTGCGCACCATCTTGTTGCGTTTGATGTCGCCGATGCGCAGGCTGATGCGGCTGATCATGTGGCTGTTGACCAGCTTAACGATCTGCGTCGTTGTCGTGAACTTCGAGTCGATCTGCGAACCGTTGTACACATTAGCTCTTATGTGGCAGCTTTATAGGGCCATTGGCAGGGTGGGGTGCAAGAATGAGGTGAAATAGATAAGGAACTATAGAAGTTATGTGACCAGCTTCACGATCTGCGTCGTTGTCGTGAACTTCGAGTCGATCTGCGAACAGTTGTACCCATTAGCTCTTATGTGGGAGCTTTATAGGTGCATTGGCAGGGTGGGGTGCAAGAATGAGATGAAATAGACAAGGAAGTATAGAAGTTATGTGAGCAGCTTCACGATCTGCGTCGTTGTCGTGAACTTCGAGTCGTTTTGCGAACCGTTGTACCGATTAGGTCTTGTGCGGTCGCTTTGTGCAGCCATAGAAGAAAGTATATTTTATGTATGTGGAAATTGTAGACATTTTAGTGGTAAGTACGCGATTCTATGCTACTGCGTTGCAGCAGCTTCTGCAAACAACTTGACGATCTGCATCGTGGTCGTGAACTTAAGAGTCGATCTACGAAGTCGATTTGTAGGGAATAGGCAGGAGATGGAAAAGGTGGTTTAGGAAAGTTAAAAACAGTTGTAGATATTTTTGGAGTACGTTAGGATTACTTAGGATAAGGTAACGTAAGTTTATTTCATAGTTGCACTTGTTACACACGAAAATAATAATACCGATGCAAATAAACGTTATGAAGCTGAAGAAGCAGTACTTGGGACTTTTTGAATACGACGTTTTAAGCCAGACGATTAATTTACATTTGAATTAAATGACAACTGTGTTGGTATAAATATGTTAGAGCATAGATGAACCACGCTGAACTGTCCCACAAAACTCAATGACAGGGGGGCGCTACCATCGTTCAACTGTATGGTTTCCAAAATGGAAAAATTGGAAGCAGCGATCCGGTATGGATGGTGGCGCCCCACTGTCAATGTCATGGATAGGACAGTTCAGTATTTTGGAACTATAGTCGTGCAAACGGTCGATTGACGTCCTGCCTGAAACGTCTAATTAGAAGAGCCCTTAGCAAAAAAAAGGAAAAGAAAAAAGAAATGGTTGATATGAGAAATGGCCATGAAAAGCGCCACCAACCTTAATAGTGGGCAGCTTGATGGTGGCCATGGGCAACTCCGGGTTGTTGCACACGAGACACGGCTCCGACTCGAGGTAGTATCCGTCCAGTTCCACGTAGGCGCCCAGTGCGGCATATAACGCGGCGTTGCCGTGCGATGAGAGCAGAAGGTTCTGGTTGCGGAGCAACTCTACAGCGCTGCCGACGTATTTCTGCGATGTTGGGAAGTTTATTAATCATAGAATAGTTTTGAAAAGAACCTAAACGATGACCCTCAGTCTCGTTTTTCATAATATAGAATATCCTTAGGATTATTGTGGCGACGTATAGCCAATTTACGGCACTCAACCTAAACATCATAGCAGGGCATGGGCACTACATGCGTATGCGCATACGTTTTGTAAATTTTATGCATGATTCTTCCTCAAAAGATCTTGAATAGCTTCTTCATTCCGAAACATAGTGACGTGTCTCAATTGATAATAATAATCTTTATTTACAAGTTGTCTAAATTGGACGTCACTATACACTTACCTCAGTATCGATGTTGGGCGTCTTGAGCGTGAAGTATCCCAGCAGGTCCACGAACTGGGCCGCCTTGCGCCCGTACTGCGGCAGCGTGGGCCAGATGCCCCACAGCAGGGATACCAGGGTCGCCTGCTCCGGCTGCGACGAGTTGCTGGTCAACACAAACAAAGAGAGATTAATATTATACGATTTAAACACAGACACTATAGTTAACGGTAAACGTTCCGCAGGCGAGGACTCATTTAAGCGGTCATTCTATAAAGGGAGATGCGTCAAGGGGGCGAGGCCGGTGTTGCAGAATTAGGCCCAAAAACAGAACACATTTCTCGTGAAAGCAATGATGACAGCAGCGACGTCATAATGTAAACAGTTTACATTGCTTGCGTAGTACTAAAGATTATTCGTACGTGGAGTGTACCGCAGTGGATAATTAGCTCATATTTTGATTACTTTGTTTGTGTGAATTTCTAATGCGACACTGAGTTTCGAACTCAGCACATTAGTTGGCACCTCTCTATATCTTTATGGATTAAAATAAAAAGAAAAATGTGCCTAAAGGACACGCCCAAAAAGCTATGCCTATCTTCCTACTAGTTGTTATCTCATTTAAAGTGTGATTAATTGATATGATTTCTGAATTACTTACTTATAAATAGCCAGGAGTAAAGCGTGTGCTTGCCAGCGCACGGCTGTTGAATTGGTCTCCAACAAGAATGCCTTCACGAACATTCTCAATTCGTCTTGTGACACCTAAAAACAAAACCGTTTTAAATATACCGCTCAATCAAAAACACAAAAACAAGTGACTAACGTTACGATATTGATTCATACCTGTTTGAGTATTTGTTGCACCAAAGCAGGCACTCTCTGTTCTTGGAACTTGGATCCGTCAGATACATAGGCGTCACTGTCGGCACTACGTTCACGTTCAGGGACGTCGGATGATGGCTGTAAAGAATACAATTTATTAATCTCGCTCCATTTGCGTATCTATGCATGGTTCATAAGCATTATTAAACCTTCTTCAAAACCGTGTGGTTCCAGCACAGTAGAATAAGACCAACTCTATTTCTTGGATGTCGTAAGAGGCGACAAATGGGGAAATATGCGAACATCAGGTCTGGCCAAATCGTCAATTCTCCAGCAGTGGACATTAAATGGCCTGATGATGACGATGGTCTTCTTCAAACAATCTTAAGTTATGTTGTTAATGTTTGGTCATTTGTGATATTGTTATCTTTGGTGTGTGGGTGAAAGGGGTTACACCCAAGGGCTTCCCGTCGCTCCTCCATGCCTATGCCTAGCAAAGCCAGCTAGTTTTTTATGTGACAGGAGGCAAACGAGCAGACGGATCACCTGATGGTAAGTGATTACCGTCGCCCATAGACACACAGCTAGTGATCTCACCTTGGGTTCCTGGCGCTGGTGGTGCGGCGGCGCGCACAGAGCGGCTTGCAGCAGCTGAAGCACTGTGGGCGCGACGTGCGGGTGCACGCGACGGGCCACCGTCACGAGCCATGCCAGAGCTTCGCGGCGTTCCACCGCGCACGTGTGTTGCCAGTTGCCAGTGCGGGCGCTGACGATTTCGGCGCAAGCCTGAACAAAACAAATGGGAGTTTTGAAAATAAAAGTACACCATTTCTTGGATTGTGTCTGAAATCATTATTGGCAATTTGTGTCACCAACTTCCTGTAACTTTAGATGCACCATGAGCTGTACCAGCTTGTCGTAGGTCAAATCAATGGTGAGCAGCGCACGCGCAGCTTACGGTAGCGCTCGCGCGTGCCGCAGAGCAGCAGGAGCAGTTTGCCTTGTGTCTTTGTATAGTCGCGCAGCTGCCGGTAGCGACTTGCGTCCTTATGTCACTGGTCATAAGGTCCAGGCTCGTACCTTGAGGTGCTCCATGAGCTGCACCAGCTTGTCGTAGGCCGGGTCGGTGGTGAGCAGCGCGCGCGCCGCGTTCAGGTGCGTATCCAACGCGTGCACGTCGCGCAGCTGCCGGTAGCGCTCGCGCGTGCCGCAGAGAAGTAAGAGGAGTTTGCGGACTTGCTTCCTGCAGATAATTTTATTTCATTTAGTAAAATTAACAGCAACAATAACATATAATAATGAATTAGATTTCAGAGATAGGCTTGTGTATAGGCACGGTACCTATTCAATAATCACATTAAGAGTAGGCGCACACCGTTGATTTTTCGTCGGCCGATAGTTTAGTCGGGCAGTTAATCAGTATGGGCCATGTATGGGAGTGCTCACACTACGCCGATTCGATTTGGCCGATTCTTCGTACAAATTAAAATCAGGCACAACTATCGGCCAACTAAAAATCAACGGTGTGCGCCTACTCTAAACAATAACATTAGATAAATTACCGAATCAGTATCAGTTATTTCACTTGTCCAAATTGACTTTTCTTTCACTAATCTCCATTGAGTTCAACTCAATCCTCCATTAATGTGACATATCAATGGAGACGAGTGGAATAACCCAAATCAGATATTCTATTGTAACTAACCTGAGCGGAGTCTGCTGGTTCATCATATACTCGCAGAGCAGCGTGCGCCAGCGCGCGTCGAAGTGCGCCGGGTCGCAGTGCTTGTGGATCTGACACGGCAGCCGCAGCGCCATCTCCATCAGCAGCTGCGGGTAGTTGTCGAACACGTCGAGGGCGTGGCCTGGTGTGCAAATATGACCTTTAAAATAACTGTGACAGAGTGCTACAAGCATCAAATATAGACCGCATAAACCGCAGCGCAGCAGACATTTAAAAGATGGACAGATACCTTATAAAGTTACAGGATTGCGCTAGATGCGGGCCACTTCCAAACAGTCAATCTGGAAATCATTGGGCCTACGTTCAGCATTGGAGTTCCTGTGGCTGAAATTACGTAATGGTGAAAAGATTATGATTTTTATGGCATAGTGTTTAACTTACTTTTAACATATTCCTTCACGAAGAAAGGCTGCATGTCTGGTAACGGCTGAGGCGGCAGTGGCTTCAAAAGCTGCTGACCAGTTGGTGTAGTTCCAGTACCTGGTAAAGGAAAAACTGATTGAAATTCTACGTAACTGATGGATAGATAGCAAGTTTGATACGGATAAAAAGGATAAATGTCGAAGGATGAACACCGATGAGAAATCAAATTTTTGATCGTCAAACAAGAGCTGTCAATGGATACTCACTGACAGTCTCCTCCTTCCAGAACGGAACCCACGAGGCGAACAGCCTGTATGCCGCGCTGTTGTGGTATGGCGCCGCCGCGGGCGCCTGCGCAGCGCGCTGCTGGCTGGCTAAAGATGTGCGGTTCCCGGAAATATTGGGTATATTGGAAATTTAGGTGGAAATATTGCCGGCAGTATTTCCGAAAATAGAAATTTATGAGAACGAAGCTCAAATAAAAGAAAGGAAATGAGGAAAAATGTGAAACCAAATAACAAAAATAAAGTTGTATGATACTTCTACTTCTTATCGTGTCGATGGAGTTAAACTAAATTATGTTAATTGGGAATCTACCAAAGGTCCACCACTCGGACAGCTTTTCGACTAACTGCTATACACACGGAGTCAGATAAATGAACCCGTAGGAACACCACACTCGCATACATTGTACCCAGTGTAACCAGACGTGAATAATATAATTATGCTTCAAACAACCAACCTGAATCTGTAGTCTACATATTTTCAAGTCTGCCACTACAATATCAAACGAGTCAAAATGTCCTTCCACTGCGAGACCTTGGGCTCTGGCGGAGGCACAGTAATGGCTTAGTGCAAGAAAGCTTTATTTGTAACTAAGCTTGGAATCGGAACAATATCGATAGCCAAGTGTAGCAAGCCAGACGTAACAAATGTCAACTTTCTACATTCTACTTTATCCCAAAAAGTTTTAGTGCAAAAGCTAGGCGTTGTTTTTCCCTCGACTGCTTAGCGTGCTCTCAGACGCATACTGCTTTTTGGACAAACATGATGATTTAAGCCCATAATATCTTATCGATGTGAAACCTGAGAATCGAACTCAGGATCTCCGGTACAAGGGAGTCCAAATGTGGATGAGTTAGTAAAAGTATGTGATTATTATTAAAGATAATTTCATCGACGCGTCAAGAGGAAGAAAATTCAGAATGCATTCAGAAGCATGCTACATTTCATTATTATGGATATGTTAATAATTGTATAGCATATTGATGTTAGTAGCAATTAATAAAGAATAAATAAGGCAACATGCAACCTTAATGAGCTTGCACGACTACACATCAGTCACCAAACTAGCCATATCTCCCCACATAAATAGAAATAGTATCTTTCTTGATGTGCCGTCGTCCACACTCAAATATGGCAAATATAATAATCACGTTAGTGTCAAATACAAAAGTGGTTATTGTCAGTGTTATTAACAAATAATATCGACACTCACTGGACGTCTTCTCCTTCCAGTAAGGCAGTAGCGCAGACAGCACTCGATAGCAGTGGTGGGGGGCGCCGGCTCGGACTAAAGCCGCCGCTGCCAAGCGCGAGACGTGCGCTGCGCAGGCGCCGCCAGTGACTTCAGCGCGAGTCGCCGGCCCGCCCGTGGCTGACGTCTTCCAGCGGGCCATGAGGACGCCTACGATGAGATACGGTCAAGATTTATAAATAGACGACGATTTCATCATTTCAGCCATAGGACGTCCACTGCTGAACATAGGCCTCGCCCAATGATTTCCACAAAAGCCGGTTGGTGGATGACGATTTGGTGATTGAGAATTGGACTCGTAAGAGATCGCGGGAGTACCTACACGTTTCTCTTATTTTGAGACCATAGATGGCACCGTGCAACAAAGAAAACAACTGTGCGATTGGCGAATTTCCTTCCTATTACTGCAAGATATTTAACAGTTTAATTTTAATATTGTTTAGGTTCCTGCTAAATTCGTAGTGGATTAGAAGACAGCTATCCTGTACTTAACCAAGTAAAAAGTTAAGATACAGAATTTCAGAGTCGACTCGAAAGTATTCAAGATGGTTAACAAACAAATTGATAAAAAATTAAACTCACTGAGTAGTCGCATGATGACTAACTGCAACTCCCGCCTATTCGTGCGCTCATGCACAGGAGGCGTAGTCTCCTCGCCTTGCATATCCAACTCTGACACCAACAGCTCAAGGCGCATAATCGCCAGTTGAAGCTCGCGTCTGTCAGTTCGCTCTTCGGCAGGAGTTGCGTCATCGTTTTGAATGTCTAGTTCGGCTACTAGAAGTTCCAGTAGGCGTTCTAAAACGGCACGGTCGCCTTCGACGCTGGAATCGAGGTCTCCAGCTAACATGAGGACCACCTGTACGAAACATTACACGATGAATAATCTAGTGCAGGCACGAGGGGAAGAAGTCCTTATACAAACAATCTGGGCATAATTGGACGTTTAATAGTTTTGTGAAGGATGCGAAAACATGACATTTGAAGCAAAATCTTTCTTATTCATCTTGTATTTGACCCACAGCAGGAATGGGCGTGGTCCGACGTGGTAAATAGTCTCCGCCCCAAATCAGGTCACGCCCACACTACCACCACAGAATAATAATAAGTACTACGTACAGAAGTTTTACTTCGCGAAGGTATTTAAAAAAATGTATGCTCAATGTCATTAACAATATGGTGTAATTTAGCCTGTCTCAAGAGTCAAGGCCACCGTGCGTGTTTTGTTTTCGATGTAAACTCGCGGAGATAAACAGGCCTGCTACCACTACGAACTCTAGCGACTGTCAATAGACTGGAAAAGTCACGACCACTATAAGGATCACATGTTTTGAAAAGATAAACACTCCATTCACATACCTGTACGAAAGGTATGGCTCGGACACCAGGCAGCGTCCTAAGCGTAGGCAGCGCGTCGAGAGCGGCCGACAGTAGCGAAAGACGTAAGGCATGAAGCTTGCGCGTCTCATTCTCTGCCTCGCTTGCGCGGGACGTCGATGCCACTGGTTGGGACGATGACGTGGATGGGCCGGCTGTGGGAGGTACGAAAAAGTTATAAATGGAACTTTCAATATCTCTTTTAGTCCTTGAAATAAGCGAAGCGTGCATTTCAGCGGGTTAAATGTACTGAATGTACAAGAAGAACATAATATGAAGCATACATTATCACTGTTTCTATTTCTTATCATTAATTAGTGGCAGTGTAGTTAGTGTTTTCTGACTTTATTAAGTTTCAGAAGATTTTTTGTAATACTAGTTTTTAGACTTGCTAGAGTTATGAGGTTTAGGAGTTTCAAGTGACGTGCTATGTCATTTTCAACCGACTTCAAAAAAAGGAGGAGGTTCTCAATTCGACCCGTATGTTTTTACAACAAAACATTTAAAAGGTGAAAAATATTGCAATGAAATATAATTATTAGTATGTCATGTCATGCAGTAAAATGAATACGGACCATGCAATGAATATACTTATCCTACTACAAAGGCACTATAGTATACGCATTCTCTCAAAGTATACTAGCCTGTGATGGCAACAGGCGCGGCGATGACATTCGAAGCGGGCATCGACCCCGTGGGCGGGGCTGACATCTCTCCTACAATACAACATTCTCTTTACTTCTAGAAACATAATCGCTAGGCGAACTATCCATATAAGCAAAAAACTAAAGGCGTATCATTTGCAGATTTTCAATGGCATAAGCCCAGATCGTGCGAGAGCCTCTAGTCTTACGTATCGGGCATGTCAGATATGCCACAAAGCTAACATAATGTCAGCTGTACAGTGGGTTCCAACTTCCAGCTACCCATTGTCGTTTTTTTCTCTCGCTTTCATCAAACGGCGATTCTTTGCGATAGAATGAGATGACATGACCGAAAATAGGTAGCTGGAAGTCTATGAGACAGGCCGAGTGCGAGAGTGTACAGGGTAGCTCTCGCTACCACTCGAGGTGTCTCGCTATCACTCACACGCTCTCGCTCCCGTGTTCACATTTGGGGCTGTCTCGCGAGACATTCGGGCGAGTCTGGGCGAGAGCTCTTGGACGAGACTTTGACAAAAGTATACATTCAGCATAACACTATTGCGATCAAATTATTCCCTAAATAAAAGACCTATTTGATAAATCAGGAGTACTCACCATAAGCGCTGCTGCGTCCAGAGACGCCGCCAATGCTGTCGTTGCTTTCGGAACCGGCGGAGCCCGGGGCTTCCGCGGGCGAAGTGCGGAGCGTACTGCCGTCCGTCGCCGCCGTGCTGCCTTCGTCGTCGGACCTGTATCAATTGGGGCTTTAGATTTGTAGCCAGTGCAGCCAGAATAAAAGATAAGAAATGATTGAAGACAAAGATTGTTTTTAACAGAGGATGAATGGCTTTTGTGTAGAAGTGGGTGGTGACAGATTTTCTAGATTCAAAACTTACATAATAAAATAAAGTTTCTCAATCTTTTTCGAGTAATTTCACTAACACAAAAATTATGTTTCTTCTCAAACCAACAAACTTAGTAACTAAGGTTTTATTTAGCTGATTGTGTAGAAGTGGGTGGTGACAGATTTTCTAGATTCAAAACTTACATAATAAAATAAAGTTTCTCAATCTTTTTCGAGTAATTTCACTAACACAAAAATGATGTTTCTTCTCAAACCAACAAACTTAGTAACTAAGGTTTTATTTAGCTGAATATAATTTATATGAGTCTATTCTATTCGTTTACAAATCAATCTTCGCTCACTTTGAAATATTGTAATGAATACAAATGTCATATTGTAAAGTATAGCACTGTACATTATTATCCTGAAATGTAAAGCAATTTTTTCATACGAAATTACTTTTTATGCATTAATATATTTCTACATACCCAGCCGGAGAATGCGTAGCATCTCCAAAGGCAGGGGCGGGCGGCGGCGGCGCGGTCGGCGCAGGCGCAGCGCGTCGCGGCTGCTCTTGCAGCGACAACGCAATGGCCAGTTCCACCATTGTCTCGTCGTCCGCGTCGGGCGGAATGTCCAGTAACGCTTCTAGGCCTAACGAATTATTAGAAATCATTTAGTCTTGGACATACTTCGTGAGGATAGGAGAATTGACTATGAAAATGGAAATGGATCAGAGAAATTTGCAAGGAGTTAAGAAAAGCGCCCGGGGAAAGGAGGCTAAAGCAAGTACCAGCGCGCTCTCCCGAGATTCGGTATGTACGCCGTGAGGCAGGAAGAACCAAGGTTGGCGGTGGGCTTTGATCGTAGCATCAGTTTTAACTTGGAGTAGGCCTAGGATGCGCACCACGATCAACTTTTATCGAGGCAATTTATCGATTTTGCACGATACATTTGCTGTATAAAATAGTCGATGTTAATATGGAGCGCATCCTTGTTTGACTGAAAACAATTTGAAATTCACGCAGGATAAAACCAAAAAACGATGATTGTAGTCGAGTATTGCATAAAAGCCTTCAGTTCAAGGCTTTAAAACAGTTGATCTATTATTTTTTATCTTTTCTATCCTTATTTAGGCACTCAAGTCGTAGAACTTAATATAATTATTCGATAAGGAAGAAGTTAATTTCTTAAAAAAGTATTAGAGTAGATAACTTACCACCATCAGGTGCAAGCAACACCATCGGTTCCAGCGAATCGTCTACTTCCATAAACTGGTTCTCTTGTTGTTCGTCGCGGTTCGTGCTGAAGTCTGTTTCGGAGACCACCGCCTCGGTTATGGAACTGGTCGGCTGAGCTGTGGTTACTGATGACCCAGCACCTAATAAGTAATTATGTAATTTACTGTCTTAGTTTTATTGCAGCAAGCAAGGAGATCACGAATTTACAGGCGTGGCCCTACCCAACACAAATCATCAGATTTATCATTGAAACTTCGGCATATTTTGTACTTTATTTTCTCTTATATTCTTAACCAAACCTTCTGAGAGAAAATGTTAGATTTAGGTGTCATTGTGTACTCGAGATACATACCAGGTGTATTAGGTGGCGATGGGATGTATACGCGACGCCTCTTGACACGCGGTCGCAGAACTCTCATGAGTGCGGCCTTGGCGCCGAAGCTTATGCTTTGATCTTCAGCCAATAACAGGGATAGATAGATTTGATTCCCGAATTCAACCTGTAGGGAGACAATAATGAGATCATTACTTGTGCGTAAGGATAATAAAGAGGGCAATTTTTAGTGTCATACAAAAGATTGTCTGTATTGTTGAATGGGCTAGCTATTGTCATTTACGAAAGCTCTTGCAGCCGGTTCCACTCTAGTTCGCTCAAGTTTCTACCCTTACCCTCTAGGTCCAAGACAGCTAATATAAACACTCACACATTCAGGGTCGGCATGTAACTGACGACAGATGACTAACCGCGCCGTTCTTGCAGCCGGTCACCTATCCCCGCTCCTTTAGGGCCAGGACTATAGTCTGGTCTGCGAGCACGTAGAATTCTGTCCAATGACCCCAAGCTACCCATCCTTAATTCCTTCCTTGCGGGCGCCCGTCGCACAGTCGCTTTACCAATATTACTGGGGTATACTCACGCATTCCTGGTCAGCGTGTAACTGGAACGCGTGCACGGTGTCTGCTAACGCGTGCAACGTGTGCTCAGCGTGTCTCAGCCCATACTGCAGGATGCCGGGCGGGCCAGCGCCACTCTTGCAGCCAGCTAACCGCCAGAGTACGGTGGTAAGTAGAGCGCATAGATGCGGCTCGCGCTCGTCCTGTTGCTGCTGTTGGAGCTGATCCAGCCGCCAGAATATTGACCAGTCGCCTGCAAACGAAATATAGATGAAGAAGTAACGAATTATGGGTTGAGTTGCGCTGCTTAGCCAGGATAAAGAATAAAAAAACATGGTCTTCGCATACCTACAGTGCGTGGTAGGGAATTGCAGATTTGTAATTTTTGGAAGAAAAGTGATGATGTGTTCTTTTTGGTCGCTATTGGTGGGATGACGAAGGATCGTTGTTCGCATGTACTCCATCTAACTTTTATGCCTTTTACCAAGGTTACAATCCATGTTAAATGAAGCTCACGCGGGTGCACGCACGCGAATCTTTATGAGCAGTGCTGAGGCCTGTGGCGCGGACGCGTGAGACAGATTTCCATACTAGCGGCAAGTGGACGCTGCGTATGCACTCGCATTCATGAACCCGCGCGTGTTTTAGCATAGGCACTAAAATGACTCGCACTCGTATTCACAAACGATGCTTGCTTAAGTGAAGCAGCTAATCGAACGCACAGCGTTGAATAGAGCTTTGTGATTGGTTCAGGTGTCACCCTGTGCATCCACGTGTACTGCGAGACCTCATAATAATGTTTGTGAATACGAGCGTCAATGGAAAGGCACTCACCATTGGCCGGACGCGGCGGCGCGGGCGCCGTGAAGGTGACGAGGTTGTGCGGGCGCGCCACGGCCACGCCGCGCGCTAGTAGCACCAGCCGGAAGTACGCCTCGGGGTCGATGTTACGCGCGTCGGCCGTGTCTCGTAGCTCCTTCAGAGACGTGCACACGTACTTCAGAATCGCTTGGTCCTGAAAAACAAATGACGGTTAAAGTTAATCGTGCCAAGACAGAAACACAATGAGGGCTATCGTTTTTATACTTAACAGTTGGCACCCCTGGCGATTGGCAGGACCTTACTCTACAGTGGCGCCATCTTGATGAGTGCAAATGCGATAGTCCTCCTACCACTTTCGCGCTCACCAGTTGGTGCCACTGTCTTCGCTACTAGCAAGTGACAGGACCTTACTCTACAGTGGCGCTAACTGGTGAGCGCTAAAACGATAGCCCTCATTGACATTCAAGACAAAAAGTTGCATCGTTCGTTCGTTCGTTTCAGCCAAATGACGTCCACTGCTGGACGAAAGATTCCTCCAAGGTTCAAATTCAAATTATTTTATTGCATGTCACAAGGTTTTCCACAATGAACGGTGCCCGCATCCAGTCTCCTCCCGCGACCTTTACCAGATCGTCGGTGCACCTAGTAGGAGGCCCGCCTAAAGTTACATAGTATGTCCTAAATCCAATCTATGTCTTTATCAAAAGATAAATATAACATTGGTTCAGTGATTTTGGGGTGTAAAAATAATTTAATCAAACAATTTTAATATGCACACGAAATTCCCAGAGTTCCTTTTGGCTGTTTATTATCTATGAATGTCATTTCACTGAAAGGTTCTAAAGACTAGACCATAAATAAGCAATATTCACCTTGTATTGATGATAGTAGTTGTGATGCAGCGCTCTCAGCAAGCACTGAACACGCGCATGCAAATGCGCACTAGCGGGCGCGCATAGTAAGTTCTTAGCGGCTTCACCGCCGCCGTCTACCATTACCACGGGCGGGTTGGCGGGGTTCGAGTTAGCTCCAGCGCCTAACTCAAGCGCTTCAAGCGCTGCGCACGCCAAACGCTCGAGGGAACTCGGCTTCCAAGCGCCGTTGCTTCCTTCGGCCTCCTGGTGAAAGGATTGCGTTATTTTCTACTACCCAATACTTATTTTGTGTATGATAGTGATATCAATTTTAATAAAATGATATTTATTACAAGTGTAAGTTATAGAAACTTACAGTAGCCACCTTGCTAGATGATGGACACGCGGAAGGATCTTCGTTTTCTTCGGGCCATCCGAATTGTTCTTTGTTTTTGCCGTAAACCTAAAACGAATAGAAAAGTCATTAAAATAGGTTATAGTGATTTTACAAACTAGAATATAAGTTTGAAACATACCTTCACAGAATCTACCATAGTGACTCCGTCGGGGTCTTGGGATGGTCCAAAGTTTATGGTCAACTTTTTGTCCGAGTTCAGGGATTCCTCGCGCGTTAGAGGAATATCAAACCAGCGGTTACGGACCACTATGGTCTGCACCGTTCTGCCATAAATCTACAATAATAAAAACATATAAGTTATCTTTTCAAATGGCATAAAAATTATCCACATAACAACAAATAATTAAAACTTACTTCAACATAAGAAGGAGTGCGGGCTACGTCTTGGCTTCCAAGCAACACTCTTATACCGCAAATCACCATGTTGGGATCCGAGTTTACCACCTCCATGGTGAAGCCACTCATTTTAGTTGATACGACGTATAAGCCTGAAACCACATAACTGGTTGATAATACGTTCTTGTTTCAAGTTACCCGAGTAATGTAGATAGGACGACACTTAGTGTTCAAACTGTATAACGCTTCGGGCATGAGATAAATGATGTCAGATGAGGCGATTCTCCTCGAAGCGAAGTAAAGCGCGTGTCCACACTACCTATCTATCTTACATCTATTAACTTATCGGCGAAATTCGCGGTGTTAACTCGAAATTCGAAGCAGTCATATATCGTCTGAGAGGAAAAAAACCTTTTCAAAAGGCCAACGTACCGGTAGTGTTCAGCCGGTGTTTGATTTGGGCGGTGTTGTACACCTGCAAGAGGTCATTACCGCCGAACTCGATGTCGGTCATCGCTACGCAATGCTCGAAGAAGTCGATCGGGAACTGTGGCGTGCCGTTTGAGTTCGATTTTGTGGTGGCCTGATAAAGATAAGGATTATTGTAGAAATGAGGATTACAGTAACAATTCATTTGAGAAATGAAGGACACAAATATTTTTAGCTAATTTTAGTCGCATCGCAAGCTATCTCGAGGTGACTTCAAACAATATATTATAACTTGGTTGGACTGAAGAGTTCCAGATATGCCATTTAACAGGAGGGCGCTACTATCAATATTCGTATATTAGTTCAGATTTTTGCCACATTGGACAACAATGAACTGTTAGTTTGATTTGCTGCACTAAGCTGCGATTGTTAACTTACTTTGACCGTAACTATGACAATAATCGGTGTTTTTGTATGGAGTTTGACAAATTTCTGACGTTTGTTAAAGTCAAAATAAGATGGTGCAACTCAGCTTTAGTTATGACATTTACAGGAGGGCGTTACTATCAATACTGGGCTACTATTTCCGATTTTTGCCACTTGACAATTCAGAATCGACCTTACCTGTTGCGCCTTGCCCTTGGCATGGTGTGTGAGCAGTCGCGGACGCCTCCTAGGCGCGTGCGTCGGCTGTATAGCGGGCGCGAGCCAATAGCCGGTATGTTCGCCGCTCGCGGCGTACATTCGCAAGCTACCGTCCTCGCAGAGAAGGATCAGCGTGCTCTTCTGCTCGCCGCCGCCGCCGCACCAGTGGCGGACCGCGACCATGTCGGTTATCTTGGCTTTGGCTGGCACAACCTGAGGTAAAAATATGTGGGTTAAAACTTAGTAAAATGAAGAGGGAAATACTGTAAGGAGGTCTTCACGTCTACGTCGTCATAAACTTGATTAATGTGACAAAAAATTAGAGCAGAGGCACATGATGGGTGCGAGTTTAGTATGAGCTTCCGGTAGGCTTTAAGGCGTGTATTGAGGAAGGGACTACCTATGTCCATTGGAAGGTCAACGCGGATGAAATGATAAGGGACATAATTAAAAACAAAAATATGCTCCTAAGTCCTACAACTGAAAGACTACGCCGATGCTAATTCGGTCTGAACGCTCTACTTGCTGCTGCAATCGTCACCCTCTGGAGCTCTATCACACAATGCTTCTCGGCCGAGACAGTTGTGTCGCTGACAGTACAAGTGTGGACGTACCTTGATCTCCTGCACGTAGATGTTGTTGGGCGTGAGCATGAGCACGACGGGGTTGTTGGAGGCCTGCATGACGGCGGTGACGAGCCCAGGGTGGCCGGGCACCTCGGCCCACTGGCAGAGGGATGCAGGCCCTGCTTGCCGCCGCATTCGTCACCTTCTGAAGCCCTACGAGTGTTGCCGACGCTACCAGCGTGGACGCACCTTGATCTCCTGCACGTAGATGTTGTTGGGCGTGAGCATGAGCACGACGGGGTTGTTGGAGGCCTGCATGACGGCGGTGACGAGCCCAGGGTGGCCGGGCACCTCGGCCCACTGGCAGAGGGATTGCACGCCGCCCTGCTTGCCGCCGCGGCCGCCACCTTCTTTCTGTGTCGCTAACGCTGATAGCGTTATCATTGCTGTGCCTGTGGACGGTGTAATACATTGAAAAACATGAACGAAATTATTAGTATAAGATCCCGCTATACAACGACCTTCACCGAGATGCTTATTTGATGAAACATATTTTATATTCAATTTAACATGTCAATAATTATATTGCTTAAGGGTTGCCTAATAAATTTCAGTCCAGGATATGATTAATTAATCATTAAAAAAAGTTTTATTTTTAAATATTTCATCGGTTTGATTATTAAACAAACTCCATACCAATCGAAAGTATGAAGCCCATAGAATATGCAAACGTTAGGTTGCCTATTCTTTTCCAGTCATAACTCTCGGGTTGCCAGGTATAAACAGGTAAATTGATAGAGCATTTTGCATCGGTCTGATAATTTAATCAAATATAAATGAAAATAAAGATTATTTCATTATGAACACGGTGGTATAGGGTTGCCTGCGAAAAATCAGTCCTGAATGACGGTTGTCGAATTTTGTAAAGTGAAATTAAAACTGAAAGGTGACATTTTTCGAGTAGTTGGCAACATTTGGGAAAGACGAGTTGTATGAGGCGTTTGTGTGTCTTGTCAAGAGGTGTCGCTTGGGTGAAGAAATTTCTCCAGTGTTGTGTGTCTTGTCAAGAGGTGTCGCTTGCGTGAAGAAATTTCTCCAGTGTTGCCATGCTTTCGGAGATTTGGTCCAAAAATGTCGAAAGTGGAAATAACGACTTCCGGTCAAAATTTTGGATGACGCCTCCTGCAAAAGGGTCGTACAAATGACATTTGACCATTTTCATCTCGATTACCTGGCAACACTTGCAGCTATGGGGAAAAGTATTTTTTTTCGACATGGGTGTCTTTAAAGTTAAGGACGGACAGAAGGAGACATGGCAGAAAAAATCCAAAATGGGGTTTGGTCGGTTATACGACCCAAATTATGGGAAAAATCCGAAAATTCAGAAAATCAAGATGGCGACCGAGTGAGCGGCCATTTTGTGAAAAGTTTCAAATTTCTGATTTTTCAAATGCATTTTTTTGGCAGTTGGCAACATTTGGGAAACTCGAGTTGTATAGAGCGATTACGTAGTTTGCTAAGGAGTATCGTTTGGAAAAACAACATTTTCCAGTGTTGCCATACTTATTGCATTTTTCGCTTAATCTAGACCATTTTCCGCGCCGAAACCCATTTTTACTTTTTTTCTAACTTAAACCAATCCCGTGAAACAATTCCTTAAAACCACCCAAGTCCCAAAATTTTGTGGCCCCGTAACTGCCAGTGTTGCCAGGTAATCGAGATAAAAATAGTCAAATGTCATTAGTTTGACCTATTTGCAGGAGGCGTCATCCAAATTTTGGACCAAAAGTCGTTATTTCCATTTTTTACATGTTTTGACCAAATCTTTCAAAGTATGGCAACACTGGAAAATGTTGTTTTTCCAAACGATACTCCTTAGCAAACTACGTAATCGCTCTATACAACTCGAGTTTCCCAAATGTTGCCAACTGACCAAAAAATGCATTTGAAAAATCAGAAATCTGAAACTTTTTACAAAATGACCGCTCACTCGGTCGCCATCTTGATTTTCTGAATTTTCAGATTTTTCCCATAATCTGGGTCGTATAACCGACCAAACCCCATTTTTGGATTTTTTCTGCCATATCTCCTTCTGTCCGTCCTTAACTTTAAAGACACCCATGTCGAAAAAAAATACTTTTCCCCATAGCTGCAAGTGTTGCCAGGTGATCGAGATGAAAATGGTCAAATGTCATTTGTACGACCCTTTTGCAGGAGGCGTCATCCAAATTTTTGACCGGAAGTCGTTATTTCCACTTTCGACATTTTTGGACCAAATCTCCGAAAGCATGGCAACACTGGAGAAATTTCTTCACCCAAGCGACACCTCTTGACAAGACACACAAACGCCTCATACAACTCGTCTTTCCCAAATGTTGCCAACTACTCGAAAAATGTCACCTTTCAGTTTTAATTTCACTTTACAAAATTCGACAACCGTCATTCAGGACTGATTTTTCGCAGGCAACCCTATACCACCGTGTTCATAATGAAATAATCTTTATTTTCATTTATATTTGATTAAATTATCAGACCGATGCAAAATGCTCTATCAATTTACCTGTTTATACCTGGCAACCCGAGAGTTATGACTGGAAAAGAATAGGCAACCTAACGTTTGCATATTCTATGGGCTTCATACTTTCGATTGGTATGGAGTTTGTTTAATAATCAAACCGATGAAATATTTAAAAATAAAACTTTTTTTAATGATTAATTAATCATATCCTGGACTGAAATTTATTAGGCAACCCTTAAGCAATATAATTATTGACATGTTAAATTGAATATAAAATATGTTTCATCAAATAAGCATCTCGGTGAAGGTCCTTGTATAGCGGGATCTTAGACTATATGTAAACAAATAAACAAGTTCCGCTTCCCGAACAATAATGAGTTTGTTACATTTAGTTTTCGACATTCTATTGACAATCGGCCAAAGCGTTCTTGTGGCGAGTAAGGTATAAAGGAGACAACTAAACATCCTACGGCTTTGTTTAGGAACTAGGCATATAGCCTAGCTAGACGAAATATGGTTCATAAAAACAAGACGGACGCGACGTTATGCTGTAGTAGATTGATCTTACCTTTGACGCTGTCTTCGACCGTGTTCAGAGGAGCCAGAAAGCTCTTGCCTTGAGCGTACGAGAAGAAGAGCATCTTCAAAGTGTGCGAGTAGTAGATGGAAACCCCGCCGCCTCCCACCAATCCGGCGACATCCTATAAATAAGACATTATATTAAAGACAGTGGTTAGACTTAAGGCTTCCACAGACCAAACGCGGGTCAGAAGCAGTGCGGGTCAGTTGCAGCGCGGCAGTAGGCACACTGAAGGCAGCGGCAGTTTCAAAGCAGTTGCAACTTGGAACGCGGGCGTTTGTCAAAAAATTTAATAAGAAAACGGCTTTCAACGCGCTGCTACCGCCCTACCGCCGGTGTCATGCTAATATGGCCGCCATAGTAATACAACAGCGCGGGCCCGCGCTCGCGCCGCTTCTGTCCCGCTCCCGCGCCGCCTGGTTTGTCGTTCGGCAGTTGCAGTGCGGCGCGGCGCAGAGCGGTTGGAGCGCGGGCCCGCGTTCAAATTTGGTGTGACACACTTCAAAGAGTTTCTCAAATTACAACTTGCGCGGGCCCGCATTCAAACTGCGCTGCTACTGCCCCGCGTTTGGTCTGCTGAAGCCTTTAAGCCTAGGATACACGTTGATAAACAGTCCCCCAGTGGGATAACAATTTCCTATCACCTTGTAATTTTGCCTAGAGCCATGCACAATAATTATATTGCGACGCATTTACGTGTTGCGAGACATGTCTCTAGGACATTCCACTTAGGCCGGCAATACACAGACCGCTTTAAAGCAGTCAGGGTCGACAGCTTCTAGCTGTCGACCGCCCGAATCAGTCGCAACTGCTCGAGCGGTTCGTGCATGTGCGTCCATAGAACTCTGCAGTTCACTGTGCAGTCGACAGGTTCAAGCTGTCCGTGTATGGCGGGTCTTAGATATTACGTAACCGTAACACATAGTTATTATTTTACCTACTATAATTTTACTTAGTACTTACTAGTGCCCAACACTTACAAATAATGTTGACTAAAGACATCGAACACCTTCAAACGGTTTTGTGTAAAATTTATTACGACCATCACACCAAGGTAAATCTTGAGGCATTTTATGTAGTGTTAATTGGTGAAAAATTGCAATTTTCTGTGGCACTGTACTTGTACGTCACATCTGTATCTCATCGCATCTCACCTGTATTTCTGGGTGAAGAACTTCCAGCGTGTTGGTGACGTAGAAGGTGCCGAGCGTGGCGCGCGACTCCTCGCTCATGGGCTGCCAGTAAATATGCCCTGCTGAGCTCATGCACAGCATGTGCATAATGCCGTCCTGATTCACGAACGTCACGTCGCGCACCTGGAGACAAAACATTAATCTCTATGTAAAATGCCTTATGGTTGATATTAGATGAATCAATGAGGACAATGAGTCCATTTGCGCTGAACAGTTGGTGCGTCGATTAGTGAGCATTAAATGTAGCTTCAATGAAAATGAAAAATCTTTATTCAATTTAGGTAACATTTGGCACTTTTGACAAGCATTAATAGCTCTGAAGTTATAGTCACTTTTTCACTGGCCCATTTATTGTCCCGAAGCAGTGGTAGGGTTAATATTGGGACGTGTAAAAGCGCTTTTTTAAAGCCTATTTGCAAAAATAAATGAATTTTATGAATTCCCTAAACTAAATATACTATTTATTGAATTAAAATCAACTAAAAATATAAATCGGAAGTTGTTCGAATAAAAAAAACAATCTAAATGTCAAAATATTCCACAGAGATTTGCATTACTGACCTTTCCACTAGGCACCAAGAAGTGGTGCATGGGGTTGTTCAGGTCCTTGCTGAGGTCGAATATCTTGACGAAGTCTGACGTCACGAGGGCCAGCTGCGTCTGCGAGCCGGGCAGCCAGATCGCCTTGATCACGTAGTTGTTGCCTTCCAAAGCTGTGTTCAATACTAGGTGGTCTGCTACGGCACCTAATTGAAGAAGTTTTGATGCTTTAGAAGTCCATTTAAGCTATTTTATTGACTTTGAGACAAGCCTAGAATAAACGATCATAGGAGGTGCAAGTTTCGTATAAAAATTTATTGCAAAAATTACTAATTGAAAGCAGATTAGAAATGTTGGTATTTGAGTTTTGAAAAGAAAATAATTTTAAATCACATGTCATGAGATTGGGGTGTATCAACGAACGTAGCCCAAAATTCGATTGAATGTCAGCCATACATTCGAGGCTTTTGCTTAGTTGAATGAAGACAGAACCTATGGCGCGGACAACAGCCGCGTCTGCGTCAGCTTGTGTTTCGATGAGTCAGCCTAAGCACCGCCGACAGAGCACTGCGCTTATATCACTGTCGCAATGGGATCTCCTGTAATGACAGTGAAATGTTGTTATAAATAAATAAATATTCTCAAGTGTCACTCACCACCGCTGTTGAAAGTGAGCACGTGGCACTCCTTCAGACCGCAGACAGCCAGTAGGTCCTCGTTCCAAGGGTTGCCGCTCAGGCTGAGCACCGTGAACGGGATCGGAGCGGACGACAGCCGCGTCAGCGTCAGCTTGTGCTTCGACGAGTCAGCTTGCTTCAGCATCACCAACAGAGCAGTATATTCTCAAGTGTCACTCACCGCCGCTGTTGAAAGTGAGCACGTGGCACTCCTTCAGGCCGCAGACAGCCAGCAGGTCCTCGTTCCAAGGGTTGCCGCTCAGGCTGAGCACCGTGAACGGGATCGGAGCGGATGACAGCCGCGTCAGCGTCAGCTTGTGTTTCGAAGAGTCAGCTTGCTTCAGCATCACCTACAGAGCAGTATATTCTCAAGAGTCACTCACCGCCGCTGTTGAAAGTGAGCACGTGGCACTCCTTCAGGCCGCAGACAGCCAGCAGGTCCTCGTTCCAAGGGTTGCCGCTCAGGCTGAGCACCGTGAACGGGATCGGAGCGGACGACAGCCGCGTCAACGTCAGCTTGTGCTCTGACGAGTCAGCTTGCTTCAGCATCACCAACAGAGTACTATATTCTCAAGTGTCACTCACCACCACTGTTGAAAGTGAGCACGTGGCACTCCTTCAGGCCGCAGACAGCCAGCAGGTCCTCGTTCCAAGGATTGCCGCTCAGGCTGAGCACCGTGAACGGAATCGGAGCGGACGACAGCCGCATCAGCGTCAGCTTGTGTTTCGACGAGTCAGCTTGCTTCAGCATCACCAACAGAGTACTATATTCTCAAGTGTCACTCACCGCCGCTGTTGAAAGTGAGCACGTGGCACTCCTTCAGGCCGCAGACAGCCAGCAGGTCCTCGTTCCAAGGGTTGCCGCTCAGGCTGAGCACCGTGAACGGGATCGGAGCTGACGACAGACGCGTCAGCGTCAGCTTGTGCTTCGACGAGTCAGCTTGCTTCAGCAGCGCTGACAGTTGGAGCACTGTAATTTTTCCTATAAGAAAAAGGGTATGTGAGAACACGAAAAAAAGAAAATCTTTTCACTAACACCTGAGTGAAGAAGTTGGAATTTTTAGTATCCTCTCACTTCGGAACCATTTCACCCCGCATTTGTTCACCTGGGTCATGGGTGAATCAATTCTTGGATGAACAAAGGCGACTGCTTTAGTCAAATCATTTCACCTAGGTGATATGGTTCCAACCCAGGGTGATACGAGGACATCAAAAATACTTTTTTTTTACATCCAAAAAGAGAGTTTATGTTTTAGAGCCCTAGCCCACGGCGACTTTTTGTAGCGATGCAGTCGCGCTACTGTAGCGCGTTGGTACATGGCCACGCGCCGCAGCTTGTGCGTGGACATGAGCTGGCGGATGGTCTGGCCGCTCTCGCCTGTGTACATGCTGACGATGACGTCATACCCTTCTCGTGCGACACGGCGAGGTGCTGGCGGCGGCCCTGCGGCGACGCGAGGCAGCACATGGCCACGCGCCGCAGCTTGTGCGTGGACATGAGCTGGCGGATGGTCTGGCCGTTCTCGCCTGTGTACGACATGCGCACGTTCTCGAACGCGCCCTCTTGCGAGCCTGTGTGGAAGTAATTCGAAATATTAGGTAGAAGAAAAACACAAGCAACATCACCATTTAAAGTTACCAATAACGATGTACGAGGGCCCCGATTGCGCTAAAATATTTCAACTGCAACGCGACTGGACGACGAACGATAATCAGCTTTTTCACAAATCCGTATCGCGGTGTCGTTTTGACAGCTACTTTCTCTCAAACGCGAGTCAAACGCTTCCCAAACATTTAGCAGTGTTTTAGTAATTTTACTTTACAAAAGGCGCGTGAACTTTACCGCGATACCGAATTGCACATCAGCTGGAATGAAATGGAGAGTGTATAGTCTGGTCCGTGAGCACGTAGAATTTTGTCCAATGACCCCTAGCTACCCATCCTTATCGCTCGCGCGTAATTATGTTGCTATCGCGCTCGCACACTCACTGCAGGTGCCAGTCGCACAGTCGCGATAGCAATATAATTACGCGCGAGCGATAGGGATGGGTAGCTAGGGGTCATTGGACAAAATTCTACGTGCTCACGGACCGGGCTTTAACTGAAGATGAAACGCGAATAAATGGACATTACAAATTAGCGCAATCGGGGCCCAGTTTTGAGATATACGCGCACTCAGCCTTAAAATTTCGTAGCACTTATAACTCATAGCTTATAACTTATAACTTATAAATAAATAAATAGCAATAGACTACAATCCACATACCCAGCGTAGGCAGCATCAGGCTGTCAGTGTGCGTGAACTTCTTCTCGCCCAAGTGCAGCTGCGCCAGCGCGCGCTGGGCGCGTCCGTGGGCGCCGGTGGGCGCGGCGCGCTCGCACGCGGCTCGTACTGGCCCGCACAGCGCTTCTAGCAAGCGCTTGACGCGCTCGAGGCATATGCCCCAGCCGCCGTAGTTCACTAGGTATGAACGGCATCCTGGGAGATAACCAACATATTAAATTATGTCCAATACTGAGATGTCTGCGTTATTTTATTATACTAAAGAACATTTGCACAAATGAAATCAATTATCTAAATACAAAACTGCTCTGTGTTCACGTGTGGTGGAATAAACCAGTGGATCGCTATGCGAAGAGATTTTGAGTAAAGACTTTGACAAGAATATCGATTCCATCTGGCTCTTCTCTAAATAAGCTAATTTTTGCGTTTAGATATTTGAAAACATAGATCTTAAAAATTATCTGTTACATTATAGACAGGCACAGTATAGGCTAATATACAGGGTGTTAGGTAAATGGGTATATGAGCCGACACTAGCCCATGTTAACATGGTCATATAAATGGTGTGGTGAAGTCAGAAATTTGATATCTTCATTTTAATTATTTAATTTTTCATACAAATCGGATTTTATAAAATTATTTTGTTGTATGTTGGTAGCGAGCACCGGGCGCCTGGGCGGGGCCAGCAAGGCGGCGGGGGCGGGGCTTGATGGGCGTCGGCGTAGCGATGGCGCGGGCGCCGCCTCCTCTGCTCCGGCGCCGCTACCTGCGCCGCGAGCGCCGCTTAGCGCCACGGAGCGCTTCACTAACCTTGTATGTTGGTAGCCAGTAATGCGGCGGGGGCGGGGCTTGAAGGGCGACGCCGCAGCGAGGGCGCGGGCGCCGCCTCCTCTGCTTCGGCGCCGCTAGCTGCGCCGCGAGCGCCGCTTAGCGCCACGGAGCGCTGCACTAACCTTGTATGTTGGTAGCGAGCACCGGGCGCCTGGGCGGGGCCAGCAAGGCGGCGGGGGCGGGGCTTGACGGCCGGCGCCGCAGCGAGGGCGCGGGCGCCGCTTCCTCTGCGCCGGCGCCGCTACCTGCGCCGCGAGCGCCGCCTAGCGCCACGGAGCGCTTCACTTACCTTGTATGTTGGTAGCGAGCACCGGGCGCCTGGGCGGGGCCAGCAGGGCGGCGGGGGCGGGGCTTGAAGGGCGACGCCGTAGCGATGGCGCAGGCGCCGCTTCCTCTGCTCCGGCGCCGCTAGCTGCGCCGCGAGCGCCGCCTAGCGCCACGGAGCGCTTCACTAAAGCTTGGCAGCTGAACAACAAACAAAATTGATTACTTAGTAGTTCTTCCTGCGACCTTGTATGGATTCGCTCAGATTTGGGTCTCAATATTCACGATTATAGATAGTGAAAGAAAGAAAGAAAGATACATTTATTACAATGGACATCACACAAATACAGGCAATTACATAGACATGACAGTGGCACATAATAATGGAAGAAGAAAAAAAAATAAAAACAAGAGTAAACTGAGCAGTGCCATCCATTCACAAACAAGATCACAAAGAAGTGCCATCCACGAAGACGCGCCCCACCAATTTTTGGTCGCTCATGGATAAGTGAGTACCGATAACACTCAAACATGCATACATAAACTATAAACGATTAGGATGAATGGTGGGGCGTATCTTCGTGGATGGCACTAAATCAATCAAATCAAAAAATGTAGCTAGCTATTACGTTCTCACAACTCAGAATCGAAATTATTAGTATAACATAAAAATCTATGTAAAAAGTACAGTCAGCGTCAGCGTCAAATAGGGACACCTAAAGTGGCCAAAAAGTTGACAACATGACCTTATTCCAATCGTAATAAAGACACGTTGGGAACTTTTTGGTAACTTTGGGTGTCACGAAACATGTTCTAAAGTTTTAATTTATACACACTAGATGCCATTCTCACCTTGAGTCGGGCTTGGCGCCACAGTCACAGAAGAAGTTGCCGAACTTGGCGTATGACACGTCATGGCCGCGGTGGCAGACGCGAGCGCACACGGTACAAACGCCGACTCCGTCCACCATCTTGCAAGTGTGGCAGTGGTACCAATGTTGGTTCATGAATTCGCGCTGGGTCACCGTGAAAGTGCAGAGCTTGTACTGAAGCATTGCGTCTTCGTCCTAAAACAAAACAAAAGAAGAACATCTTACTAATAGGTATTATAAGTGCGAAAGTTTGTGTGGATGTCTGGATGTTTGTTACTCTTTCACGCAAAAACTACTGACTACAACATTATTAGTAATTAAACGAGGTCCACGCGTTCGAAGTCGCGGGCAGCCGCTAGTCATGTAATATTTATGCAACGGCGCGTGCGCAGCAAACTGCGTTGATGTTATTAATTTGTTATGATCTAAACGCTCGGTACACGGTCAAGAATAACCTTACAACAAAGGAGCATAAGCTAAAAGAAAATTGGACAAACTTACAGAATCGTCAGCGCTTGTGTCGTCGTCGTCTTGTTGTTCATCCGTGTAGTCCAAGTCGAATCCTAAGTCTGAAGGGGATTCCCACGTCGGACTGACAGAACGCCATGCTAAAAAGTAACATCACGTTTATTTGAATCTTCATTAATTTTATTAACTGTTACAATAACATAAGTTTACTAACTGTGAGGCTGCGTTGTGTTGATGGCGTGTAAAGCGTCGGTGAGATACGACAGCAGAACGCACGCAGACTCAATCGCCGGCGCCAAGTTGCCGTCTACCTGTCCTTCTTCCAATTTCTCTAGTACTTCATGGTTACTCAGGGTTTCAACACTGAAAAAAAAACATCTGGTAAGTGGTCGCAAAAGAAACAAGTAAAAACTTATATTTTAAAATAAATACAGAATGCTATATCTTCATCTCAATCAATGTAGCAGGAATCCAGTACCAATAAGGATCTATTTTCCTCCTTATTACATATTGATGTATCGATGAAGTATCGAGTAGATATAGATAAGTATCAGTATCTCTTTTATTGATTTCAATAGACATCAACAAAAGAAGTCAATTCTAGTCAAAACTAATAGAATAAATAAAGTAATAAAGAAGTAGCTTTTGCAGTGGTTTCTTAAAGTTACCAGATGACGTTTTTATCTTGTAAATTATAAATATGTAACTTAAAAAAATCGAACCCACGACCTTTCTTTCGCTTGCCTTGAGCAGTTCCATTTTTTCAAATTACAATTTACAACTTAGAATTTAGTTTTTGATATGCAACTCTTAACGCTAAGAATTAAATAAGTATGTTTTAGTGATATATTTNATATATTTAAACGCGCACTCACCAGGTGGCGAGCCAGGCCACTGCAGCCGGGAACAGCTGGCGGTGATCGGCGCCGGAATGTGCGTCGGCCAGGCGGCACATCTCTCGGAGGAGCAGAGGCGAGCACGCGCTCTCGCCGCACACCACGATCAGCGTCGACAGCACACGCTCACTTACTTCCTCACTACTGTAGTAACAAATATTACGGTTCAATATTGATAAGATTGGCACGAGGATCCTGATACGACTTTAAAAGCCACGATAACCGAACGGTAAAGGGGTTGCACTAGCCGATAGAGATCCGAAGAACGCGGGTGCGAGTCCTACCGCCCCTCGACTATTGTGGTGAGCCCACTCGTAACACAAGCATGCTTAGCTTATCACGAGGGGCTAACGGGACTATTAGTCATTTGTGCAATACAAATTACTGCTAATCTTTAAAAAAAAATTATAACACTTTTTGGCACGAGGATTTAAGGGTAAAAAGTATACCAAAAGCTTGAGTGTGACTTAACACATGTAACATTTAAGTTATGCACTAACAAGAATGAGTGCGCATGCGTCAGCACCTGTATAAAATATCTACCGTTTGAAAAAATATTGATTTCACGAATGCAACGTGTACGAGCAAGTACATGGCATATAAGTTGTTCAGTAAATGTGCTGACAGCGTCAGCGCGCGCAACCTACTTTCTGTTCGTTTTACTTAATTTTTATACTTTAGATATAATTCAGTGTAATAAACGCTCCGCGCTCTCTACGGAATCGGACAGTTCCGTGACGTAGATACAATTATATAGGTACAAACTACAACAACATCCAACATCAACTACTGTAGAGGCACACAAGACACACAGCCCCTACATTTTAGCCCTTCGACATTTGAACTACGACCTACAACAATTAAAAAAAAAAGAAATACAACATAGGAACTACAAGCATATCGCTTAACATATAGTCTTTTTCACCTAAGATGATCAATATACACATCAAGGCTATCGAGGCCACGTACCGGAAAACACAGCTTAGGACATCCAACCACAAGGTGGATGGAAAACGACCTCATAAAGGTAGCAGGAAGGCGATGTTTGCAGGCTGCCACCAACCGGCCATTGCAGAAATCATTGGCTCCCTATGTTCAGCAATGGACGTCCTATGGCTGAAATGATGATGATATTTTTGAACACGGAGCCTCATTTTTGTGAAAAGTAGTAACACGTGATAGCTAAATTGAATTCGAAAACTTACCAGTGCTGCACAATGTGTTTGCACAGAGCCGAGAGCAGTGCGGCGTTATTATCTGTTGCGTCAGACAATGGCGACGGAGAGTTGTCAGTAGGCGGAGCGGCGGCCGGCGCGGCCGCGGCGCTCTCCTTGCTGCCATCTGACCAGCTGCAGCTTTCTACATCGACAAACGAAAATAGGATCAGATGGAAGCAAATAAAGGCTATTTTACTGTGAAATATTTAGAGAGGAAAAGGTAAACTTTACAGGTCTCAATGGGTAATTATAGGGTGAAGGACTAAACAATTTTATGGGGAACTGCTATTTACATAAGGGTGGATTCGACCAAACAAGAGTAAATATTGATCTCAGAATAAATCGTCAGTTTTGACATATTTGTCATACTGAAACTGACAATGTACCAGACCGGGAGTTATTCGGATACAATTTTGGTCGAATCGGGCCTAAATCGTTTAAATGTAGAAAAATAATGACAAAACATGCACGACCTCAGTCGAAAGCAAGTCAAGCTAAATACTGCGTCATCTTATGAATTTGTAATTGGTTTTATTTAGCAACAAAAATATAAAGTCTGATGGACTATCGACTGTACATTTAACGAAGTCGGTAGTGTCTGGTTTATGTGTAAACGATCTATATAAAACTTTCATTTACCTGACTGTTGAGCCGTATCTGATTGTGCACGTGGCGCTGGGGATCTGCAAAACATTTTACATTGATTAAACTGAAATTTTGTGAAAATTTGATTGGTTTATGAAAGTCAACCTACGGCGTATCAAACACAGGCAAGTCCGGGTCGTTGCGTTGCGCGGGCGTGTCGTTGCGTTGCGTCGCCGAGCTGTCGGTCCGGAAGACGCTTCGAAGCGCGTTCCGCAGCGCAAGCGAAGCAGGGTTGCCTCCCGCTTCTGGCGCTGACGATGTGGGCGTCAGTAGTTCCGTCTCCGTCGGCGTGTCGTTAACTGGGATGAAAACTACGTCGTTCGAGGTGAGTTTGGCATTCGAGTAGGTTACAGCATGATCAAAGAATTTTTTTACTTATACCTGTTTTTACCATCAAACCCCAATTTTGAAATGACCCCTTTGACAACAAAATTCCTGTTATGTCACTTAAAATTAGGGATTGATGGTTGAAAAAGGGCATAAGACAAAGTTCATAAAGAGACCGCTTTAGGCAAAATATTTCAATACTTACTAGGAGCTCTCAAGCAGATGTAAGACAGAAGACTGGACAGACTCATTTGGTCTGCCACGCCGATGAATTTGCACACGGATATGCAGAGAGCGCTGTTAAGCTCATTGCTCTCACATCCATTGAAGATCTTGACGAAGAGCCTGGGATAATAAACACTTGTCTTTAAAAGAAATCCAAAAATAAATTGGCGAAAATAAAACAATATAAAAACATGAACTTACTTGATAACTCTATCAGCTGAAACAAATTTTCTGCAGTTGGGTGCGGACAGTAGAACCTTCCCCAAGAAAAATGGAGTATTTTCAGCAAACACGTTCTCGTAAGCCAGTCTTCCGTATGGGCGATCCAGAACTTTCTCCCAGTATTTAACCTGACATAAATATGATAGTTAATAACTAAGGTTAAGTGACGTCACAAAGACATCCCATAAGATGTCTGGATTATTTTGATGAATAAAGCGGAATTTTTAGTTAGCTCGGGCATATTGCTTTGCGGTCTCAATATATCAAGTCACTCCTCATTGATGTATTCTTCAGTATAATTTAATCTTTTATTATTCATTACTCATCTATTATAGAAAAATGTTTGCCCATTTCCCTTGGTCATCGCATCACGCGTGAACGGCTGAACAGATTTATCTAATTCTTTTTTGTTCTGTTTGTTATTGTCAGAAGAAGATTCATGTAAAAGAAAAACGAAAGTTGCGCGGAAAATATTAAACATTCATAAGACAGGATAACGTCTGTCGGGGGACAGCTAGTTGATAGTTTAAAGGACAAAATTATGTGACAAGTAGTTTAATAATGGGGGCATTTGGCCGAAAATAGCGCTTGTTTAGAAATTGTTAGCAAAATGGCGATCGCCATGGCAACCACCGAAAACTTTAGCATGTTTTCGGCGAGGACACGTTTGCTTACTTCAAAAGTGACGTTTCCCATACTTTTTTTTTTGGCAGTTTTCGCTAAAAGGACGCCATTTTTCTTACTAGGGCTATTTTCAGCCAAACGCTAATTTTCAGAGCTGTCTTACTATATGCCTCAAGGTGCGCTCATTGGCCGGCTGTAGATGTTCGACGAGCACCGAGTACGTGACCTTGAGCACGTGCTCGTGTATCAGCTGCTGGGCCCGCTGCGCTACCGGCACCAGCGTGTTCAGCGTCACGGATAGGGGGCCGGTCATGAAGTGCAGGCGGCCGTCCGTCTACGACATAAAGATCATTTTAGATTGAAGTCTTGATATGAATTGTAAGACACGCAGGAACATTAATTCTGAACAATCAAAGTGACAATTTCTTTTTACAAAACAGTTCTGCAAATATCAATATAATAGGTTAAATTAGTGAAGATTATGAAGAAATGTATTATTCGAACCGAAATCCTCATCAACCACGGAGGAACTGGCTATCTTACCTCTAACTGCCGGAACACAACAATGCTGTTAACATTGTTGTTATGGCGACAGACTAGGTAAGAGTTAGCCAGACGGACTTAGAACAAGCCCTACCACCAACCAAACAGAACAGAAAAATCTAAGGCGGCGTTGCAGCAGCAAAAAGGTCCTCATTTCAGCTTGTGTCAAGTGCATACCAAGTGCTAACACCTGATAATCTCTGAAATAATATACTCACCAGCGCCGGTATGATCAGGTCCAGCGTCTTCTGCGTCAGCTCCGGGCTCTCGGCCAGCCGGCCGGCGCCCACCTCCAGGAGCTTCGCGGCGGAGTAGGCCAGCATCATCAGCGACGGCCCGATGGAGTACTTGCTGTTGGCGCTGATCAGCTCGCAGTGGGAGAGACCAGGTGTCTTTGTATCTGATCTCTGTTAAACTGACATACAACAGGCACTCACCAGCGCCGGTATGATCAGGTCCAGCGTCTTCTGCGTCAGCTCCGGGCTCTCGGCCAGCCGGCCGGCGCCCACCTCCAGGAGCTTCGCGGCGGAGTAGGCCAGCATCATCAGCGACGGCCCGATGGAGTACTTGCTGTTGGCGCTGATCAGCTCGCAGTGGGAGAGACCAGGTGTCTTTGTATCTGATCTCTGTTAAACTGACATACAACAGGCACTCACCAGCGCCGGTATGATCAGGTCCAGCGTCTTCTGCGTCAGCTCCGGGCTCTCGGCCAGCCGGCCGGCGCCCACCTCCAGGAGCTTCGCGGCGGAGTAGGCCAGCATCATCAGCGACGGCCCGATGGAGTACTTGCTGTTGGCGCTGATCAGCTCGCAGTGGGAGAGACCAGGTGTCTTTGTATCTGATCTCTGTTAAACTGACATACAACAGGCACTCACCAGCGCCGGTATGATCAGGTCCAGCGTCTTCTGCGTCAGCTCCGGGCTCTCGGCCAGCCGGCCGGCGCCCACCTCCAGGAGCTTCGCGGCGGAGTAGGCCAGCATCATCAGCGACGGCCCGATGGAGTACTTGCTGTTGGCGCTGATCAGCTCGCAGTGGGAGGAGACCAGGTTTAGAACTGCGCTTTCTGATGGGATGATGTGCGACGCGTAGAATGCCTGTGGAATAAAAATGTTGATAATAAATAGGTAAACGGGTGACACAAGGCCTATACATGGTGGAAACGTTAAGTGATCTCACTCGATTATTTCTAAACTATACAAAATATTGAAAAACTGGTTACTGATCCTGAAAGTGCTTCATGAGCTCTTTCAAACGGTACCAATAATAGGTAACAAAATAAACTGGATCTGTCTAAAAAATTCAATGTTTCCAGCTTCCATACTAAATGTATGCCAGACACACAATATTAGAAGTGTAATTTTTTTATTGAATAATAAACTCCTAAAATAAACTCGTAAATTGTATACCTCCATTAAAATTATTCATGGAAAACATTAGTTTTAGGCTTTACTTGCTATAATATTGTCAAGAGATGAGTGTCATGACTGTGGTAGTACTAAATGTATGGAAGAAGGAAACATTGTTTTTTTTATTCTGTAACCTAATATTGTATTGTATTGATTAGGTTACAGAATAAACGGGATCTATCCAAAAATTCAATGTTTCCTTCTTCCATACATTTAGTACTACCACAGTCAGGACACTCATCTCTTGACAATATTATAGCAAGTAAAGCACAAGCTCAGAGCTTGTGCAGCACTTTTGGAATCAGTAATCAGTTTTACGATATCATGTGTAGTTTTTAAAATAATGTGACTTTACCAAATGTATGGAAGCTGGAAACATTGAATTTTCGGATAGATCCAGTTTGTTCTGTAACCTATTATCAATACCATTTGATAGAACTCATGAAGCACTTTCAGGATCAGTAACTAGTTTTTTGATATCTTGTATAATTTAGAAATAATCGAGTGAGATCACTTATCGTTTCCACCCTGTATAGTGGATCGAGGAGAAAACCTCTATAAAAACAAGTGGAGGAGGGGATTGAGTCTCCTCAAGACCGGAGTGTCTCACTCGAGAGCAAGTCATAGCCTGAGACGAAACCGTGGACGATGTTTAAATTAAGACAATAATTCGCAGCTCGTTACATTGGATTCCGGAGGACTCCTTCGGGTTTTAGTGGCCCCTCCTCCTGGCGGGGAAAGTCTCAAATAACCGGACAAATCTGTGATCGGTGATTCTGGAGACTACGTGACGAGTGATTCTGAATCGCAGTATAAAAGTAGTAGATGCAAGCAAGCGGCGGCGTGGTGGACCGCCACCGTCTGCCTCGTTTCACCTGCCCTAGCCGAGCTCATGGTAGTATCAGTGACTCACCAAGTTGATACAGGCCAGCGGTGGGGGCGACGACATGTGGTCGAGCGTTGTGGCCGCCTGGCGTGAAAAGTCAGCACGTAGCCACGCGGACAGTGGAGAACCGCCACCATCTGCCTCATTTCAGCCGCCCTAGCCGAGCTCATGGTAGTATCAGTGACTCACCAAGTTGATGCAAGCTAGCGGTGGAGGTGATGACATGTGGTCGAGCGCTGTGGCCGCCTGGCGCGAGAAGTCAGCACGTAACCACGCGGACAATGGAGGCCCGCCACCATCTGCCTCGTTTCAGCCGCCCTAGCCGAGCTCATGCTAGTATCAGTGACTCACCAAGTTGATGCAAGCCAGCGGTGGTGGAGACGACATGTGGTCGAGCGCTGTGGCCGCCTGGCGCGACAGGTCGGCTCGTAGCCACGCGGACAGGGGAGGCCCGCCACCATCTGCCTCGTATCAGCCGCCCTAGCGAAGCTTAGGCTAGTCTCAGTGACTCACCAAGTTGATGCAAGCTAGCGGTGGAGGTGACGACATGTGGTCGAGCGCAGTGGCCGCCTGGCGTGAAAAGTCAGCACGTAACCACGCGGACAAAGGAGGCCCGCCGCCGTCGGCTTCGCTCCAGCCGCCCCAGCCGCCGCAGACTTTGAGTATCGCGTGCCACACCGGCGAGAACGCCTGGCTGCTGGATTCGGGAGCGCCTTCTAGATCCGCTGAGGCGCTAACGCTGTTAAATGAATTGAGACTTTAATGTTGGGGAACAAATTCTATCCGCATTACTGTAACTCTAGCGAGTTAACTCTCGCTGGTAGCTGTCGCGATTTTTTTCTCGATGTCGGATGACGGTGTTGTTGAAATACACCGATTAGTAACTATACAAAATCATATTTTAAATGTTGCATAATAATATACAATATCAGCTTAAAACTCAATTCAAGCTTAAGATTTCAGTATTATTTTGAAGCAGTCACGATCACGACCTTATTAGCATTTTACGCAACGTTTCTAACAAAACAACACAAGAATTGACATGTATGACTTACCGGCAGCATTCTATCATCGTGTCCATAAGATCGAGTAAGTCTGGCATGAACTGAGCGGCGTCAGTCGCAGCCGTGGTGTCAGCAAGACACATCTTCAGCCGCACGAGTGCCGAGTCGCACGATATCACGTCCAAGAGCGAAGGAAGTCCGCTTGCTATAAAAATCAATCTCTTTTTAATCCTTTATACGACTGTGGGAATTCCCACCATATTTTGAACCTTATTCGCTTGTATTAGAGTCCAAAACAATGTAAAATTGGATTAGTTAGGACTGTTAAAGGGTAAAGATACTGACATGATTTAGGTTTTAACTAAGGATATATTTTAAATGATAATTATAAGTGACGTTTCTGAAAGATGATATAGTTGTATAATAAAGTTGACTTACTAGTAATATTCGCTTTCAAGTGTTTGATAGATTCTGATGCGAGCCACGCGGTGTATTTCATATTGTCACAAGACGCGCTTACGCCGGCAAGCAAGTTTTCAGCATACTGTAACAAATAAACAATTTTAATTCTTGTCTTGATCATACATTTCTTTGCCAAAGAATAAATCGATATTAAGTGATGAAGCTATGGTACATTAGCTTTACATTCCGGCTATAGCCATAGCAAGGCCAAGATTCAAATTCCGTCTATAGCTAGTTCATAACTCGTGAGTCAGTGCACTTCAGTGCAAAACATTAGTACGCAACTTTTCAGACTTTATTATGTATTATTTCGTTCCAGTTACTTAAACAATATCTTACCTGTGTGTACATTCCCTGTTTGACGAGCGCGTCCTTCAGCCAGGGGTTGAAGACCTTTTTATTATCTGCGCGCGGCGCCCAGATGACTGCGTGCAAAGGCAGCGGCGACGGAAGATCAGCTGTCGTGCCAGCTTGAAGCTTATCCATGTGAGGAGTGGCCGGCGGCATGCTGATAACTAGCCTGTGGTGAAAGTAGGTAGGTATTTACTACTTGATAGAATTAGAATTCCACGATCTTAAGAGCAGGCGCACACCGTTGATTTTTAGTTGGCCGATAGTTGTGCCCGATTTTAATTTGTATGAAGAATCGGCCAAATCGAATCGGCGTAGTGTGCGCACTCCCATACATGCCCATACTGATCAACTGCCCGACTAAACCATCGGCCGACGAAAAATCAACGGTGTGCGCCTACTCTAACTATTTATTCTGATCTTCGTAAATGTCGAAAATAATAATCATAAATACAAAAAAACTAGATTCTGTTCGTAGTCAGGTGTAATATCTGAAATGTTACTTGGGGAGCTACCCGAGATTTAGTCGCCTTGTATACTTTTTCTGAATGTTCCGTTATGATCTTTATACAACGACTTTGCCGTGATTTATAACCACGATGCACATTTGCGCTTGTTTCCTACAAAAAGGTGATGTCCATAAAAAGGTCATAAATCAGAAGAGATGGTGCTTCATTAGTCACATAGCACGGCTTTTTTAAATAAAGTGAAAATATTCGGGACTATTCCCACCTCTCGTTCCCACCACTGCAACTCCTGTGTAGCCAGGATCTACAGCTTGACCGCCACAAAAACCCAACCAATGAAGGTCAAGTTTGTCCCGGGGGAAAGTTAAACTGTCATTGGACCCGCAACGAAATTAATCAGAAGAACATAGGAGGAGTTCGAAATTAAGGTTCGACTTCCCTCCATTGCAAAGCGGCTGACAGGTGACAAACAAAGGTTTAAAACCTTTAAGAAAAAGATTATGCACCACGGACAATAAATTAAATTAAGGGGGCCTATCTTATGAGCAATTAGCAACTACCTGCCAATAATATTTTTCACAAAATCGCTTAAAAGCACGGAAATTTTTCCTTGTCGCGACAAGATCGGTGTAATAAATTGCGGAAACAGATGTATGTTGTATTGAATTAAGCATTATATCACGTTCATGTTTCCAAAGATCACACTCCCACAAGATATGATGGGCAGACTGCTCATGACTGACATCATCAGTGGAACACTCGCAAAAAGGAGACGGAACTAGTTTGAATTCGTGAAGTTTATGTTTAAAGTTGCCATGTCCCGTGAGGAACTGCGACGAGCAATGGTCGATTTCTAACCATCGCCTAGTTAGACGTTCGCGTACATTCGGGAAGAATTGTAAAATATTATAAAACGTTACCAACCTCCAAGCAGTCTGGAAGCAGTAATGAGCGGCGGCCAGGGCAGCCGGCGCTGTTTGGTACAGCGGGTTGTCACAAACACACGACGAGTTCAGTAGAGCCAGCAAAGCGTCCAGCAGTAGAGGATACTTCAGCTTGTGCGGTGTGCCTAGCACGAAGTTGCATGCTAGTCCGTCGAATTTGGGGTTCTCCTGCAAGTTTAAGTTGTGGTTAAATCTCGGTGAGGGACGGTGAAGTGCCAGTAAACTCAGATTTAGGAACTTACAGTATCTTTCCTAGGCTATGAAATTGTTTTTTTCACTTCGATTCACAACAACTGTCTTAAAAATTACTAAAACATTTCATAACCTAAATTGATATTGTGCTGTGTACTATCCTTAAATAAATAAAAATTTGAGCTAGCCAATTTGAGCTTACTAGTTGCGAGTAACTGCAAGACCTTTGTTTCACCAGTGGCTTTAACCTAGTGATGCAAAAGCGATTGTCCTCACTGGAATTTAGTATGCAACAGACTGTAGGTTCCATTCTCGATTTTTACAACTGGCTTACCTGGTTGTTGATCTCTGCATTAGTCAGAGCGTAGAACTTGGGTCTCATCGAGCTTTCGTCTTGCGAAAGTTCTCTGTAAGCTTGCTCGATGTACGGCACTTCGCAGTAGATGCGCGCTTTCATCTGTCCATTTTCTGTCATCACCCTGGCACCATTTGTGTTCGGATCGTTCGAAGGCTGAGCGAGTCCGGGCGCTATGACAAGGTTCCATTCGATCTGTAAGGTTACACGAAGTTAGGACTTTGTCTAAGAAATAATTTGGTTTATTTTGAACGTCATAAGGTGTTCCACTCGATCTGTAAGGTTACACGAAGTTAGGACTTTGTCTAAGAAACTATTTCGTTTCTTCTGAGTCATGGATAAGTGGTATAGCATTTTCATCTTTATACCTGTTGCAGCAGAGTTTGAGGTGCATCGTACAAGTGTCTCATAAGATACTCCAAGAGAAGCATCAGTCTCGTGGTCAGCATCAACTGGTGAGGCGCCAAGTTCGTCGCTCGTCTTCTATCGCTTATCGACAAAGTTTCTACCACCTGAACAGAAAGAAGAAAGTAAAAAACATGCTTAAATTAATAATAATTTGTAATCAAAGAAAAATGTGTAAGAACAGGTCATTCATACCTTGATAATAGCGTTAGACGTCATAAGTAGGACAGACTTCTTTTGCATGAGCGTCAACGAATGGAATAAGTACACCAACAGTTGGGCGTGCTCCACATTCAGATCTGCAATATAAAATAGTGAAATTAATAAAATAGTAAAATAACTAATACTCGGTCTTTCAACTTAATGCCGTCCACTGCTAGACAACGGCTCAAGGACCGGTCCTGCCCTGCCCATATTCAGGTACTGGGACGCTAACCAGATCGTTGGCCCAATGAGTGGAAAGCCTATGCAGTGGAACTAATATTATAACACTAAGAAACCACTACTGGCCCCGGCTGTCAATCGGTATGAACATGTATGAAAGTGCGCATAGTTTATACCGATTTGTTATCAGCCGATTCTTTATACAACTATCGGCCGAATAAAGTTCTGTAGTTTGCGGGGTGTCTTAGCCTAGGCGCGGACCACCGATATTTTGTCGGCCGATAGTCTAGTCGGGCAGTTAATCAGTATGGGCATGTATGGAAGTGCGCACACCGATTTGATTTGGCCGATTCTTCATAAATTAAAATCGGGCCCAACTATCGGCTAACTTAAAGTCTGCGCCTAGGCTAAATGTGTTTCAAGGCGATCATACCTTCATAATCGTGGTCCTGTGAAGGCAGCGGTTGGAGCGCGCACTCCTGCAGCGTGTTGACGATCTTGTGCCACATAGCTAGGATGCTATTCTCGCGTTCGGCAGCCGCTTTGCTGAGGACCATGCCTCCCAGTAACTTCACCACGCGAGGTCCAACCTAAACACAAAGGGAATAAAGACTGAATTGGAAAATTCTGCGATAGGCTTGTAACGCCTTGTTAGCCAGCTTAACGGAGACAAAAAGACTGGCAACCATTTAATGCTAACCAATAATAGCTGATAAAGCAGATTTTGTATGACGTCAGACATAAGTAGGTATTCCCTAATCTACTTCCCTGTCAATGGAAGTTGAGAATTTTGTTTTAAAGTTTTACTAACATTAAAATAGTAATCAAAGGGATTGCTACCATGTACCTTTTTATTTTGCCGAAATATCGGAGGCTCGTAAAAGGTAGGTACATGGTAGCAATCTTGTTGATAACTGTTCTAAAGCTAGTTTAGTAAATAAATATTGCCGTTAGACATTGGTGTCCTAAGTTGCAAGTCTTTTTTTAATCGCAAGGATTGAGAAGTAGGTTAATTTAAGTCAGAGAGAATTAAAACCAAAATCATTATTAGTTTACCTGTAGCGGAGTCATATTGGTGCGGTCAGAGCCGACAGCGACCAGTTGCTGGTGTAATGCCGGCTGCAGCGAGGCAAATGCGGGAGCGCCTGTTAGATTGTGCAGGTAGCGAACTAGCGAGGCACTGAACGAGCCGTAGAGGCCGCCTAGACGCGCGCCGAAGCAGGATGAGATTGTGCCTGGTGGGAATAATAAGATAATCATGTACAAATAATAATTGTTCTATTCAATAGCTTAACATATACGCTTATTTTATTTTATTTTACAAGGAAAACAATACAGCGTATAAACTATGTAGACAACCAATTTAGGAAACTTTACTGCTACATACGTCGGTAAGCGCTATAAGAGCTGGGTACACCCATGGTTTAACATATGACAATTACTCACTCAGTGAGATTCATTGGTCGAATGAGGGGAACTGGGAATAAAATTAGACGTGCTTCATCTCAGTCTTCATCTCAATAAGGGTTTCATATAAACGGTGTAGAACTGTAGTTATCACGAAAATTACAGGACTGAATAGGCGCTGTAGGATCGCAACCCAAACCTTTCCCGTGCAGTTGTCAGCCCTAACTACTAAGCCCTCGCTGACCACGCACTTGTGACGTCACAGAACATACCGGTATCGGTCCTCGCTGTCTCCCGGTCCAGGTCTTTAGCAAGCGCGGCCAGTAGCGCCTGATGCGCTTCGTGTAGCTGTAGCGAGCCGGAGCCGAGACGCTCTGCGCCCTCACTGATGATCTCCTCAGTAAGCAGGGTGAAAACTGTCGCTGCCTATGCACTAATGACGTCATATTATTATAACATACCGGTATCAGTCCTCGCGGTCTCTCGGTCCAGGTCTTTCGCGAGCGCGGCCAGTAGCGCCTGATGCGCTTCGTGTAGCTGCAGCAAGCCTGAGCCGAGACGCTCTGCGCCCTCACTGATGATCTCCTCAGTGAGCAGAGTGAACACTAGCTGACCACGCACTAATGACGTCATATAACATACCGGTGTCAGTCCTCGCGGTCTCCCGGTCCAGGTCTTTAGCGAGCGCGGCCAGTAGCGCCTGATGCGCTTCGTGTAGCTGCAGCGAGCCCGAGCCGAGACGCTCTGCGCCCTCGCTAATGATCTCCTCAGTGAGCAGAGTGAACACTAGCTGACCACGCACTTGTGACGTCACAGAACATACCGGTATCGGTCCTCGCGGTCTCTCGGTCCAGGTCCTTGGCGAGCGCGGCCAGGCGCTTTGTGTAGCTGCAGCGAGCCTAAGCTAAGACGCTCTGAGCCTTCACTGTTGATCTCCTCAGTGAGCAGAGTGAACACTAGCTGCCTACGGGCTTGCGACGTCACAGAACATACCGGTATCGGTCCTCGCGGTCTCTCGGTCCAGATCTTTCGCGAGCGCAGCCAGTAGCGCCTGATGCGCTTCGTGTAGCTGCAGCGAGACCGATCCGAGACGCTCTGCGCCCTCACTGATGATCTCCTCAGTAAGCAGGGTGAAAACTGTCGCTGCCTATGCACTAATGACGTCATATAACATACCGGTGTCAGTCCTCGCTGTCTCTCGGTCCAGATCTTTCGCGAGCGCAGCCAGTAGCGCCTGATGCGCTTCGTGTAGCTGCAACGAGCCCGAGCCGAGACGCTCTGAGCCTTCACTGTTGATCTCCTCAGTGAGCAGTGAACACTAGCTGCCTACGCACTTGTGACGTCATAATACATACCGGTGTCGGTCCTCGCGGTCTCTCGGTTCAGGTCCTTGGCGAGCGCGGCCAGGCGCTTTGTGTAGCTGCAGCGAGCCTGAGCTGAGACGCTCTGAGCCTTCACTGTTGATCTCCTCAGTGAGCAGAGTGAACACTAGCTGCCTACGGGCTTGCGACGTCACAGAACATACCGGTATCGGTCCTCGCGGTCTCTCGGTCCAGATCTTTCGCGAGCGCAGCCAGTAGCGCCTGGTGCGCTTCGTGTAGCTGCAGCGAGCCGGAGCCGAGACGCTCTGCGCCCTCGCTAATGATCTCCTCAGTGAGCAGAGTGAACACTAGCTGCCTACGGGCTTGTGACGTCACATAACATACCGGTATCAGTCCTCGCGGTCTCCCGGTCCAGATCCTTGGCGAGGGCGGCTAGCAACGCCTGGTGCGCTTCGTGTAATTGTAGTGAGCCCGAGCCGAGACGCTCTGCGCCCTCGCTGATGATCTCCTCAGTGAGCAGGGTGAATACTTCAGTAGCCAGTGTTATGTACTGGAACAAACATCGAATACCCAATTAAAAATAGGCACTAAACTAAGAATAAATTGAGCGAGCGACAGAAACAGACATGCCGTGAGGCTGTTAAAGATTCTAAGCGAAAATATTTTCATATTGGATAATACGACCGATTTATGAAGATTACCAGAATCTGGTTGAAAGTGTACGAGCACAAAACCCTCTGGCGCGGACTAGTCAGCTTTTGACCGTGTCGAGCGCCACGAATGTCGATTCCAACAATACTACTCCCGAACAGTAATAAAACTTATTGATATACTGACAAAGGTGACTGAGTTTCTTCCGCCACTGCTTCTCAGCACCAGCCCATATGTTGTCCCGAAGTGGTGGTAGGGTAAGCTATATTTGGGACGTGTATAAGTGCCCTGGAAAGGGCCTATGTACTGAATAAACTATTTGAATTCTTCTTCTTTTCGTGTCGACAACAAACCTACACAGTGTCAGCCAAAAACTCCGCCACAAGAGTGGCGTTGTCAGCAGCACTCATCAAATCCTCCTGAGTGCAGTTGCTTGGGCACTCAGGGCACGACATCAGGTGCAGGAAATTTGAATTTATTACTCACGGAATACGGCTCAGCTTTATCCGGCACTATGGCCTGGTGAGCGCGCGCGGGCGTGTCGCTCGCATCTTGACTGTCGCTGGCGGCAGCGCGGACTAGTCCGCTATTGTCAGTAATATCTGGCGCCACCAGGGTCGATTCGAACCATAACCCGAAGAGGGGTTCGCTGTCTGTTGATACAAGAAAGAAAATTGTCAAAATTTTAAATTATCAGGCGTCGTTTTGTCTCTTCAATGAATAAAAGGAGATTAGGAGACTGAGACTTTGCCCAGCAGTGGACGTCTTTTCGACTGAAACGAACGAACTAACGAAGGAGACTGAGATCCGTATTGCAAAACAACGCTCTAAACTCCTAAACTCGATTCAATCCCAGATAGACTCAATCATAAATTCTGTCCAGTGATTGGTCTAAATATTATTTTTTTTCAATGAAAAGCCTCTGTGGTTGACATTGAATCCAATTTTAATGTTCGTAAAAAGTGAAAGTGTTATTAAAATGTATTTTTAAAACTACCATTGATCATCATCATTTCAGCCAAAGGACTACCACTGCTGAAAATAGGCCTCCCCCAATGATTTCCATATTAAACGGTTGGTAGCGACTTGCATCCAGCGCCTTCCTGCTAACTTTATGAGGTGGTTGGTCTACCTTGTACGTCACACGCTGCGTTTTACCGATTATAATACGCGACTGTCAGTTATGTGTACTAAAAATCAAATAACTTATCAAAGATGCACTAACCGTCATCTGTCTCAGAATCCTCCGAGCAAAGTATCATGTCCTGGAAGTATACGGTGGAGTCGGAACGGTCGGGGTCGGCGTCCTGGTGTTGCTTCTGCACCACCGCTCGCTTCAGATTCGTGGCCTTGCGGTAGCACACTACGCCCAGGGCCACTAACAACTGTTGGACAATAAAGTATTGTATTAGAAATGGAAATTCTTCAATTGCTTCAAATGAAAATATGGTAATGCTGGTCGAAGCTAATGCCAAGACGTTTGCGTAAATATTTGTGCAAATATTTCTTATTCTTATGCCATTTTAATGTGAGATTTTTGGCGTGTATCAAAGGATGCAAATTATAAATACTCCTACATTATTTGCAAATATTTAGATACTATTTACTAGTTTATAATGTGCTGTATTTGTAAAAAATGTTCCAAAAATATTTACGAAATGTATGTCTAACTATGCAAAGATCTGTACACACATATGTGCAAACTTGGCACATGTGATAGGCATAAACATTGCGTATGGGCACTGAATGAAGATTCATCTATAAGAGTAAGTCAGTCCTTCCCCCTTTATCTTCCCAGACAGCAAGGCGCCCCCTGGCAGACAGCAAATCGCTCCCCGCCAGATATCCAGCCAGTCTCACCTGATGCAGCGGCGCGGCAGAAGCGAGCCGCAGCTCCCGTTGGTGCGCCGTGTGCTGCGCCAGGATGTGCAGCGGCGCGGGAGTGGCCTGCGAGCCGTCGCCGCTGCTCAACGCTTCGAGGCGCGCGTCAGATAGTAAGGCGCCTCCAGCCAGTCTCACCTGATGCAGCGGCGCGGCAGAAGCGAGCCGCAGCTCCCGTTGGTGCGCCGTGTGCTGCGCCAGGATGTGCAGCGGCGCGGGAGTGGCCTGCGAGCCGTCGCCGCTGCTCAACGCTTCGAGGCGCGCGTCAGATAGTAAGGCGCCTCCAGCCAGTCTCACCTGATGCAGCGGCGCGGCAGAAGCGAGCCGCAGCTCCCGTTGGTGCGCCGTGTGCTGCGCCAGGATGTGCAGCGGCGCGGGAGTGGCCTGCGAGCCGTCGCCGCTGCTCAACGCTTCGAGGCGCGCGTCAGATAGTAAGGCGCCTCCAGCCAGTCTCACCTGATGCAGCGGCGCGGCAGAAGCGAGCCGCAGCTCCCGTTGGTGCGCCGTGTGCTGCGCCAGGATGTGCAGCGGCGCGGGAGTGGCCTGCGAGCCGTCGCCGCTGCTCAACGCTTCGAGGCGCGCGTCAGATAGTAAGGCGCCTCCAGCCAGTCTCACCTGATGCAGCGGCGCGGCAGAAGCGAGCCGCAGCTCCCGTTGGTGCGCCGTGTGCTGCGCCAGGATGTGCAGCGGCGCGGGAGTGGCCTGCGAGCCGTCGCCGCTGCTCAACGCTTCGAGGCGCGCGTCAGATAGTAAGGCGCCTCCAGCCAGTCTCACCTGATGCAGCGGCGCGGCAGAAGCGAGCCGCAGCTCCCGTTGGTGCGCCGTGTGCTGCGCCAGGATGTGCAGCGGCGCGGGAGTGGCCTGCGAGCCGTCGCCGCTGCTCAATGCTTCCAGCCGCGCGTCAGATAGTAAGGCGCCGACCCACGAGAGGCACTTGCCGCCGAGGGCCACCCACACCACGCCGAGACCTTGTTGCCTGAATAATGAACGTATAAGGTCTTTAAAATCTACAGCAACCCAACCAATACTATTGATTTAGATAAATCTGCAATATTAGACAAAATAGTAACAGATCGACACAAATTCATCATCATCATTTCAGCGATAAGACGTCCATTGCTGAACACAGGCCTCCCACAATGATATCCAGATTGGCCGGTTGATAGCGACCTGTATCCAGCGCCATCCTGCAACCTTCATGGGGTCATCTCTCTACTTTGTGCAAGGACGTGCCACGCTACGCTGGCCAAACACAGTTTCTAGCGAGAGTAAATCTTACAAAAGCTCGCTTCCACCTTCGGCCTGATCGTCACTTACCATCAGGTGAGATACAGGCCAAGAGCTTCCTCGTTGTGGATAAAAAAAAAAAAAAAAAAAAAAAAATAGACATTTTGATATCAACATTCAACACGCTTATCAATAACTTACATTTTAGTCAGATTGTAGGGCCTCGAAGGAACCTTAGCGGGGCTCTTTCCAGGCGCGGTCGTAGGGCAAGGGGCGCCTGCCAGCGCGTGGTGAAGCCCACAAAGCAACACCCACCCACCGATCATGAGATGATTTTGGTATACCTAATAACAAAAAAAAGTAGCAGTGAAAAACCTAGATATACGAATCCTACTAAATTAAATTTAATACATTGCATGCCGTGGCAGCCTTTAATTAAGACAGCACTTAGTTTTAAGCACTATTAGTTATAGTAATTTCATGTATGCGTGTTTGTCTTGTTGGTTGTCCTAATAAATAAAATAAAAATAAATAAATAAAATAAATATCCTACTAAAAGTTTCTTAGGATAGTTGGATCGATTATCGTTTGTTACTCTTTCATTCTAAAACTACTGAAGGGATTTTGATGAAAATGTACAGAAGGTATATTGTTGTTTATACTTATGAACAATAACATATTGAATGTGTTTAAGCGAATTCTTTAGCTAAATTACCACGATAAGTGTCAAGTCATTTTTTCAGTGACAAATTGAATTTCACGCAGGCGGAGTCGCGGGCAAAATTTACAAAGTAATGTATTGGTATATGTGGATAAACAAAAGAATAAAGAACTTACGTATCCTCCAGCGCGAGTGGATTGCTTGAATATCTCTCCAACAGAGTTATAGAGGCTGAGTGCGCTCTCAACCAATGTCGCCGTTTGTTGTTCACTTTCTTCGTCTTTTGGATGAAGGGAAGCCTGTTTGAAAACAAAATAAGAGGAATGATAGCAACAACAAGTTCTTTTATTTAGGTTTTTGCAAGCTACAAAAAAAACTAGCTCAGTTCCAATTGGAACATTATGTTACACAGCGAAGGTAGATAGTATTTCGTAGTTATGGCTTATTATCAGACCTCCCTAACTCTAGTCAGCAGGAATGTAAGCCAAATCCTATATATTTTGCTTTTGGTAAATTGGGTCATCCTTCTGCAGTGGAGACTAAATGGCCTAATAATGGCTAATTATCTACCCGTATTCACAAACATTACTATGAGGTCTCACAGCGCGTGGGCGCACAGGGTCCCAAAAACCTATTCATAGACAAAACTTGAATGGCAGAGTGACACACCCTAACCAATCACAGAGCTCTATTCAACGCTGTGCGTTCGACTTCGCATAGCGTTGCTGCTTCACTTAAGTAAGCATCGTTTTTTACGGGTGTAAGTAAACCTACAAGTTATAAACTGCATTGTACTTATCAGAGCCTTACCTGGGCAGTGGCACACAGCAGCCAGGCTGCGCTGACGTCACTCAGCGTAGCGATGCGGTCAGATGTAAGCGGCTCAAGGCACGGCAGAGACAACGCCAGCCGGCATACGTGTACTTCGTTCACGAGGAAATGGAGCCTGGTGCGAAAAAATAAAGTTTAAGACGTTTTGTTTAACAAAGAAATTTAATTAAGAATAGTTGGATAGATATTTTGAATTTGGCGGTATGTTGTTGAAAACAACACGGAATGACTAAAGCTATGATGACATCATAAGCAAGTTCACAAAATAAGACTAAAGTGATGGCAGCGACGTGCTCACATTCAGCAACACGGAGCCGGGACGTAGCTCCATTAGTGACGCATCAACACAACACTGTCAACACTACTCACAGCGACGCGTCGGAGTTGAACTGGGGCGCCATAGCGGTCTCCTTGGCGCTCTGCCAGCGGTTCAGGTAGCGCTGCAGGCACGGCAGCGACGCGCTCACATTCAGCAACACGGAGCCGGCGCGACTCCATCAGTAGGGAGCCGCTAGTGACCCATCAACACAACACTACTCACAGCGACGCGTCGGAGTTGAACTGGGGCGCCATAGCGGTCTCCTTGGCGCTCTGCCAGCGGTCCAGGTAGCGCTGCAGGCACGGCAGCGACGCGCTCACATTCAGTAACACGGAGCCGGCGCGTCCCTCCATCANCAACACGGAGCCGGCGCGTAACTCCATCAGTAGCGAGCTGCATGTTGAGGCTACCCATTTCTGGAGATAAAAGAACCGATAAAGAACTGCTCTAGATGAAGGCAAGAAGAATTGGGACATAGTCAAACCAGTTATTTTTTTTGTATACAACCAAATCAGAAAACTTGCCTGACATCAGAAAGTTTAACTGTACTAACTATACAACTACATGCTACAGTCTATACAATGTATTTCAATAAAAATTGTGCTCTTAAGAGGGGTAAAAACTTAAGAGGGGTTAATGTAAAAACTAAAACTCATTATTCATTTTGACTAACCTTCATATCAATAAGGGCATGTTGTGTGTTATTCCCATCCTTAGCGCTCTCCAAGCTGTCTTTACTTCCCGGCGACAGGACGGCCGTAGCCGACGGCGCCTGCGGTGTCGCCACCGAACCCACAGGGTTACGCAGCGGGGTCGTCAGTTGTTCTAGCAACGCGTCAGAACGCCTCTGGGCATTCGATGGCGGCTGCTTCTCAGTTGTCGTGGCTTGAGACGCCAATGATGTGATCGGGCTCGGAATTACCGAGGATTTCGTCGTTTGGGAGTCTACAATGTAATGAGAGGGTAGTACAAATACAAATAGACTAATACAAACACAAAAGCAATGGCATGTCAGTAGCCTAAATGGCAACTCCCTAGGTGATAAGAATAAAGAAAATCTTTCATTGCAAATTGAAATCAATTTTAAATCACTGAACAAATTAACTAAATATTTACAGTAATAAGTTTCAAACTATTGACTATTCAAAAATTTACAAGATCTGACTTATAAATTAGTCTGTAGTCAATAGAAACTGTTCATAACTATCATTGGCATATTATCTGCATTAATAGGTAATACCTGAAATCAGCTAATGAATTAATCCAAAACTATCTATTACCTGGTACATTAACATGAGCTGGAAGTTTTGCACTCTTTAGTAGAGATGTCAATATTACTAGGTCTGCTTGAGGGTAACCCCCTCCTTCAATGCCACATAGTCCTACGATTGGCAGAAGCAGCTGTAAATAATGATTTTTTTCTGTTAATATTGAAAAATAGCAATAGGAGTTATAGTTATACCATTTTTTATGAACTTAACTAATAACAAACACTATAAATGTTATCTTTTAAGTAATGAGATACAAGACACAATAAAAATGTTATGGCTTGAGGCTCAACGGTAAGTCACATAGCGTTCTATTAAGTTTTTTTTTCTTTATCAGTGGAACTGAATATAAATGTTAAACGAACCTGTTTAATGGAAATATTAGGTGCAGCAGTAGTTGCTGTATCGTCACAGTTCAATCCGGCCTCAGAGAGCTTCTTGAGGATCTGTCGTAAGACCACCCTGAATGCATCTCTGGCTGTATTCAGCTGATCTGTTGGTACTAACACAAATACAAAACTTATTATTATCAAAGTCATACAAAACATTGTTGAAGTGTATACAAGCACAATTTTTAAATAAGGATACATAGCAAAGGGCTTATTTCACCACTTGCTGATAAAGACCCTAATAGAACTTGTCAGATAAATTGCAAATATTGATTTAATATGTCACACATAGTCATACACATATCAACAGTGTAGTCCTACTATCCATCAATATGTATTATAAAATGTGAAAGTTGTGAAGATGGATGTTTGTTACTCTTCTATGCACTGATCAAATGGTGAAGTTCCAGACAATCTTAAAATAATCAAGTCTCATCTGGATCCATGATAAAGCATGTAAAAGGTTAAATATTGTGAAATTTCCAATATGACTCATGTTGGAAAAAAACATCTTACAATACTAATTTTAAACACAATTCTAGGTGTGTTAGTTATTAATAATTAATAAACATAATACTTACAATTGGCTGCATTAACACTGATGAAATGTGAAGAGAGGCAGGCAAAGCATGTGTAGAACAAGTCGTAGATGTCTTCATGGTTTTGGAATTCAGTTTCACTGTGGAAAAAACATTTAAACACATTATTTAGGATATAAGTGCCCATACAATCCATATTGAAGTCGAGATTTTGAGGAATGATAGGGTAAGTCGTTGAGATTTTGAGAAATGAAAGAGCAAGTCATGTAAATTAAATTAACTGACTTCTATTCTACATAATTTTGGAGGGTACATGAAAATAAACTCCTCGTGCACCTTTTAACAACATGAATTGAAATGTGAGGGTAGAACGATTTGTCAATTAATTTTGGTAAAGCAGATCTATTGAAAGTAATTTTTAAAAGCTAATTCCAGAAAGATTTCTAAGGGGATTCCCATTACATTGTGGTTGGGTATATACGCAGTTTACAGCTAAGCAAAATATTGCAAACCATGTACATATTTTGGGAAATATATTGCATTGTTATAGTACGATTACACAAAAATATTTTAGGGTAAAAACAAAAATAAATAACTAGGCCGCTGACAAGGACTCCTTTATGAATCACTTTGCACTAATATTTAAACAAAATACAGGAAAATTATAGAAACTGACCTCTTGAGGATAGCTTGTATTATCTCCACGGCGTCATTTTTGTCAAAAAATGGCCCGTAGAGAGCTGTTAAAATTGGTTTTACAGTAGTCGACCATTCAATATTTCCTCCTGAAGCGGCCATTTTCGGGAGAATAATGATTTTTTTTGATGACTAGCGAGAAATGTCAAATCAACAGTCGCTGTCAATTTTTTTGTGTTGTGGCAGCACTGGTAAAAGTGGTAAAACTGGTAATTTTCCCTAGGGAGTGTCGCGTCGTGATGGCGATGGTGGAAATGGAATGAATGAATGGGGTGAATGGCGCCGGTATTTCTCTCCTCTAGTCCTCTCTGGCTCAGCTACCAGAATGTCTTTTTTAAAAGAAAAAACGTCAATGTCAATTTTGACATATTGTTGCTGTTTCCTTTCTGCATCGCGTCCTAAAAATTCTTAATATTTCTGAATTGCTTCCAATAAAATTGCTAAAATGTCTCAAGACCCACCCAAAAAGCGAAAATTATCCACTGAAAATGGCACAGATTCAAACGGTATTTCTTGCACTACTGTTACCATTATAACCTGTTGTTATGTACCTTGCTACAATGCTTCTATTTTTCAGGACCATCAGCGAAAACATTGCACATACAGTGCCCCTATTTAGATACAATCAATAGACATGTCCTAGATTTTGATTTTGAGAAGCTATGTTCTGTTTCATTGACTAGGATCAATGTTTATGCTTGCCTTGTTTGTGGGAAGTATTTTCAGGTAAATACTCTATTTATTAAGCTTTAAACTCGATATTACACCCTATAAGAATCTCAATATTACGTGAAAACTGACCTTTATGTTTTCTATTTTTGTTTTTCTAGGGTCGAGGTACGAATACTCATGCCTACACCCATTCCGTGGCTGATGGCCATCATGTATTTCTCAATTTACACACTCTGAAGTTTTATTGTCTTCCTGACAACTATGAGGTTATTGGTAAGTTAATTGTATGATGCGATAATGGAATGATGCAGTTAATATATTTTTAATGCAATGATTTTCTATCCATTTACAGATTCATCGCTCAATGACATAAAATATGTTCTGAACCCAATCTTCAGTACTGAGCAGATCAGGCAGTTAGATACGGACACTAAGATGTCAAGAGCCATCGACGGCACTATGTACATGCCGGGCATTGTAGGCCTCAACAACATAAAGGCCAATGATTACTGCAATGTCATTTTACAGGTAAGCCAGACTAAATATTGTTTTCAATCAACTAGATCAAGTTGATATTATATTTATTTACCAAATGATTTCAGCCAGTATGTTTATTTAAAGCTAAGAAAAGTGGACTAATTATTCTAAATGTTCCAGTGCCTGTCCCAAGTACGACCTCTCAGAAACTACTTTTTGCGTGAAGAGAACTACGCGAACGTAAAGAGGCCTCCTGGTGACTCCATGTTCTTGCTGGTGCAGCGGTTTGGAGAGCTGCTCAGGAAGCTGTGGAACCCTCGAGCTTTCAAAGCTCATGTGTCCCCTCATGAGATGTTACAGGCTGTTGTGTTGTGGTCGAAGAAAAGGTTTCAGTTTATAAAACAAAGTAAGAAATATGGACATTTTTTATTAACAGTAAAAGATGTTTACTGATCAAATGCACCTGTATTTGTTGAAGTAAAACAAGACTTCTTTCAATTTTCTTTCTTAGTTTTGATCAATGCTAATTTTACTTTGTTGTCTTTCTCTTTTTAATTTCACAGGTGATCCTATCGACTTCTTGTCCTGGTTTCTCAACACATTGCACATGGCATTGAATGGAACAAAGAAAGCCAACAGCTCAATAATCTACAAATCATTCCTTGGGCACATGAGAATATACACAAGGTATGAAATCTTTGGTTTGTTTTCTTTAATCTAATAAGATATGTCTAAGCCAGTGGTTCTTAACCGGTGGTCCGCGGACCACTGGTGGTCCCTGGAGGCATTCCAAGTAGTCCGCGAAGACATCGTAATAAACAAGTGACGTGACGTGATGAGTCGAGTCAACACAACGCAAACGGCGCACAGTGGGCGACAAATCGACCTCCCCGTTCATAGGATTTTGAAAAAACAAAGTGGTCCCTGACAAGACAGAAATTTGGTAAAATGGTCCATCGTCACTTAAAGGTTAAGAACCACTGGTCTAAGCCAATACAACTTTTATGTAGGTACTTTGAAATAAATTTGATTTTGCTTTTTTCAGAAAATTACCGCCTCCCGATGCTGATGATGCTGCCAAAGTAGACCTGAGTAGTGAAGAGTATAGTGAAATGATTACCGAGTCGCCATTCCTGTACCTGACATGCGACTTACCGCCAACTCCTCTCTTCACAGATGAGTTCAGAGAAAACATCATTCCTCAAGTAAATACATTGAGTCACATTATTATCTTTTTCTATTTATATGTAAATGATGACTATAAATGGGCTCTGTTTTCAGGTAAACCTGTATCAATTGCTTTCAAAGTTCAATGGGCAGTCATCAAAGGAATACAAAACATACAAGGAGAATTTCTTAAAACGTTTTGAAATAACGCAACTCCCGCCGTATTTGATACTGTACATAAAGAGGTTTACGAAAAACACTTTCTTCGTAGAAAAGAACCCAACTGTTGTGAATTTTCCAGTAAAGTGAGTTTACATGTTTTTCTAATCAGAAAAAAAATTATACCATCTGTGTGTATGTGAAACACATAAGTTAACTTTGAAGTAAGCATTGTATATTCCGACTTTCAGAAACGTTGATTTCGGCGACATTCTGACGCCCGAAGTGAAGGCGAAACATAACGGAAAGACAACATATGAGCTGGTTGGCAACATTGTACACGATGGATCGCCAGAGAAAGGCACATACAGGGCTCATGTTCTTCACAAACCTACCCAGCAATGGTAATATTTTAGCATCAAAGTATATTCAAGATAACATTGATATTATTTGCTCTGTGGGATAAGAACTCCCTATTACTCCCAAAGCCATTATTGAAAATTGTAGTGTCAATAAATAGTGTATTATTATTGTTTCAGGTATGAAATGCAAGATTTGCATGTTACCAGTATACTTCCACAAATGATTACACTTACAGAAGCGTACATCCAAATATATGAGTTAAAGCAGGACTGAATAGTGTGCATTTTAATGTTAATGTATTGTAAGAGTAAAGTGATAAATAAAATGATATAATGTCGCTATTACCATTTTTATTTATTGAATATACAAATTACAGATATTACTGAATTTCATTTAACAAACTGTGGCCTTTGGAATGGACCTTTACACTTATAACGAACTAATAATTATGACAATATCATATCATATTTTATAAATATGAGAAATATATTAGATAAAATTACAATATAAAATTTACTATGCATTGACACAGTTTGGAAAATGATTCAAATTCAATTTACATCACTTATAAAAAGAAAATGCAATATAAACAGTTCAGTCACAGGTTTGACGACTATTACACTAAAGGGAATGGGGTATGCATTACATTGACATGATTATTCATTTGACGAGCAAGCACGATTTCATAGACACTGCAGGGACATTCAAGTAAGAGTGACTGAACTATCTATGTTAACACTTAGTTGAGCTAGTGGCTCTCTCCTTTCTTGCCCGCCACGCGTTTGAACTCTCCCATATTTGTGGTTGAGATTGGTGAGCCGTAGAATGCGAGATGGTCTATTTGTGACACATCTCCTCCAGACTGGTTATCCTTGATAAACAGTTGAATGTTCTGGACGTTCTGGAACTTCACAAACTTGAGAGGCACTGGGTTTCCTTCCAAGTCGCTTGGAGTAAACCTGTAAAAGAAAATAATATTTAGAAAGATTGAAGAAGATGCAGTTTAGTGTTATGCACTAGAATATTTAATAAAGAGTTGAACTATGAATGAAACTGAAAACTCATTCAATCACAAGTTGTGGCTGATTTCAAAGCAATTACATGTGATGAGCCACATACAATGTAAAAGATAGAACATAGTGATATCTAAAAACATAAATTAGGGACTTACTCCAAATCTTGCACAGATGAATTTCCAGAAGCCTGGTCGAAGTCCAGTGTCCTGGGCTGGTTGATGAAAAGTTTTACAGTCTTGGGCCCCTTGTCTGCTGGGCCTTTGATCTTTAGAGAGTGAAGTTTCACCAACTGAAAAAGAATAAGACAGCACATCAATAACTGAACTATGTCCCATTTTGTTGGTACTTGATTGGTTAAAATACTCTTTACACAGTTTGCTATAAAGTCTTTAGTAATAAAGGAATATTCTTAAAAATATGTTTAAATAAAACTGACCTGATTAAAAGAAATGTTGATTATTAGCTGCTCATCACAGTCACTGGCCAAGTAGCCACCTCCGCTGGTGAGGGCATGCGCTAGCGGATGGTCGTCCGCTTCGTTCAAGCACTCACACTCGCTCTTGGTTATAAATGTTCCAAGGTCCATCTGGTGAAGAAAGTAAATAAATTAACATAACATTTAGAAATTATTATCAGTTATTATAGATTTACACAGTTATTAGACGGAATACTTACATGACCGGCAACCGCATTGTCTTCTTCACCATCAGTCTCCGTTCCATAATATTGCCTAACTTTATTTTCTAAAGTCCCGGGGTCAGCACCTTGTAGCCGGTCAATCTTTGTCTGGAATAGGCACAATTTTATTCTAATGAGTATCTTATTGGATAAAAAAATACTATTTATCTACATACTCAAAAGGGTCAACTTCGGTTTTACAGATTTTTAAAAAGGTTTTAACTACAATTATTGAATTTGTAGTAATAACAACATACTCTGTTTCTATAGAACACGAACGTAGGCATCGCACTGACGCCTTGAGCACTAGCGGTTTCCGCACATCTGTCTACATCAACTTTTAGGAACACGGCTCTTGGAAACTTCGCTGGGAGCTGCTCGAAGAAGGGCGCAATCCGCTGGCATGGTGCACACCTATCGAAACACCATACAAAACTTAGAAAATTCAAAAACTCCGACGATGACTCGATGGTTTTGAACGTGGGCAGGTTAACTTACCAAGACGCTGTAAAATCCACGACAACTAGTTTTGTCCCGGCATTAGCCATTTCCGATTGAAAATGGGCTTCATTTTCAATAGCTGTGACTAGTCCCATTATTTCTGAGAATAAATTGAAAATAATTCAGAAACCGAAACGAAAATGACAACAACCGAGAATGATACAGACTTCAAAATGGTTGACAACTTGACAGATGATGAAACAGATTATAAATTGCGTACAGATTTTTGGGTTGATTTTAGGAAAGGCGTCAATTCTAAGCAATAGAGTGTAAAAAATCAACATACTGTTCCTCTCCTTTCGAGTTTTCCTTGGCAGGGGTCTTCGTTTCATTTCAACAGGCTCTTACTTGTGGGATACAGGTGATTTTACCTTTTGCGCATGCGTCCTAGGTACCAATGGAATGGACGCACGCTGACCCCTACCCCTGTGCAGTGTGCAACAGTAGAGTACTTATTGTATATCTGTGTCTGCTGTGTGCATGTATTTGCATCCTCCAGTCCCACACAGATGCCGGGTAATTGAATAGGTCATGCAGCTGTTTATTCAGCATGCAAGGCGAAATTGCTTTTATTACAAGATAAATCTATTCTGATTCGCAGAATAAGATTCGGCGGATGGTGTTCAGTGGTCTATCTGCTGTCTGAGGGTAATTAAAATTTTACACTTGGAACTAAACAAACTAAAAATAAGTAATGAAATAGTTCATTCCCGATCCTAAATTACTCATAATAATAACAGGGTATAAAAGGCGAACTTAATGCCATAATGACATTTTCTTCCAGTAAACCCTTGGTTTAAAATATTCTTCATACCTACTTATTTATCTCTCTTCTCTTATCTCGATGCTATCTATAATTATTTACTTAATGAATCTTTACTTATTGTTCACCCAGTACTTAGTCATTGTTATTTGGTGCCATTCTCAACAATTGCTCTAAATATTTATTCAGGGGAAATGATAATATCAATTTTATTTGACCAGCGCTAATTCAATATTGTAGGACGAGGTTTTCTCTTTGTAACTCGTTCATCATCATCATCATCTCAGCCATATGACGTCCACTGCTGAACATAGGCTCGGTAGCGGCCTGCGTCCAGCGCCTTTCTGCTACCTTTATGATGTCGTCGGATCACCTTGTGGGTAAACGTCCCACGCTGTGTTTTCCGGTACGTGGCCTCCACTCTTGCTGCCCCATCGGCCGTCAGTTCTGCGTAGGCACTATGTGCCCTGCCCATTGCCACTTCAGCTTGCTAATCCGTCGGGCTATGACTTTAGTTCGTTTACCCTTCAAGCGGGCGCGCGGTCTTTTGTAACGGCAGCGGTCGCGCGTAAACGAAAAGACCTATGGGGTCTAGTAAATAAATAAAGCACTTATTTTCCAATAATCATTTATTATTTTGTACGCAGATATATTTTGATTGTATTTAAGTCTTTAGTAATTTGAATTAAGTTAAAGAAACTTATGAGCAGCGCGCGNGTGTAAAATATGTTTAAATAAGCATGCACAAAAATGTAGATATAATTTTAGATGTTCCGTATGCAAAGAGAATTCGCATAATTCTTTAATACATAATAATTCATTTCAACAATCAAAACCTGTACATAATATTAATTCATTGCATGCATCTAACTCTGTAAATAATCATTTATGTGAATTTGAAACTGTACATACTCATACAAATAGTAATACAAAAATTGTGTTTCCCACTAAATATACACAAATGCAAAATATGACAAAAATGCCTCATGTCTTCAAGACTGTAGACTCAGGGAGCCAAGACAAGACATATTATAATACAAAAACTTTTCATACATTGTTTCAAGGACTGGGTCTAAGTGACTCTGATCCACTGTACGCTAATAAATGACCATAGTTGTACTCCAGGCCAAAATGAGTCTCGTCTTTATGTAAATTAATTGCTTTTACATTTATTATCTTTTTATTTTATACAAGTGAGGAAACTAGAACCAAGTTTAGTGTTATTCATATTAGCTTATTAATTTTCGATATGAATGTTAAGTGTGTTTTTGTGTTTGTTCTAATTGCTTATGTGTTAGTTCTGATACAATTCGAAAATATAATGTTATACATAGACCGGTACCTACATTTTTCAGAGATTGTTAAAATGTAGGTTTCATAAAATGTCTTGATTATAATTGAAATGTTATCTTTCTTATTTGATTTCAAAAATTTATTGCAAGAGGGTATTCTCTTCATTATAATGTTATTATTTGTTTAATTCATATCTATTAATTTAATTGTAATGCGTGTCGCATTCCGCGCGCGGACTATGTTGAGAACCAACAAAAGAGTTTTTAGTGTTTTTTACTTTTTCTTCTAAAACAAAATAAATTTTACTTCTTCACTTTGACAGCTAAAAGAAAGTCGTTTTATTCATACATTTTATACATATTTTAATACATTATTCAGTAATACAATAATTAATTTATGTCATAAGCAACACTGACTAATTCACAACCTTTCTATACATAATGATATTCATCTTATCATAATACACAAAATTACTTTATTGTTCACAGAGGAGACACAATAGATTTAAAGTCACATTTGATTGCCGGGTATAAAGTTCTTAACATTAAAAGTAAAATATTGTAGGTACATCATCATTATAAAGGACTCACCTTCCCGCTCTTGACGTTATCAGCGACCGCAGCAGCATACTGCGGCATGCCCAGCGCCAGTTCCAGCCAGGCGATGATGGCTGGCGCCCTCCATCGAGATAGAGGAAGCGAAGCTGCCTCCCGGAGCGCTGCCTCGCTGCCGAGCGGCGACCAAGCGCGCGCTGTGCTGCCAGTGCCGGCGTAGACCGGCTCTGTTGGAAAATTGAAATTCGAATCGTCCTATTCTAAATTCAAAATCTTCTTTCTTGTGGCGCGCTATGCTGCCAGTGCTGGCATAGACCGGCTCAGTTGGAGAATTTGAGATTCGAATTTTAGGTGTTCTAAATTTAAAAATATTTGTTTTTTCTATGGCTTGCGCGCCCTTATCCAGTGACATTGTAAATCAAAATCTGTACTTGAAATTGAGCATCATTGCCACTTTTTAATGTGAACTCTTGTAGACTATCCAGTTTGCTGGTTCACGCGGTTTATACCAACGCCAACTGTGATATCTACTTAGTCTCGTTTAGAGGCAAATTAATGTTTTAGAGGCTAGGTAATTAAAGTTACAATTTATTATTTTAGCTGTTACAAATGTCGTGCTAGGGCGATATTTTGCTTAGATGTAGCCATTGTTATAAAAGTATGCCTATGAGTAGCTGGGTTTCAAAAGCTGTGCTCTTTATGCGACTCAATAATACCTAATTATTACAATGACTTTACAGAAGAAAATAAATTAGTTATTTGTCTACATTATAAAACTGCTAGAAAAAATATTATTAGTCGGCAAATGTTTAATCATTAACATAATATTCCAGAAGAACATCTTCAACATAAAGTTAACGCCACTCACCACTTTCATGGCCGCTGACAGCCGCACTGCCGGACTTGGTGCGATGCCTGCTTCGCGCGAAGACTCGCGAGATGGACCCCCAAGCGGACCCACGACCGCGGCCCCCCTTGCCCCCTCCGGCCCGCGTCCTCATGCCCCCCACTAGAGCCGCCTCGCATTCACCAGGGCTTGACAGCTGCTCAACTGACCTGCACAACACGCTTTAGCTTAAGTTGCACCGCCATTTTAACTGGTCATCCCAGTACGTAACCAAAGACATCGTGTCAACGATTTCACCATAGTCTGACACCAGAGGTTTAGAGCTCACTTGTTACAAACCTGCATGTTTATTACGGATCTATGATGGATTTTTTCTACAGAGGTACTTACTTTTTTATTTTACGACAAGTTTTTGCTTCTGATTAAGCTATCTGTTACTTTCATTCCAGAATTATGAAAAGGAGTTCAAAGACCTTTTGCGTAATATGGATTCACCATTTTCTTTTATCACGTAGAGGCTGTCATAGCAACTGAGGTTAAGTTATAATTTATAAATGATGAAAGGGAAATCATACAATAACAGTTAATGAATGCTAGGGAAATACAGTGGACAAGCTATGTTGGGCATTTCGCAACAAAACTCATTGGCTTTTAACCGTGTTTGCTATCCAATTGCACACATGACATGCAGTTATCGTGTTAACTTCCCATCACTAGTTGGATTAAATAACATGCAAAAGCTCAATATCAGCTTGATAAAACAATAATTTGTTTTAATGGTTTTCAATGTTAATTGCATTTTAATTATGTAATGTTAAATCCAGTATTACTGAAAGTCTCTTTAACTACAAAAATATAGTAGTTCACTAAAAATTTCAAATTATTTATTTAGAGGTACATAACAGCCGTTATCATTCTGTAAAATATTTTAAGTCTGCCTGGGAGTCATAAAAGGCATTAAATGTAACGAGTATGTTCAACCTACACAATAAACCCTACTCTCTAGAGTTCGTGCCTGTAAATTGGATATTTAAAGCACCTGTATAAGCCTGTAAGCCTCTCTGATGATAAAAATAACAATGAAGGCAGGTATTTTGTTTAAGTACAGAATTTCTAAGAACACATCAAATTAAAATAAAGTTAACTTTATTATCACAATAATACCTAGGTTATCTACATGTTAATGTAGTTGCGGCGAGATACCCTAAAAGGGATGTGGCTTTAAAAGTATTATCGTTTATTAAAGCAACAAAGTAAAGGTAAGGGCTCGTTTCGTCACTCATATCAAGTCCATGGAGATATAATATACGGAAGTGCGCGCGCACGTAGCGACGTGACAGTGACAGAAACTTTTTTGTCACCTCCATATAGATGACCCACGCTGAACTGACCCACCAAACTCAATGACAGGGGGGCGCTACCATCGTTCAACTATATGGTTTCCAACATGGCAAAAATCTGAACCAGCGATCCAGTATTGACGGTGGCGCCCCACTGTCAATGTCATCGACAGGACAGTCCAGTATTTTGGAACTATACATCTCTATGCGAGTGACGAAACAGTCACGGTAACAAAAGTCACATGTGCGCGCGATCCTTAAAATTCTCGTCTCTACTATAAATGACACCTCGGCTCTTAGCTGGAGTCTACTGAAGCTCTAGAATAGTTTAGTGCGTCCATACAGATGACCAATTAAGATAGATGGAGGCGTATTACCAAACTCGATTACAGTCAAGTTATCAATCTACCCTGAAACGTTTGACAAGATAATTCAATCATGACCCACTTTTCGTCCTTTCCATAGCAATTATAGATTATGATCATCCTTTCTAATAAATGTCAGCAATCGGGTCAGGGCAGTTGTGATGGTCACTCATCTAAATATGTCCTCAGAAGGTGTTCCTTAGCTTTTAGCAAAGACGACTGACGAAAACAGACCTATCTAACCAATCTTTCGTGCACATAGCTTATGATCGCAGTCTGTAGAGGAACACTATAATGTTGTCGCGATCCTCATTAGTGAGGGACCGAGGAAGAAGAAGAACCGAACTTTAAACCAGTGAATGTACAACTCACGACTTTTCGTAAAACTGTAATTAATAACGGAGATTTTAACAAGGTATAACGGGAACAGAGATAAAACATTTACGATAAAATAATTCCGTTACACGAGAAATGGGAAGCCAATATTAATAATTACTTCCAACGTTAACGAATGGAAAAGTATAAGTACACACAGCGACCGTTGCTTTTAATTACAATGTATTCATAATTTAAAATAATGGATGTATAACCATTGGGAAGAGAATAAACGTGATTTTGGAAATTCTCGGAACGTCAGTAATTCTGTGGAGTTCCAGCTTACACTGAACAATGATTCCGGTAAATTACTCTAAGTAATTTACAATCCTTATACATAATACGAAATTTAACTGAGTTCGTTGAAAGTTCATCTATAGTATACCTACTGGCTGGTTTTTCGTTTGTTTTTCCACTGTATTCAGAGTTTGAGAGAACACCTTTTATTTTAAACTAAAGTCAATAAATTAATTACGTAAACTTACCTGGAGAGAGACCCAGCATCGATGGAGCGCGTGAACGGAGACGCACTGTTGTGTGGCGAGAGAGTAGGGCTGCAATCCCGAGGGGTGCTCACTGACAAAATAAGTTATTACGTATTATAAAAATAAAAAATTTGGCATATTGGATATAGTACCTAATAATTAATTTAATAATAATAATAATAGCCTCTTCGTGTTGGATCTGTATCCCCACGAACGCCTTCCAAAAGGACCAGCCTCCGCGCCGTGCTTATCCACAGGAGAGATAAAAATAATTGAATTATTATTGTTATTATACTAGAATGAGAGATCTCAAAATCTATCTCAAGCATTAGTAGACGAAAAGTTTAATAGACAGGGATGAATGTTAAGTATTCCTTTTAATATAATGTAAGTAGATCTCTGATAGACATAACTCTCATTTTAATTCAAAATACATAAAAAGCTGAACCCACCAAATATTATCGCTTTTAGGTATGGTATTTTGAACTTTATTGGCAGTAGGAAATGTTATAAAACGTTCATACAAAAGCTTTTATCAGAAAATAAAATCTATTGTCCTACTTTCGTAGCCCACAGACCATAAAAGCCACTGGCTTATTTTTACGCGTTGAAAAATACAGTAACAAAAACACTTTATATGTCACATACAATAAATATCGCGTACGGGGCACTTATCTAGCGATGTCATCGCTCGCCATATAAACGACCCAATCTCATCGTTAAGTAAGGCTTTCTCTGTAATAAAACGGTTGTCTCGTAAGCGGATTTCCACCGCATTTTTGCCTTAAAACGCCCTTTGATAACAGTGGCTCGATGAACTCTCTAATAATCAAATAGATACGATTCTCGCAAAGTGCTCACGGAAAAATTGCTTCGTCGTTAGCAAGGCTCCGAAATAATTTCGTTTCATGTTTATTTGAGGGCAAATAACGATTTGTTTGATGAGCCTGTTAAAACACTGGGATTTTTCGAGGACTTGTTTTACGGTTGGGCGAATATCGTTTCGTTGAAATGAATCGGAGAATCGAATATAGTGACAATGCACTCGGCGCGGTGTAATGATATTATGGCTCTCGAGTCAAGTGGGCTTTACTCGAATCCATCAAATTAACACAAGTGCTGTCTGTATTGCGTTCTCAATTGCGAGAATAAAATGCTGTTACGGTAATTAAAATAAACGTAAAGCACGATGAATAAAAGGAATAAAACTTCTCCTGCTTGCGCGTTGTATGGAAAATCGATAATCTTTTCCTATCTCGTTGACTTTAAAAGGTCTCATTAGAGTTTGATGAATGACTGTTCGAACGATTTATCAATGTCTCGCAGGTGGCATAGGTGCCGACACATTACCAAGGATCTTCGTGTGTGAGCAACTTTTATTTACCTGTGCTATTGAAAACGATTAGGTACGTATATTGTTACTTGTTAGTTTTTATAGGTAACTAGACATCAATATTATCACTGAAATTCAAAATTCACTAGAAGTTAGGCCTTACGTTGGTATATGTGGTGAGCAGACGAGACCAAAGAAATGGCATCGGTGTCGTACGCATCTATGGTCGGAGGAGCGCCTTCGGCCGTGGAGTCTGACAGGTTCCCGCCGCAGACGGAGGTGGCGCCACCGTCGCTGCTACCTGTTACTGACAAGTAAGGGCTCACTAAAGTATACTCTACGAAGTGTTATCTGCAGCTCGAGAGTCTACCCGCCGCTGGACATGGGCCTGCTTCACTTATAAATCATCCATCATTGTGCAAAAACCAGTGTCAACAATAAAACAACTCATCGTGACGTACATTTGGTGCGCTGCAATGACAACATTTGTTGTTTATCAAAACTTTCAATAACAAAATATTCTTAACTTAAAGTTGCTGATTTGTCCGACGGCAGTGAAAAAGAAGTATGAAAAAGAGGAGAATTTACCAGTGATGATTACAAATCTGTACCTACTATTATTACTTATTAGATTGAAAAGCGATGCATGATGGGTGTCTTATAGTAAAATGGCTTTGTGCAAACAATAAATCACAGTTATGATGAAAAAAAAAAAGATTACTCTTACTACCTCTAACACCAGAGTCGGCACTGCAGCTGCCCCTATCGCCGATCATCCCCGAAGGTCCCAGCATCATTGGAGGACCTATGCCGAGAGAGGCGACGCTCTCTCCCTCTGATAGACAACCGGCAGCTTGGAGCTGTCTTCGAGCCTGGTAAAAAACCAAAAGAAATAAATAACACTCTAGGTTACACACCAAATGGTACAATACAGGTAAAAGCTATTTTCCACTAGATCCTATCATAGAGCGGTTCGTTGTTCTGTTACAAATAATGCTCTAGTTTATACTCACCTTAAAGTAAGTATAATATAAAATATATTTTTTATACTTGCGCTAATATAAACGTCACAATAAACCTAAAAAATAACAAACTCGGTGGAACATAACATTTCTAAAATTCTAGTTTGAAAATTGTGACTGCGATAGCCATTTTGTTGAAAGGCTTTTCAATTAAAATCTCATTGTCCCACAACGAAATTGGGTGTTTGGCAATATAGGTACAACAGATTCAATTTACACAAAGGTTCTATTGGAGAAGCATAACAATATTCCACTTTAAAAGGTAGGTACGCTAACTTCATGTTTAATCAAAGAAAGAGTTAAAATATAAAACAAAAGAGTGCTAAACTTCATAAAATAAAAAGAAAAAGTGAAACAAAAGAGCATCGTGAATAAAAATAAAAATTGAAAACTCTCAAGATAATGTTTTCAAGAAGGAACGAGTAAGAGTCCTTGCTAACGCAAATGGCTGCAAAAGCTCAGCAAACATTATGGTCTCATCCAATTATTATTAGGCATTATTCCGTATTATTGATTTCCGACCCGTTTCATGATTCAATTAATTTGGATTGGGGTTTAATTTGGACAGGATTTGGCCTCTCAACGGGGACACGCCGCTTTAACGAGCCTAATATAAGCGTAATGAGCTTTGCGCTAATAAACGGATTTAATGGTTTCGAGGTGTATATTGCAATATAATGTACAAATCCACTTGCAATTACAATTATAATAATCACTCAATCAATTATACTGGTCCACAAATAAAAAGGTTCGGTTAGAAAATCCTCTATAATATCTTCAAAAGTATCTGACCTAGCTTTATGACTCAAAACATACTGGAGTACAGTCCTATCAACTTAAGCTGAGAATTGCATTTGTGTGAGTGATCGCCAAAAGTACCGTTAGTAAAACACATACAAATAAAATTAATGTTTTATAAAAAGGAAGTCTATAAAACACTTGCTACCAATTGGGCCGATGTAACGACACTTGACACATCCTTTTAAATAAATAAATAAATAAAAACAGGTACTCGCTCAGCATATGCCAAGGCACGAAGTACCTCGACGCTGATATTCTGCGAGCACGGTTTATAGAGAGGGCGTCCAGCCAGCCTTACAAAATACAACAAAAAGACAAACTTTATAAAATTACAAAATAAAAACAGACTAAAAACTTTTCGTTCACACCTTTAAAATACGTATTCAATTTGCATAAAATTTCTTTCACTTGGCTGCTTAATGGATTTCGTACAGGAAATTCACTTACAGTAGGAGCCATTTCACTAATATTTGGAACACAATTACATAAAATTACACGTATCTGCTACCAGTACCGGGGGTGAAGTGAAGTATGTGAGCGACAAGGAAGCGGTGCGTGGCGGACGCGCCGCGCTTCAGGCCGCTTGCTATAATAAACCATGCGCGGGACGCACCGCGCTTCAAGCCGATTGCCACTCTAAACTATCGGTGTGCACTCACACAAATGCAATTCTCAGCTTAAGTTGAGAGGACTGTAATCACGCATTTTTATTTATTTTACATCTATTGAAAATAAAAAGCTTGATTTCGTTATTTAGCTTCATGAAAAATAAAGTATTTTTGATGACATTGAAGATTTACTAACCGTCCCGTTTTCATTGCCGTTCAGTGTATTTTACACTATTACACGCTACATCGTTTATGAATGTAAATGGGATAAATGTTTCCACTCATAGTTGCACTATTTCTCATACTTATTTACAACTGTCATCCGTAATGTCAGTTGGAACTTGAATACAAGTTGGAGCGAACGCAACGTTCTCCTAATCTTATTAACGAGCTTAGTTTGTAAGCGAGGGACGTTTAGGTATAAGATACGAGTATTTCTAGACTAATATCACAAGCCTATAAATCAAATATAGGTTTTGGCATTTTTATGGCTACATCGTCGATCAGGCGGATATTGGCAACAATTTCACTTGGCACTATGTTAATCGAAACATTTGGCAAACATAGATGGAGTACTTAGGTTATGTTACTGTGAACTGTGGTAGAGAAAGATTTGTAATGAATCGCACAGTTTTTTCCACTCATGGCAACTACTGGTTACCTTACATAACCTATTGGTTCTCTATGAACAATGAAATGCATTTCTTTACTTTCTAAAAAATCCGACCCTCTACCGTTAACAACTGACACGTCACGCTCACACCTTTTAGCAATTTTCACATACCTCCAGTCCATGGCCGGTCACGTGTTTACCTTCACAACCCAGAGATAACCACTCCGAAATGATGTTACCTCCATCAAAGCGATTCCGTTTCAGCGTTAGTGGACCCAGTTGTGTTTAATTTTCCTCGCAATTCGGACCCAGAAGGAGGTATTTGAAATGGTAATTAACACGAAATTCACCGAGTACGGTGATGGATGAAACCTGCCCCGCAGAGCCGCCTATTCATCATAAACTGCCCCGATACAGCTTTGCTTATATACTTCGCAGATTGCTCCGATCGACCAATCAATCAATTATAATTAACAATGATTTTCATCGAGGGCTACTCGAGTTTGAACATCCATCTTTATAGAGGCACTGAAAGTTATTTGTTTCTTCCCAATTCTAATTCTTCGTTAGTAAGTATGAACCAGTAGTAACTATTGCTTTTTAAGGTGTGAAATACATACACAATAAGTTTTAACCTTTTCCACCCTGGTTATTTTAAATCATAGGTACAAGCAATTCCTAGGGGAATATCTAAATAAGTAGGCATTATAGGCGTTGAACAATTACAATTTCTTTAAAGTATAGTTGCTAATGTCCTAAACTTACATAAAATATGTAAAAATAACCGCAGTTACTATTCACTTTCTGCGATAAAACTCAAAACTTTATTTTCACGCTACGTTAAGTACGAAAGTTTTAAAGAAACTTTTAAAAATAGCACATTATACCCCTAAGTAAGGTTGAGCGAAAGGGCGGTTGGCTCATTCGTCACACTTGTGGTATGCCGTGATAAATAATTCATAAACTAGTGAAATAACTAGATCACTTAACATTTTTTTAACTTTTGTGGTAAGTATTAGTAACTTAACAACAGACATCAGCTCTTATAAAAACTATGTCGCAGTAAAGCTTTGTTGTTTTAGATTCAGATAGAACACATGTGTTTCTGAATCATTATACCTAATATTGTAAATTGAAGTAGGTTATCATTATCTTCATCATAAGGTCATTTTGTCTCCACTGCAGGTGGACGAGGTTCTCTAATTTACTTAGGCAAATGTAGGATTTCACCTACACTCACCGTCTCCACGATATGGCTCATTTACATACTTTTTGTATTTCAAGTTACATAACATACATTTTCCGCTTACTGAAGAATAAATATATCACTTACCTCAAACAGCTGCTCCCTGGCATGTCGCAGCTGAGTGTCGCGAGCGCTGAGAGCGGCGGCGAGCTGCAGCGAGCGTTCAGCTTCGTCGCGAGCGTGGCGCAACAATGCCGCTCGTTCGCGCTCGCGCTCCGCTCGCTCAGCTCCCAGAGCTGATGACGCACCGCCTCGAGAACGCATCTACAAAAAACAACACTCGTAACTACATATTTTTGAATCGATTATATCTTATTTACTTGTAGGTACATTCTCGAGTACTTTATTTACTATCGATTGCCTTGAAGTTATTAAAAGTTCATTTGAAACAAAACAGTATCGGTGAAGTATAAGTACTTAATTGTTCAGAAGCTATTGTTCTATGAATGGTTAGTAGTGAAGTCAAATTTCAATGATATGAAGCTTAACGACGAATGGAAACTTTGCTTTGTTAATTGCCACTCACCTGTTCGTAGTTTCGTATAAAATCTCGTAATTCCTTTTCTTTGTCTTCTAACGTTGCATACAGCTGTTTCATTTGATTTAATAAATCAAATTTCTCTGCTTTTAATCGTTTTTTGTCTGCCTTCAGAGCTGTAACAAAGGATATTACCTAATTAGCATTTATAACAGCATATTACTTGTTGTAGAAAAAAAATATGGAAATCGGAATTGAGAACCTTCTCCGTTTTTTGAAGTCGATTAAAAAGCCTGTACTAATACACAATCGTTAAAACAACATTCTGGTATGTTTGCATTACCATTGCATTCATTAAAAGAAATAAGTATTTTAAACATTTTATGAAACATTTCCAACACTATTTTTCATCTGTAAAAGGCATTTCAAAGACATAAACTGTTGATGCAATTCGAAATGGGTTAACGTTTGCTTTCGCGGGACTCGATGCGATCCGTCGCAGCTCGAATCAAAGTAAGTTTATAAAGGAAAAGCGTTTCTGTGTACACAGCACGGTGTAGACTTAGAGCCAGTGCCCGCTAATGGATACGGGTCATATTGAATTTGGAATTGAAGGCACGTTGAAATACATTAGTTGGAGCTTTACTCGTGCCGTATTTGAGGTCGGGGTATTATGTTAGAAACCACTATTGATTTAGTTATTTGACTTTGTCTAAGTAAGTTTTTCAGTAGCTAAGTAAAATTTTAATTTAATAGACTGGAACCATAAAAAAAATAAAACAGACTCCAAAAAACCTACATTAAAAAGTAGAAAAATAATTACTAATAACCTACTTATTTATTAGGAAGAATTAATATTTATGTAGGTATACCATTATTGATACTTCTGGAGTCGGTGCCAAGATTATGAAACATGTAAAGTTTGCCTGCACCGACTCCAAAAGTATCAATCATGGTATACCTACATAAATATTAATTCTTCCTAATAAATAAGTAGGTTATTAGTAATTATTTTTCTACTTTTTAATGTAGGTTTTTTGGAGTCGGTTTTATTTTTTTTTTATAAAATTTTACTTATTTATTGCTTTTTAGTTAACTAATTATTACCTTGATGTTACCACTGAAGGTAGGCAGTACATTGAGACCATACTCTTCATGTCTAGTGTAAAATAATATTCCCTACAAAATACAGGTTACCATATAGGAAACCTAAAAAGACCTTAAACCGTCAGCCCACCTTAAAAACATGAAAGAATACAACTGTTGGTCTATTTGTACTTATAATATTTAAAGAATTATCCTCCAACTCCTAAGCATTAAGGAGTTTTACCTTCTATCATCAGCTCATCAATATGAGATGATGATTTCCAGGAGCAAATATATGAATAACTTAAGAAAAAGTTTGAAAAACGATATACGTGCCTATAAAATTTGAGGGTTGCTCTCGATTTCCCTAGGATCCCATCATCAGATCCTGACTTGGTGACAATGGGACCACCTCAGAAGTGTACCCTATCGAACAAAAAAAGAATTTTGAAAATCCGTTCATAATTGGCGGAGTTATCGCGTAAAGCACAATAGAATTTTATGTCTATAACAAGTGTAGAATATTATAAAAAAAAACTAGCTCTAAGTCCACATTGTCGTGTTATTTTGTACAGCTTTCAATCTCCACGATCCGGTCTCTTCGCCTGCACTTTGTCGCTCGCCCCCTATGCAGATGTGAGTCGCGCAAGTGCATTTGAACCGACTGATATGAAAATAACGGAATAGAACTCTCTCTGAATTGCTTTTGCACACAAAGTAACAGGAATATAGATATCGATGGAATTTAGAATACCCGGAAAACGTTCCAAAACCTCTCAATGAAAGAAAGAAAGAAAAAATATTTATTTGGTTGCGTTTATGTATAAAAATTGGTGGACTTTATGTCGGTTCTGTAGGTTTTCGGGTTGTTATTTGAACATTATATTTTAAACTGATCTTAAACTTCTATAAAAAAAATGTGCGAATGTTACATATCCATTGCATTTTCTCTCAAACATAATTTCACATTTTTCATGTTAATAATTTAATAGTTGATAGATAGTTCTGTTGATAATGCCTATTTAGATGATTTTAAGATATTTTTCCCAACTTCTCCAATGTATCGTGATGAGCAAATATGACATCTATGACAATATAAATTGGTTTCTTGATACAATGCATGTGCATGGCAGAGCAGAGTAATAAAGCATGTGCTACCGGGTGATGTACCAAGCGATTATGAGGCTTAGTGCCCCGACGGCCTTTGATCGGTGTTTCATTGAATGCATCTGACAGCGTTCTGGCGTTAACCTGTCCTGTCCTATGCCTTACTATGCCTATGTCATAGTAAACCTATCTTCGGTTATAATCTTAAAAGGTAATAGGAATTAATTTACGCATTAAATACCTGTTTCATCTGTTCACGCCACAATTTGGGAACAACTCTAGGACTCTAGCGAATATTGTGGAATTCTTGTACGAGAATTTAAAAAAACAGCAGAATATCGACTGTCAAAGGAACGAGGAGCATCACGGTGCAGAAACAGTTCTCAAGTTCGCTTTGAAAAATTAAAATGCAAAAGCAGCACAGCGTTTAAAACCTAGGTATTGAGTGAAACTGAAGTTCAAACAAATTGCTACAAATTAAGAACATGTGCAGTGAGTTCGTCGAATTTCAGTTAACTCATAAACATTTTAGCAGCACAGTTTCTGAGAACTTAAAAGTTTGCTTAATACCGCTACATTATAGCCTTCAGAATTTTAAATGAAATAGGCTATGCTTACGGTAAACTAGCAATGGTAACTTAAATTGTATGTTCTGATGAATGCCTAAGGAATACCTAGGAAGTATTGACTTTCACTAAACGGTCGCCTAGTTGATGGTTGATTTGAATGTCATTGAGAGAAAAGGTTAGTTACGAGTACGAACAAGTCTATTTATGTTTGTTATTATTTAAATACTATAGGTAAGTATGTTATTTATGTATGCAATTTATATGATATTTCGAACAATCTGTGGATCATCCTTAATCTAAACACGTGTCTTACAACTTATATGATAAGTAAACCCATATCTTGCCTTCTTATTTCGAATTGTTTCAGCATTTCGCTTGCTCGGTAACCGTAAACAAACAAAGTTGCGGGCACGACGCCGCCTCCAGTTTTCGTCGGGGTAATGACATTAGTGGAAATGTCAGCGGGAGTTACACAACCGTGGCTGACAGCACGTGACCTGCCTCCTAAACCCGCAGGTATTCCGCCAAATATTATGACTATAGTTTATCAAAACGTCGGCTTACTACTCCTTCCGATATTATGAGCGGCACTCTACAAATTGGCCACTTTTATGGGATCGGTTCGGATTATTGCCAGATCCATAAATGGGCCATTCTTCAATATTGGAATTATGGACGAACCGTAAAAGTTTGGTGTCGTTAGCAAGAGTAGCGCTTTTATTGCTGCATAACTGTTTAGGCATCTGATTTATTTGGACGAAAAATACTATCCAACTTTAGAAAATACGGAGCTCTAGACCTCGTTTATCTCAGCACCATTAGTCAGAACGTAAGGAGGTAGGGGTATACCTATACCTAGGCAGAATTAGATTAGCTGCCGTGAGATTGCAGTTCCCGGAACCTACAGCTGGCCAAGACATTGAACACATTAACCGCGCTACATTAATAACATTACGGAGACGACATTTCATTGCTATGGTAGTTTCAGGAAATTACACAGTGAAGGAATTGAATTAAGAAATTCTTCTGTGTAAATAATGTCCATCTGAATGAATCCCTTTAGAAGTAATAACAATTTTAATGGGCATTGGTCTGAAAGGAATACGCCGCTAAAAATTTAGACCACTGCTAACTGTTAATCTTCCCTACAGTAAGTAGTATCTTATCCAAAAATAATTTAAATTACGTACGGATAACGGCACTTTGAGCTTAACGCTGTGGAATCTTGTGTTCAACCTTTAAATAAATAAGTCCAACTCACAATTGACAGCTTCTCTCGCCAGCAGCAGTTCCTTCTCCAGCGCTGGTTCCTCCTTGCCCCCGTCGCCCTTGGCCCTCTCTATCAGGGCCGTACTAGCTTCGCCCCTTTCAGCGGCTGCCACCAGAAGACGTCTCACTCTTATGAGTTCAGCCTTTAAATAAATAAGTCCCACTCACAATTGACAGCTTCTCTCGCCAGTAGCAGTTCCTTTTCAAGCTGCTGAGGGTCCAGCGCCGGTTCCTCCTGGCCCCCGTCGCCCTTGGCCCTCTCGATTAGGGCCGTACCAGCTTCGCCCCTTTCAGCGGCTGCCACGAGGAGACGTCTCACTCTTGTCAGTTCGGCCTGGGAATGAAAAATAAAGATTGAAAACACATGTGAAACCATAGTAGGTACGCTAACTAATAGAGGCCCGGTTTCTGAATTCAGATTTCCAGCTTCAGTGTGCTCATCTTCTACTCAAGGAAGAAATCGCAATTCAGAAACCGGCCCATAATCAATAAATTACAGATGACATTCTAACATTAAAACAGAAGTAGTACCATTTATTTGTGTTTTTTCCATGTAAATAATAAGTCATATTCCTATGACAACACAGCGCCATTCAGAAAGGTAGGTACTATGGGTAGCAGACAACGAATATAAACGAATAATATTATTATGTTATCACGAAATTCAGTTTCAATAACAATTTCACTGAAAATTTATTTGGAAATATTTGAATAATATTCTCGAATATTAAAATATTCATCATGCTAGCTATTCATGATGGCTATACAGATTTAAATTTTCCAGGAACATGTTTTAATATTTTAATTATTACACAAACTGAGCTTACATTAATTAGCAAAAGAATGGCAACCCTAATCTAACATGCACGAGAAAATTAATGAATGTAGATAGAGCGAGATAACCATGGACATAGAAAAGTGAGTAAAAGGCAACCCATTAATTTTTCTTTTATCACACGAAGGCGATAACATCGTTTTTAATTAATAAAGGATAATGCTTTTAAGCTGCGCTAATCGAATAAAAGGTTTCATAAATCATAGTGCCTTTCCTTTGGTTATAAAAGTGCAAAATCTGCATTAGGTACATTAACATTTTCCACGTACATAAATATCCTGTGATTCTTAATAAGGATCAGGTTGGCTAAAACATACTCGTATATGTTTGATGACTTTTATAATTTCATACTTCAGGGAGGTTTTTAACTCTTAAACAGATATCTGTCTAAGCAAAAATGTTTCGCTGTTTTTGGACTTTTTTTTAATAAGGTTCATAATCTTTTTACCCGACTGCGCCAGAAGGATGGTTTATGTCTTAAGAGATAATTGATAAAATAGCGTAATATACCGTTAAATTATATTATTATTATAAACCTAACTTCATTTCCCAGCAACACAGCTGAATGCATTTTTAATTCCCCAAATTCATCATGCAACTTTAATCCACCGATGCATTCAATAAACCGATTTAATACTAATTGATTTATGATTTGCGTAATTGACAGACAGTGTAAGCCGGCAGTGCACTGGCTAATTGATTCGAGTATGATAATATTGAATCGACACGCATACATCAACGAGTTACTATCGACCGGTGTCAGTTGGTGGCCATCCATCACGCTGCGAACTTAACTTGGGTGGATTTAATTGTAAATGCACATTCTTAATCGTTGTACTACTTGAAACATAGTGTATTAGGCCAAATATGACCCTTAACTTGTTCAGTTTAAGTGCAAAATTGACAGCGGTATTGTTTGTAAAAACCCCAATAAATAATGCTCAGTATTTCCACTGATCTTATAGTTTTGTCATTATAAACATTGTTTTCATTAAGCATTCTACTGAAAAACTTATTACCTATTTTGCGATAAAATTCAAACATTGGAATTCAATAACAATTAGTACCTATTTTCATAAAGAATTGATACAACTAATAAATTACTATTATAATTTCCCGGAAAAACTCTATAACACAAGTCTAGATCACTCATAATGGACCCAAACTTTAAAAAATTCAAATAAATATTATACAGTTACTGTTCTGGCACCCCCCTTTTAAGTTGTGTTACGTAACTCCCTCTTTATTCCACTTACCAGAATATTATTTACAGAACACAATCAATCTTCCTAAAATAAAAATAATTAATAGATCATACCTGCAACCGTTCGTTTTCCAGCCTCAGCCTCCTGGCCAACTGCGCCGCGGTGAGCATCCCAGGGGACGCCGGGACCTCCTCCTGCCGGGACCTGTCCGACCGGCCGCCAGGGGACGCTGCTTCTAAGTAATGATAACATTTTTAATACGAAGAACGGTGAGCATTTTGAGAACGTTTTTATGGCAGTGTTATCGCTTGGAAAAAATGCTGACGTTATCTTGTGCGTATCATGACGTTTAGAGCCAGTGATCTTCTCTTCAATAAAGAATAGTACCCAATCGTAGAAAAAGTATAAATATGTATGAAATTACTGGTAAGTAATGAAATAAGGCAAGCTGAGGATCGTGGGACCTCTCCCTACCTGAGGCTATCGATGTTTTTGAAGTTTTAATAATAAACTGATAATAAATTAAAATTTATTTAGAACATTTCTGTGTATTCATTCAATTAATGACTAACTACTATATTGTGGTCTTAATTTGTATTTTCTGGTGGTGATATGTCTAAAGTTCTAAACCAAACCATAGAAAATGAAAATACATGTTCATGAAACATACAAAAATAAAATCCATATCATTACAAAGTATATTGGCACCCGTTACAAGTAGAAAAGGACAAGACCTCTGCCCGAAAAGACATATTTTACATGCGGGAAAACAGAACGTTAGACCTACGTCACACTTGAATAGGAGACCCAATGGAAAAGCTGTTACGATTGAAATCAGATCGTAAAGAACTGCCATATCCTTGAGAACACGATCTTACTGTTTATTGGTTTAGATTTGTGGAGACGAATATGTAGTTAGAATATTCACACGAATTTCGACAATTTTGTTCTTTATGGATTCATTTCATGCTCAAGTTTCACTGTTGGAAACAATTTTTCAAAAAGTATTGCTATTGAATCTATTGAATTACTTACGGGAACGGTTTGAAAAAAAGCAGTAATTTCTTATTTATGAACCAAATAAACACTATCAGAACCAAACAAAAATCAAAAGTTATATTTAATTCTGGAACAAGAGCACCACAGCGTCTTTATCTTAACCGAAAGGTATATTATCTACTTTTCTCTTGATAAATTGACGAATGTTTCCCAACAGATTAAAGCAGTGATTAATAACTGTCTTCAATTTTAATACAACATAGTATAAAATACATAATTCATCATTTTATTTCAATCACCAAAGACCATTTTTCGAGGCAAGACTTTTTACACAATTTATTTTCCTTAATTAGATTCTTTCAGTTCTTAGAAAGTGATTATATTTTTGAATACGTAAAATTTAGTTTAGCGACTCTGTCATTTGTAAGAACCATTATTATTTACTAGCGTAGGCAAACAAAGATACCTACCTATCACTGGCAGGTATAAAAAGCTCATAAGAGTCCCCTATAGTCAAATGCATAAAATATTATGTATTGTTTTCTAGAATTTATTTATTTATGTTTACTTTTATTTCTCATCCACCTTGCGCTGTCGATTAATGTATAAAATGTCTTATTTTAATTGCGGGAAACGCTAGGCCAAGTCAAGATTAACAAATAAATCACGTTTGTCAAATAATTATAAAACCACGATATTCCGTAGGCAAGCATTTTAAAATCTGATTACTAAGAAACTGTAATTAATAATGTTGGAGACATTTAAGTAACTAGTTGGAAAAACATCCTCCTTCTTACCTAAATTCTTGGAAACATTAATTTTCGACGAAACCTATTTAATGCTGAAAATAATATCGTCAAATTTGTTTTTCTAATAGCTTTTCCCTAATTATGTTCTATTTAACATTCAAGGGCTACAACCCGTATTATCTGCCCTATAATATGAAAAGTTTAGTAAAGTGCGGGTGCCGCCGCAGTCATATAAACGGAATTGGTTATAGCGACGTAAACATCGTAATAACGCGAAAAGTTGCGCCAGTCACGAAAGCCGGTCCGGTCCAGACAAATCGATTGCTCGTGTGTTACACGCGTTAGTCGCAGGTGTGTGCGAAGCCTAATTTATCGGGCTCCGGTTTGGGAAAGACGTATCGACTTCCACAAACAATATCTCTACGCGGTAATTATTCTTGCCTCCAATCTCGGACATCAGACGCCGAGTGCAAACCCACATCAATAAACTGGCACTCGAGCCACGAAAAGGGAAATAAGGCTTGTGACAAATTATCGAAGCGGAGGAAAACAGGCGTTCAATGTGCGGAACGCATTATGGAGAGTCGACCTATTTCGTTCGGCCGCAGACAAATTGCGAATCTCCTTTGTCCTATTAATGATAATGTCCAAATAGACTAACATGTGGATAATATTGATTCCTCTGGTTTGTTACAAATGATTAACAACGTACTGATTTCATTATTCGATGATAATAAGCGTTGGAGTATTCATTGAGTGCTAACGATGACTTACGATCAATTACCGAACTTTTGAAATAAAGGACATTGTCAGAAACCGCCTAAAAAACCGCCCAAAAACATTAACCCATCATAATTATTTTCTATTTTTTTTAATACATTAAGCACCCTTTCATTCTAATGGACACTTAAGCATTGAAAAATTAAATAAATAAGTCTTTTAANAAGCCCTAATTAAAAGGTTTTGGGAATAATTAAATGACAAATTACAAAAGCTGAAAGTTCTTTCTGGCGGAGTTGGGTTGTGCAGTTATTTGGTAAATGAGCTTATTCCCACGGCTGCTGGCTCATTAGCGAGAAACCAAAGGGATCTACGGAGGACAGACAGTGGATTCATTCAGCAGCTATTCACAGAACCGAGACACTGTCGCTCTTAATAAGAGACCCGCGTACGGTTTTGTTTCGTACGTTACAAGCCCACAGTTTTTAAAGAGCGTAACCTTGAACTAAATTTAATATAGGGTAGAACTAATGCAAATTGTATTCGTATTTATTACTGTAATATTTTGGACCTTAGTAGAGTTTAAAGACAAAAGTGTCAGGTAATTAGTGTATAGGTAAGCAAAAAAAAAAAACGCTTATTATCCAAGCTAAGACTTAAAACCAAATCCTTTGACATTTAAATGAAAACTGCTTTCGTAATTGTAATGCTCTTTTTGAAATCGTAGCATTAGTACCTATTGCCTGCATTCGCGAATCTCGCTTCCAGGCTAATCAGGTTAATGGATCAAAGTCATTAAAAAGTCGCTACCTAGAGTATAATGCGAACGAGGGAAGTTTTTAAGATTTCTTAACTTATAAACCTAAATGGAAACTGGTTTTCAATGAAACACAGAATTTATTCAATCGAGAAGTTGAACAATTTCATTGTTTGATATCTATCAAATATGTAGAGTGCCTGGGTATTGACTTAATCCCATTCGAAATCACGATTTTTCAAGTTCACTCGTTTCGCTAGCTTACTATTCGATTCAATAGATACTCTAGGTATTGGATATTATTTACTTCAGTTTATTCAGCGAACAAATAAGTACGCCGCAAGTTCTTAAAGCTGACCTTAAAGCATAGCTTATCCGGGCGAGGCGTCTCGAACCCGACTTTTATAAAGAGCCCTCATAACAAATTTCAGCTCCAAGCAACGTTGAAGAATATCCAACTAGCTCTGAACTTCATCAGCAAAACAAACATGCCGTCTCGACTAGTTACGAACTATTATCTCCTGGATTACAGACTGGAAGATAAACACAAACGCAAACTTTATCTACTCCTGTGCTTACTTTTGTTTATTCCTTGATAAGCCTGTGGTATCGTTCCTGAACTGTTCATGCCGTACAACCGTTTCTTTATCAGACGTCAGTTTGATTGATAGCTTTAGAAATTCTGCCTGAGCATTCGGTGCACGGAATAGGTATTATTTATCATCGTTCAGCCGAAGGAATAAGCTCACATTAGTCATCAGTTTTTTGATTATTCATAAAGATTCTTTATCGGATCAAATCAAATAAATTAGAATGGATTTCTCAAATACTACAGTGACACGCTAGCTTGCTAGTGGTTTAATGGTATATCGTAGCAAAATCACACGCTAGATCCAAATTATTCAGTCAGGTCATACCTAGTGATTTGTAAGTTCATAATACCAATCGATTCTTATAGTCATGCTAGGTGCATCATAGTAGAAAGAAGGCATTTTTGTTAGTCCTATTAACCCTACCTACTGAAATTGTCATTTTAGATTAATTTACAAATAGGTGAAAAATTGGCAACACATCTTTAAACGCAAAAAAAAAATTGAGTTCATTTCTATGGCCCTTAACTCATTTGTATGATTGAACCTCAATTTATAAAATAAAATAAAATAGTTACCTCCATCGAGGGTTGCAGTGATATCAGCTCGAGGCTCCGGTCCATCGCTACTCCTGCCCGGAGAAGTCGCATCAGGCAGAGGGACTTCTTCCTCCGAGCTGTCTGCCGGATCCAGGACATTCCTCTCGCTGGTGTTACTGGTTCCTCCGGTGCCAATCTCGGCGTAGGTCCCACTGTCGCTGCCATTTTGGGTCGACCACTTGACTGGGGATTCAAGTTTACCATTGGCTTGGTTCTCTTTATTGTCGTCGTCAGTTGGGAAATCTGTATTGAATTAATTAACAAATTAATATGTAGTACAAAGTACTCATAAATATCTAATAGATATTTTCTATAACGAGTAGGTATGGAAAAAAGATCGAAGTAAGACTATTTTTCTTAGGGGCTTACACTCTTTTATGTTAACAAAAGTTTACCTCCCGCGACCCTGCATAAATCTAACCATTCTTATTCTAATTTTCCCATAAAAGGGTTATCTTTCCCTTTACAAATCTCTTTTCGACAACACACTCGGCTTGGCAATAGATAGACGATGAGTCGAGTTTTTTTTTTCATGTTGAGTGTTCGTAGGTGGGACCTAAATGGAATCCCTTGAGAAGGGCAGACTTTAAGTTAGGACAGAGACTCAGCGGGTACCCAACACTATTCTGCTTCAGAGTTTTATATTTACCTACTATGAATTATTACTTCTTGAGATATTAAATGCAAAGCTAGGGATTTCAATATTATTATGAATTGAATAGCAAAGAACTTAGCTAAAACGACGCTAAATGTAAATCTCTTAAAATATTGTAATTTCATCATTCACAGACTCGAATCTATTAAGTAGCTATAATACATTTTACCTAAGTAAGTTTATAATTTTGAAGTGATTAGAATTTAAGATTTGTCTTGACTGTAAGTAGGTTCTTCATATTATATCATATTAGCTTACCTATGAAAGGATTGTCTTTCCCATTTCTGATGGACAGCCTGGTGGTTCTATTAAGCGTGCCATCTTTGTCCCCGTTGAGCGACCCGTTCCGTTTGTCCAGGGTCCCGATGAGCAGCCGACGCTCGGGGGGGATCGGGCGGGGATCCAGGTCGGGGCCGAGCGCCGAGCTGGCCGGCGTGATTAGGGGATCAGCGGGCTCCGGCTCCGAGTCCGCCTCGACCCTCGCTCCCACTGACACTTGCTCATCCACCATTTTACGGAGTTTCGCCTGGATAAAGATAATATTTAAAACTATTGTCTTAGCAAAAATTGCAAATACATAGATAGGTATAGTTAACGAGTAGATTCTTCTTCTTCTCAGTCGGAACACTCTTGTCAAAGTGGTCGTGGTCATCATTATGAATACGAGTAGATATGGCGGTCTTTATATTTGGGAGACGCTGATTGATACATTCTAACATTAATGATAGAAGGTCATCAATTTATATTTGCTTGTTGTGCAAATTGCAAATACATACAGTCACCTAGAGGACAGACGACCTATTATAGTCATACCACTTTATCCTCACTGCTTTAAAATTATCATGAGTGAGAATAAAATTATTTTTGAAATAATATATCTGATTTTGTCATTCAAAGTTGAAAAGTCCCTTATAGTAAATTAATGTGTTTATAAATTCTCCCCGACGTAAACAATGAACTTAATCCCGACCTAAATCATAATGCCGATGGCTCTAAATATTGAAATAGTTAATCCCAGAACAGAGTCCCTTTGTTAGCCAATTTATAGGACGAAATATAGATTCAAGTTGGAGGCCTATTCAACACGCCCTTGGGTTAACAGTGGTGTTATATTACAGCGATCCGACCAAGTTTTATCTGCTTCTATTAATCTAAGCAATGCTGCTATTTAGTTAATCCACCTGCCGCTTGACGTAATCGTCGTTCAGGGCTCAATTAAGAGCCTACCGTACATCTAAAAGAGCATTTTAAAATAAATGACAAGTTTAATTAAACTTTTCTTTAAAAAAATTCCTTAGGTAAATTTATATCTGACCACTATTTTTGAATGATCAATATCTCTAATAATATGTGCTACGAGATATCTAGTCTTCTACAAATTAAAATTATTTTAATGTCACACTTTACAACTAAAACTCGTTTTAACTAGACAGATCACTAATAGGTGAGCAACCCTCAACACACTTTACAGGAGACCCTTTAAGTTTAATAGCCCCATTTTAGAACCCTGCAAACACCGTAATCATCTAAAATGCGTTTTTGATCTGATGTGCAATGCTAAACTTTTTAATTGCTATTGGATCGCGTGATCATGCGTCTACCTATCACGTATGCAGCGTCAGTTTAACCCAGGGTTTAACGTAAACCGACGATTAAGTGATCCACTTATGTTAACGATTGGACTGTATTACGCCACAGCACACGCGACTTATCAATTTGGAATTAACTAACCATAATATTTATTTAAACCACCATAAAGGTGCAATTCATAAAAATAACCTCATATCATAATGGATTTGGTTTATGGTGTCGTTAATTCTGATCCATGGGACTCGAAAATTGCTTTTGCCAATTGCAATGTACTAATAAAATTGCTATAATAAAAATATTCGTGCCTAATAATATGCAATTACGTTTTTATGGTCAAATTGAAGTGTTATACACCTTATAAGTCTACGATAATTTTCCAAAGTTCATGTTGACGAATATGTAACACCAATACTCGCGAATGTACCTACACTATATCCGTTGCGTGTTTATAATTTTGCCAAATCAAATAACCCAACAAAAGTTGACAGTTGAGTTTTAAAGTTAAATCATGTTTTTCATAACTTGCCAAAACATTCCATATACCTGCCTATTCCGTTATGTAATGCTGAAGTTTGCGATGAAAATACAAAGTATTATTTGTGTAACACAAATAATACTTTGTTTTTTCATCGCATATACAAAATGCTTTGAATTATTTTCAACTATAATAAAATTATTATGTAGGTAGGTATGTGATGTGTAAAATGTAAGATTACTTGTGATCGATGTATGTAGGTACAGTCAACAGCACATCAGATTCCTACATACGGCTCTTTCAAATTAGAGTGGATTCGACCAAACAAGAGTAAATATTATTCTCAAAATAAATCGAAGTCAAACTGTCAATGTGCCAGTTATACCAAGAGTTATTCTCGGATAAAAGTTTGGTCGAATCAGGCCTTAGACGTTCGTTTTGAGACGGATTATAATCCGTTTGTGAGGCCGCACACGGAAAACTTTATGATATTGCGTTGGAATCAAATTGACGAGTACCAACAGTAAGTGTGCAGACTTGCATTCGCATGACAACCATCTAGCTCAAAACGTCTAGTTTGAAATTTGAAAGAACTCTTATGATATCTGCTGCTAAATAACGTCTATTACAATCACATTAGAGCTACATTGTTTAGTTGGATATACAGATAGTACACGAGTTACACTTCACTTAAGATCAGATCATCAGTACCGATGTGATCTTACCTGGGCGTCACCTAGTATGCGGCGCACTAGCGCCATCAGGCGGCCGTGGCAGGCGCTGGCATGCTATCCCCCGCCACCCCCCCGGCCCATGGTCCCCGTGACACCTGCCACTCGTGCCTCCAAACTTGGGAACTATTGCAACTATTCCACTTTGCCCCACTCTCCCTCCGCTCTCGGACGTGCCGAATTTATTGCTCGGTGACTGTCTGAAACAAAAGATATTGTGTTGTCAAAATATCCTCCTCTTTTGTGTGTAAATCCTTAAGAACTTATGTGTTGAGTGAATAGGTTTAGTTTCGGTTTCTTTTATTGGTTTTCCTCAAGCTTTGGTTGGTAGTTTGGCGTATGAAGATTTATTATAAAAACTCACACTCACGAGAACAATGTCAAGATAATTATGTAAAATATTATTTAATGAAAGAAAGAACAAATACATTTTATTCTCAAATCCTACTTAGCGTTCTCCGTTCAACCTCGTCACTGTATTATCGATTCCATCGCCTGAAACTTTTTCATTAGTTGCTGTGAAAGTTTCAGACCAATTTAAGTAGATGATTCGTCAAATTATTAAGTAGATCCTAATAATTCAAGAGACGGATATTCCATTCCTCAGCCTTGGGAGTTTTTGTTCTTTCTTTTAATCTCAGAGAAACCTAAAGATATACGTTTCCTGCGACTTTGTGCATATGTGGAAATGATTTTCCATCAGTTTTTTGGGAAATAGTTTTGAAGTTTATTTATTAGGCACAGTCTAAGAGCGCCTTCACATTAGGGCGTCAGAAACGCGACAGTTATAATGTGAAGGCAGGAAACAACTGTTACATAGTATGAAATTATAATCTACACTAATATTATAAAGAGGAAAACTTTGTTTGTTTGTTTAGTTGTAATGGATAGGCTCAAAAACTACTGGACCGATTTTAAAAATTCTTTCACCATTCGAAAGCTACATAACTCACGAGTAACATAGGCTAAATTTTATTTTGGAAAACAATAGGGTCCCGTAAAATATTTGGGATTTTCATAAGACGTGGAAAAGCGCCATCTATCGTCATTGCTTAAAATCTTCTTGCGCCTGACAAACATTTTTGAGGTACGTAAATATTCATGAAGGCAAAGCTGTCAAACGCCATCTATCGACATCATTAGTAAATTAGTAACTTAATGTTACATGTACTATGAATAGCGCTGTTCGTAAATAATATTGAAAATTTAATAAATAAAGATATTTTATGTAATTGAACCATTCACTGTATGTACCTATTTGAATCATTCACTGTGTTTAAACGAGCAAGTCAAAGTGTTAATTAGTGACTTTTTACAAACTTCCTTGCAAATTCTTACTATGTGCCGCCATCTACCGAGATGAATATTAGGGTACGGTTCAGCGGCGGACAAATGGGATGGGCGCGTGGGCGATTGTAGTTAAATAGGACCTTATACAGAAGCTCAGTTGCACAGCGTGCTATGGAGAGGGCTATGCTTGGTGTTTCTTTGCGAGATCGAATCAGAAATGTGGAGATCCGTAAACGAACCAAAGTCGCTGACATAGCCCAACGGATTAGCAAGCTGAAGTGGCAATGGGCAGGGCACATAGTACGCAGAACTGATGGCCGATGGGACAGAATGGTTCTGGGATGGAGGCCGCGTACCGGAAAACGTAGCTTGGGACTACCACCTACAAGGTGGACCGACGACATCGTAATGGTAGCAGGGAAGCGCTGGACGCAGGCCGCTTCCAATCGATCAACATGGAAAGCATTGGGGGAGGCCTTTGTTCAGCAGTGGACGTCCTATGGCTGAAATGGTGGTGGTGGTGGTGGTACATAATATACTGAAAATGTATCATTAGAAATCAACCACGGGGGCTAAGGAGATAAAAGGAGGGTTGGAAGTTTATGTTATGAAAGTCCTATGTGTTTAAAGAAAGAGAGTTGAAATTTAAAATGTATGCGCTATAGATGCTAAGAGCGGATTTTACGAAACTCCACCCCTAATGGAGTAAAACGAGGTCCACGCGTACGAAGTCGCGGGCGGCCGCTAGTTATTATGATAAAGTACTTTGATTGTGATACCCAAATAACATATTAAGAACACTAATATAAAAGTATAGTACTATTAGTTTTAGAGAACTTTATCCAAACCCCCATCATTATCGAAGTAATTTAGTATCCAGAATCTATTTCCGCATACTACTAAAGTCACTCGGCATAATTACTATGATGAATATTGAAAACTTCGTACTTGATAGCCTACGAAGCCTGAAGTAGGTCAACAGTCGACACTCGCTGAATAGATACTAGTACGTAGCTACGTGTTGCCACGGTTTTACAAAAATTGCTATTTGGTACGAGCGCGCCTAAAAATTTTATGAATAAGAACTTTTCCCGTGTTTTAAACAGCGCTAAATAGTCATAATGGAAAAAGTAGCATAATATATTTTTCTGTTAAATAAAATAAAAACATGGCAGGCAGTATGTTTTGAGAACAACTTACAATTTATAATTTGTGTGAGATAAACGAACATCATAAATTGGAAAGAAAGGAAATACATTTACTTGGTATAGGTACTTTATATAAGTTGTCAAAACGCAATAATAGCAATTCGGAGTTAAATACTCGTATGTCATCCTTTTCGTTTCGGTAATTGAGTTGACTAAAAAGTTATTGAATTCAACTAAAATTCTAATTACTTATAGTTATTCAAAAACTAATTTGTTTTTAAGCTTCAACTGAATTGAATTAATCAATTAACCTCAATCCGAACTCACTATGTGAATGTAAAAGGATTCCTTGTTTACTTTATCCACCCCTTATTAAGTTGTAGTAGTTAGTTATGTACTTCGATTCTTCATAAATCAAGAAAAGCTACATTGAATGCGACGTGGGCGTACCTACTGCTTTTTGCTTTTATGTAGTCATTAATTAGAGAGCACCATTGAAGCCATATTTTATCTGCAATGCGTTATTATTATCTATATTTTATTTGTTATACGGTAATTATAACCAATAGAGTGCTTTTCAGTGCTTATACTTACTGAGTGTTTTGAAGCAAATGAATGCTTCAATATTTTATAATATTATTTACTTGTACTTATAGGAAACCGACCAAAATATTCCATTTCCATCATTTTAAAGCAAAGCTGTGGAAGTTGATCGTATAACGTATTCACTGTTCGAAACAACAAAATCACAATCAAAATCATACCAGACAATTTTTTTTGGGTAATATATCCCTTATTTTTTGTACATAAGACACCTTATTTGTCCCGAAGTGATGTCGTTTGTACGCAAAGGGGTACCTACCCCTATCCTGCCGGCAAAGAAAATTACAGCTTGTTAAGTTAACCCTGCTAATTACAGCTTCTAACTATAAAAAAATTACAGGCTCCTTGATTGCCTGCTAAGTGGTAATAAGGTAAAGAGCAGGAACTTGCGAAACTCGTTAGTAGGGTGCCGCGGGCGACTCTTCTAGCGACCCTTGTCTTTTATAAATACTATCCTTCTTTTTCATTCATTATTTACCGAGGACATCCTTAACATAATGTTTTCACAATATTTAATGTCAAAAGCAAGATGATAGACTAAGTAAAGATATCCTTGTTACACCTAATATTTGCACAATGATCACTGTCAAAAGCGATACAAACCACAAGCAGGCGTTGTTACGTTTCTGGATTCAAAGTATTCAAACCCACATCATAAGGATTCAATAATTGAGCAAAATCGGATTATGCTTATTTATACTCGACCTACTTAAATACATCATAAATTGTGATAAAAATAGGTAAAGACTAAGCTTTTCCTCAATCTTCCCTGATGGAAAATCGTGTCGTTTCATTATTGTACTTACTAATGAAAATATTTTGAATATAAGGAGGCAAACTAAAAGGAGTCCAAATTAAGTGGACCTCACTATCGTATTCAGCTGATATTGAATAGCCATTTCAAAGGCTCGTAGTTGGAAACTATGAAGTTTAGATTAACATTAATTGTTGAGAAAGCAATTTGATCCTAAGTTATATCGCCTATCCAATGAATTAGGTAAGCACACAGGGGTGCAAAAACAGTACGTATCAATTTGCTCTAAAATTTTCGTCCTGCAAGTGGAGTTGTGTTTAAAAACACGTTGATATTTTAGTGCCGCAATGAATTATGTGTTTCCTTTGATTTTACGGTAGCCACTATAATTTTTTGTTGCAAAATAAGACCTTACAACTACATTTAAGACGCTAGTCTTTGATGATGTGCCTTGGACCGTGAGGGTAAGAAAATGGTTTTGAATTAATGTATTTTTACGATGTTGCCAGCAAAGGCCGACATTCCGATCACGATTGCGATCCCGATCGGCGAAACACAATTGCACGGTTTTCTAAGCGAAAATATTGCAGTGAGAAAATCCTGGCACAATGAAAATAGTTGTTTATTGAATTCCCCAGCTGTTTGCAATGACGTAAGTACATGCTTCGGTCGGCCAGCTGATGCAATTACAACGGACAAAAACATTCAACAAACTGCAAAACAATTTTACCGCGATGCAAATATCGGAAGGAACTTCAACGTGCAGAATTTTAAACGGATTTGTTCCATTTGGTTTTCATTTTGGTTTAAAATTGTAAAACGATATTATTATGTTATTTTTTGTTTGCATAATGTACAATTATTATCAAAACTGACCTAGTTTTTTCTATGCGGGATCAAAATAAACTTGTTCTAAAATATCTTATTCCTTAAAGTAGTAGTTAGAAAATAAGACATTAAATAAATTAATTAAGTAAGTTATCAATATACGTAATTTTAAGTTACTTATAGAAGTCAACTAGGTATAGACACCTACCTATAGTTCTGCTTGGCCCTCACCAGAAACAGAGCCCTAATAACTATGCTGCACCACACTTCAGGAAGAAGATTTACCAAGTTTCTTTTTTAAATTAAGGCTGTTATCCTGACGAATATAGCCCGGGAGAGGGTCTAAAGCGGTAATTTGCGAAGGCGGCTCGTTGAGCTCTCGCTCCAGTTATTGGCCGCAAAATTGATTAAAATTCCAACTGCGTAAGGAAGACTCATCTACTTTTTTATTAGATTGCGTCTAGAGCGTTTCGGTTCTTTTTTTTAACTCTATCCACTTGATTTCGCTGAGTGGTGCCGGTAGCTTGATATACTTTTCGAGCGAAAAGGATTCTGTAAGAAACAATCAAATCAGATT